TTAGGGTCATTTTGAGTGAGGAATATTATTAACCTAGAGTGCGAATCATATAAATATTTATAACCTACATTTTTCTTCACTTTATTCAACAGATATCGCTGTGCACGAGTTTGACCATATATCATTGAGTGATTTTCAAATATTCTGGATTTTACTTTAAATTTCTATTCATTTCATCTAAACAGGATGTGTTAAATCAAGTTTTATTTATTTTAGTAAAAAAAGTTATTTCTTTTTCAGTGTTCATCCGCTTTTGATGAAAACAACGTAAGTTAGTAAGGATGTGTGAATATGATTGCGTTTTATTTTCAAGATTTCTAAACACAAACTGCATTTTCGAAAAACAATTAAAATATCTGAAGTTTTGAAACATTTTGCCTGTGAATTTATATCGTTTATCGCGATATTTTTAAGACCTACTATAATACAGCTGGAGCAAATACCGTGAAATTATATCCTAGTGCATTATTGTATTTACACTGATAGTTACAATCATCGTTTTTTAAATCTGTGCGTTTTGAAAAATATATATGTATTGATGAAGTTTATTAATAAAGTCTCGGTAGCAAATCTTGCATAAAGGTTAATGGTTTGGGAAATGAAGAAATAGTTATATTATTATATTATTTAGTATTGAAAAAAGGTTTTCCCCCCTCTCTATTCTGCACCGCTAAATTTATGAAATTGACTCGACTTGTTTGAAATTTCGAGCTTTTTATTTTTAATATTTGCGATTTTTATTGAAAAATATATCTAAAATTTAGAAAAACAGTATTAATTACTTGCCGGAAACCTTGTACGCGCATGCGCTGCGAGCAAATAATGCTGACATAATGTATACGGGTACATATGTCTACTTTATGAAATAAATGGATAATGTATTCATAACAAAAATAAAATGTATACCATCTGATGCCGGACGTGATGTATCAGTTACACATATTTAACTTGAAATTCTATCTCGGTTTAACGATGTATTTGCATTTTGAATAGATCACATATCAGACCGTCACATGACTAGCACATACAGTTTCACATAAAAACATCAATCTAATATCAATTTTCTTTTCTTTTTTTATTTCGAACAAAACTTGTAATTGTTGTTTTTCTTATATTTTATCGGAGTAATGCTTCTTTTTTTGTAGAAAACCGTAAAGCCCATGCACACAGGAATGAATATGAGTTTGAACCTTGGATCGGGGATTTGGTCGAACTTGCAAAAGTAATGGAAGATGATCGAGTTTCTAAAGTTACAGGCTTTTGATATAGATTAATAGTTTTTATGCTTCTATTATATAGTTCTACAGGTCCGGTTGGAGAAAACGTCTTTGCCGGGCACTAGGAGCGTGTCTTTGATTTTCAAGAACCATAAGGAGTTGCGGATACTGGTCCTTACTAAATGAACTTTTTTCTGCAAGTCGGATATGGAAAACATTTTGTATTGCTTCCCCATTAGATAGTCTCCTCATGAACCATATCCGATTGTGATGTGTGGATAGCGTCGAGAACATATACATGAACTATACGATCAGTCAATAGAGGTACAAGATGTTGTGAAATGACAAAGTTTCAAAGAAAGAGTTCAAAATTGTTGCCATAGCAACGCATTAATGGAGAGAACGATACGCATTTAAGGAGTGAATCACGGGGCGACACCCTCGTCTCCATGCCATTCAAACAAGCATGAGACAGTGTGTCCTCCCATGAATCGCTTTCGTTATCATCATCAATACAACAAACACGGAGTAACAGCATCAAGTAACACGGAGTGATGGTATCCTCAATATAACAAACACGGAATAACCAGTACGTCGCAGATTAAGCTCTACGGAGTTCTGTCATCACCGGCAGCAATGCAAACTGGGATTATCATCGATTTAACATAAACATGATACATTTACATTAATGGTACAACTAACTCGGAGAATTCTCTTATAGACAACCAACACCAAGGAAGATATATCAAGCGGCAGAACAAAAATGGCCTCTTTTCTCAGGGTAGACCTGCTGTTCACATGGTTATTTACTTGACATGAGACAGTGTGTCCTCCCTCAGGTTTTTACGGCCAATTATCTACATTTATACAGAAATATGAGGATACTTCAGAGAGGAAAGTAGACTCGGATGGCGTCGCAACTACTTTTGTATATAAAGTATTACGAAGTATTATTATGCATAGCTTATGTATGAAAATGTTATCTTTTCTTTACCTTTAAATTCAATTTTGTAATTCAATCTACTTATCAATGTTTGAATCATTTTCTTTCAGTACCAAAGAGGATTAGCACTGAAGGGCAACTGGGATAAACTGTTCATGCACACTAGACTTTCACAATATGGTGTTTTTTTTTACTATCCAAATCACGTCAGTATGTCACTTTGAATTTACCAGAGCACAGTTCGCCCAACGCACCGATCCTCGGCAGGCTGCCAAGCAATTTACCAGTACTCGTCCCCCGTCACTATAGCAAGGAACCGCTATCTTCTGTACATGCTAAAGCAGTCACAATCTCCACGCAGTGATCTCCCCTTAATTCTTCGGCATAGATCTCTGCCACCAAGGTCCCGATATATCAGAATTTCTGATATACTATATTTTTTTCAAAAATTGTTTTATTTACTGCTTTTATCTATCAGTTAAGTTTTTTCTCATTGATTAAACAATGTTTATGGATAAATAAATAAATAATATGAATATTTAGAAATAATTTTAAAATTATGAGAATATTTTCTACCGAGACAATATTTTGATATTTTATATTTTTTAGCTTTTGAATTTATTTTTCGTTATTTTGTACACTTTTGATAATTTTTTGATAAACTATGTCGAACGTAGGCACTAAAAGTTAAAAATAAAACAGAAAGAGAAAAATGACGTTAGATTTTCTATGTAACGGTCAATATTTACATTTGAATTTCGACGTTACGTCATGTGACTTTCATCATCATGTGACGTCTTTGAAGGCAGTGATTACAATTCTGCCAAGGGAGGTAATCACTGTGAGGAGTTTGAAGCAGTCAGTGGTGCAGTGCTAATGATCGCAGTAAGAATTTCACAATCAATCCTAACGAAAGTGACCTGCATCGTACGGGAATCGAACCCGGGTTGCCAGTTTCAAAGTCTACAGCTCTATCAATTAAGCTAACCGAACGGTCCATTCAGTCACTGGCATCCGCCCTTATTTAAACAAGTGCAGGTTGACCAGTCAACAAAACAAATCCATTGACCGATAAGATATGATTTTTGACACGACCTTTGATATAATTTACATGTCGGATTGCAAAACCATCAATTTTACCTGTCAAAATATTAAAATGTGTAGAACTGTAAAAGACATAAATTCTGGCATCATTTTGAGAGTTAAATATTATTACAAAATTTTATTGATTATATATCAATGTAAACATTTATACAAGTTTCCTCAAATGTAACAATAAAAGGCCCATAGAATTTATTACAGGAACACTTATAGCATAGATATGTCAGCTACTTTACATTAAACCTGCTGAAGACAACTGATTCTACACACATGCAACCAGTACAGACCAAGGCAGGCGGGACATCTGTGCCATCTGATCATGGTCTGCATTTTGCATCAATATTTTGAAATGTTCCTTTAAATGACAAATTTGGGGACATGTCCATTTGACACATGTTAAGGGTTTAATAAATACAATGACATCAATAGTTTTGTAGGTGTAGGTAAATCAAAGAAAAATAATACATTGACTAATCTATTTTTGTACAATTTTTTTTATTAAAGTTCAGTTCTTTTGCTAAATAAATATGTTTTACATTTACATAAAATCATTGTAAAGTCTTGTTTTACCTTTTTCAAAATTCAAATGGCACAATTTTACAATTTTTTAAAGAAACAATTTGATAATGAAATACATCAATGTATATATGTTGAGATCATAACATAAAATGTTTTAAATGACATTATGCCCATCCAAGTGTAAATGGATTATTAATGGAGCTCCACTGAGGTTAAAAAGCCTAAACTTTGAATTTCTTATATAGAAAAGTTCAACAGGAAGAACTTTTCAAATATTCTTAACTGGATTCGAGTGAAAAGTGTTGCAATACTTTTCAATTTTGGTCATTTTTCATAATTGGAATAATTGTTCTGGAAAAACAAGTGAGCAAATGATCTTAAACTTTGCACAGAAATTATTGGTCTAGACCTACGTCAAATGGAAGTTTAATCTCTAAAAATTATTTTCAGTCCCGTCATGTCAAAAAACCTCAGTGGAGCGAGTCCCTTTAAAGAAATGACAAAATTTAAGCCACAGAAACTTAAATAGAAACATATCATTTTGATAATCCTTGTTAGAGAAAACGTTACAAATTTAATTGTTTAAAAATACAATACCTTGAGCAAGAAGTTATGTTTACAATGTTAATAACTTGCATATATCATACATAATTTTTTACTCTCCCATATTTTGTTACTGTTAAAACTTCAAATATAGCCGTTCCAAAATATTTCAAGCCATGTAATTGGCTGAAAGCCATCCAGTTGGATAAGAAATAGGGAAAACATACACGTAATTATTAAAAAAATAATATTGAAATGAAATGCAGATTTTCCTGTTATGATCAGGTTTCTTATTGTATCCATTTTTGTACAAAAACAATGTAACATTAAATGTAATTGATATCGGTATGTAAGACATTTTTTTTTTTGGTTTTACCAAAATTTCAGCTTATGCATAAACAAATTGTGCTACCTGGAAATAAATGTTTGTGTAGTTCTGTGTGAACAAATCAAATACATACATGTACTATAATATAATCAAACTATTTGATTGTAAAATAATATTTTTGTTTACCAGTGGTCCAAATAAATGTACAAAAAAATAATGAAATAAATTTAGTGATAAAAATATTGCATATGATTATAAGTGAGCATGTGACCTGCCAGTAAATATTGACAGATCTGAACATATTTATAATAGTTCCTTCGATATCAAGATTAAAATGGTTTGATAGTTATCTGTTACAGTTATACTGGCGTGTTGCTTAGACTTAGCGGCGAGTGTAATGAGGTCAAGCGACGTTTGTTTTTCCCACGTGGACGTTGCGGTGGCTTGGGGGAGAGTGGTTCCGAGTCGGATTCCTCACTTGCGTTTTCTTTCTCTTCTTTACCTACAGAAACAAAGTTGTAAAACTAACTTTATCAAATGCAACAAAAGATTATTTTTTCCCCCGATCACTAAAATCATTGGTTTAATCAACTTGAATATAACACTGATTAAATGAACAGTGCTGGTATAATCCTGATAGTGAGGCCATTTTGTTTGTTTGTAAGATGCAGGTCACCAAGTTACTGTAAAGGTCATATGGCAACATTCCAGCTTTACTGGTGGAGGAAGACTTCAGGTGCCCCCTTTATGTATTATTTTTAGACACTTACATGTACCAGAGTAGTAAAACCACTGCCCCTCAATAAGGTGGCTGAATATCTTCCTCAGTTTGTCTATATACAATCAATATGTGACATACAATGACTTTGCTTTATCAAAGTTTAAGCATACATTTGTACAGTAAAATTTTACATATTATGAAGCATATCTAAAAGAAGTTGGTCTGTGTTACCTTGACATAGTGTTAAATGAAAATTTCCTTACAAAATTTATCTAATTATACATTATAGTTACACAACTCAATACTTCAAATATCTGAATAATTATGCAGTTAGCCTTCTTGTTTTGTTACAATTAATAAAATAATATTTTTTCCAAATAATGTAGAGTCACAGCTACTAGAAACTTGTAAGTCTTAAGCTTGTTAATCCTAGGTTGGTTTATATAAACTTTACTTGTCATGGGGCATTTTCTTGACTATACCAGAAAATAAAACAACAACAAGAATAAACCCTGCCACCAAAATAAACCTGATACAATCTGCTAAAGTAAAAACTGAAAACATAACATAAAATATACAAGTAAGTGGTATACATGCAAGAGATAATAATTAAAAGGACTGATGCATAGAAATTATTCCACTGATAATGAAAATCCGACAGGCAATATATTGAAAACTGTTTAAAACGATATCCAAAGTATTACAAATTCAAATAAATGTGATTAGTGAAAATGAAATTACAGACATAAGCATTCATATCATGCCTCCGTAACAGAGGGTGTAACAACCAAGAGTTCCTACCAAAATGTTGGCATGCACACTCAAAGCTTGAGATCATCTGACCTTAAGTGGTTTATTTAATAAAATTTAAGAAAAGTCTGATTTGTATTGAGTTCACAGAAAAAATATGTTTGCAATTTCAACAAAATTGCCTTTATATTGATATTAATGATTATAAGTAAAGGTAGCTTAGCTTCCATTTTTGTCTGCAATGGAAGTGATGTCTTAATATAACAATTAAATGTGCCTGTATGAATCCAATACTCACAAATCTCATTGACAACAACTTATATATTGGGCACCTGTATTCCTGTTTACATTATGTTTCACCAATTTTGAACTTTTTGTACATGTACAGACTAATCATTTGAGAAAATCAGATTACAGTGTAGATATCCAATGAAACCAATAATAATTGACTGATCATTGAAAAATTGTATGTTGTCTCAATTATCTGCAACTAAACTCCTATAATAAACCATTAAGTCCAAATGATTCCAAGCTGATAAAACTTAACAATAAAAAGAGCCAAGTAAAAGAAACTTTGAATTACATCAAATAATTTTTACTACAACACCAATCCCAGCTTTACTAGTGCGGGGGAATATCTAATATGCCACCCTATGTATTATTTCAGGTACAAATGTACGCCTGAGTAGAACCACCCACATTCTGTAAGCTAGCTGAATAGCTTCCTCAAAGTGTATTTCTAACATTTTGCAAGTTCTTTTATTTGGCCCTACAGTGTTAATAACGCCATATTGTGCTGTTGTTAAGTTTTGTGAATGATTGAATGAATGAAAGCAGATATCTTTACTCACCAGATTTACCAAGGTTAAAGGTCAAACTATAGCAGAATATCAGTTAAAGCAATGATGAATGATAGGTTACAATGATTTATACAATTCAGAGTACTGTATAATAGTTGAAGTAAGTTTTGAATTAATTACAACTTATCTCCTTTTATATTAGACAAGTCTCTTCTGTAAAACTTGTAGTGATAATATAACAAACAATCTAACAATTAACTAAGGAACCAGTAACTTGTAAAAACTTTTCTTTTGCTTGAGACTACACGCTAAATCCTGCCAGTAAGCCATCAAGAATGGGTTTAAATATGGTGTAACAGTACAATCTCCGCACAACAGATCCCCTTATAGAGACAAAGATTTTGGTTCTTACTGAGAGGTGTTGCCCTGGAGCGGTTACATGTCTTGTGAAGTCTGACGTCGGGAAAAGATTGAAACAGTTATTGCAAAAGAGATTATTTTTCTCTAAAAGATGGCCGCTCTTCAGAGAGTGCACTGTAGTTTCAACTTTGGTTACTTTAAGCTATAGTGAAATCAGTAGAAAATACAAATTACAGTAACGTTATCAACGTGCCATGCATTAATGATGAATATAAGAAACCAAACGAGGTAAAAAAAAGTGAACAATCTTCAACAAGAATAATGTTAAACAGTGTAAACGAAACTCACTTAATACCTTTTTTCTTTTTCGATGTTTTGTCCACTTCAAATAGTTCTATATCACTATCGTCACTATCACTGAACACCGCAGCAGGTTTTTTCTTCGCCCCTCGTCCATGTTTTGTTCGTGTGACGGGCGTATCTTTACTTTGTTCCATCTCCTCATCCGAACTGTCTTGCTTACGTCGGCCTCTCCTAGGTTTTGCTTTGTGAGCTAAAAAAAACCAACCCCAAAAGTTATTCTCCTTGTCAAAATTGTTTGTTTGTTTCATTTTACGCCTTTTTCCAACAGTATTTCAGTCATATAGGCGGGAGTTTCCTAACAATTGTTCCTGGAGAGTTACACCAGCACAAGACTACCTTCCTCCTTGCTAAACTACCAAAGCATCTCCCGGGGATGGAACCCATGCCAGAGAGGTAACTGGATTAGAAGTCATCAACTCTAACCCCTCGACCACGGAGGCGGTTTTGATTGTTTATAAATTTGTGCATTTTACCTCACCATATGTTTTTTTCCTAGTTGGGGTTTAAGTCATACTGACACTGTTAAGATGGTGACTTATTTCAGGCATAAGTGGGCACCTGAGAATACCCATAAACATTCTGTAAGTTAGGTAGTTAAGTAAGTCCCTAGTGAGATTTACATCAACAGGGATGAGCATCAAGTGGTTTGAAGTCAGAAACTTTTACCTATTGGCTGCTAATGCCCAACTAGCTCTTTTTTTATACATGTATATAAAATTCAATCTAATTTAGTATGTTATAAATAAATGCAACACTTGCCTGCAGGTGTTTTGGCACCTTTTCTAGGTGTTTTTCCTTTATGTTTAATAGGTGAGGCCCCAGCACGCTCCACTAACTCGTCCTCATTGAGGCCCTTCTTGTGACAACCTTCAACTCTCTGTTCTAATTCATCTATCAATGTCTAAAAATAATATGAAAATGGGTTATCTAAATTGTCTGATGTCTTTTTTATGAAAATAGACTATGAAAGCAATAGGATCATTATGACCTTAAATATTTATGTCCAGCATGATCAAATCACAAAACAAGTATCACAGAATTATTTCAAACAAATCCATTTTAAAACCATACCGAAATTCTATGACAAAAAAGACCTTTGAAAGAATACTGAATATCTATATTAACATGAAGCCAAGGCAAACAAAACTATTTTTCAACACCTCAAAATTTTTTGAACATGGTGTGACACTAGAGGATTGTCCCTATGAAGAAATATTTAATATAAAATACATAATCAGGTATTTAATATCACATACCTTTGCCTCGGGTTTAGCGAAGTTCCTAGACTTTGTTATTATTGTACAGAAACAGTTATAGACCTCCTCATCGGCCAGTTTGTCAGCAAAACACATGAAATTCTCATGTAGTTTTGCTATAGACTTCTCACTGTATGATAACATAGAGAGGCAAAATGACAAGTCACGCCACTGTCTGTCCACTCTGAAATATAAAATTAAAATTCAAACATAACATATACACATGTTTTTTGTTTTTGTGTCAATGTTTTTAAATTGGAATCAGCTAAGAACGTCAAATTTGTTGATAAGGATCTCAGCACTATATTGACAAATTTTTCAATAATTATCTGTTCAATTGTAACATAGTATAATGAAAGTAGCATGCATCTGACATCAATTATGACCTCAACTGAACAGACAGTTTTGTTGTGTGTTGTTTTTTCTCACTTAAAATATGGTGCTTTTTCCTCTAAAAATGAATTACAGTGTCCCTGTATCTAACAGATTATAGTGCTCATATAACATCAGTTGTCTAGTCAATTACAACTCTACTAAATATAGTTTTTTATGTTGTTCATAGTTTCAGATTTTTACTTCCCTATCAATGGATACAATGACAAAATATCCTACGAAGTCACAATATCGCACAGGTCTGAATCCACTATCCCCTTAATTCTGTTTGTGAGGCAAGTATTATAAGTTTTACGCCATTTACTCAAGTATAAAATAAGAATGGTAAGTATAAGCATACAGTCAAAGAAGTATTCAAATTTATAAGACTTTTGTTTCCAGCAACGTACATGCATGAGATAATGTTCAAACTTTTGTTACTGCAAATTTTGAGCATGTATTTAACATTACTTTAACATGGAGAATGAAAGCTAATGTATACTTCCAAGCAACAACACCACAAGCTAATTATTATATTACCTAGTGGCTCTGTATCTATGGCACAACTTCTCCACCAGACTCTCACAGTGTTTGTCTTTCTGTATAAATGAGAACAGGTACCTGAAAATATAACATTTATCTATAACATGGAGAATTTCTTGCGAAAAAAATATCAAACAAACACATTTAAATCATACAACCTTAATGATTCATTTTTATCTTGATATCTGATATCATTTATTTTGTTCATGGTTATATTATTGTGAACAATTCATCTTTAATCTTCCAACCCACATATATTAAGTAAATAATTTTCCTTCCTACCCACTCTAATATCAAAGTTTGATTTGAAAACTGCAAATGTAACAGATCTCCGAAGTATATCCAATCATAAAATAATTCTTACTAAACATAGTGCATGTACCTGTCTTAAATCCAAGTCAAACTATCTAATAATCATGTATCTATATAAGCATAGATATATATTTATTTAACCTTTTTAAGCTACAGGTATAAAGTTTGATACATGTACATTTGTTTTGCAATGAAGACCGAAATATATCACAACAAGAAGAAGGAATACATACTTCATGATAATTCTGAAATGTTCCTCATCAATGCCGATGTCAGGATCTGAGAGACGACTGATCATGTCTGGCATAATGTTGTACACAGCGTTACCCTAAAATATATATACACTTAGTCAATCAAAACATGTATTATTATCTACATTTTAGTAACAAAGGTTTTTAAGACATAAACACTGAAAAGGTCAAATAGAGACTTTCCATCTTAACTGGAGGGGGATAATCTCAGGTGCCATTCTGTGCATTAAATTTTTAGATTACCACCCAAATTCTGAAAGCTAGTGTTTTTCACACATCAGAAACCAATGTTCCCCCCTAGGAACAAACCCAAAAGGGGGAGGTTAAATGATGATAATAAGCGGCCCACCAATCAGCTTTTAGCGTTGTTTGGGTTTGACTTGGTTTTATACATATTTAAACATTTATTTTGGCAGTATCTTCGCAGTCCAGTTCGCTCAATAGGTAGAGTGTTGGACTGTGAATCTGGCGATTCCTGTACAGCACAGGTCACTTACGTTGTGATTGATCATGAAATTCTTTCTACGGGTCATACCCACTGTACATCTGCTCTGGTATCTACAGAAGTTCAGTTCCTTGTGTAAGTGAAGGCAACTAGTACTGGTTAACTGCTTGACAACCTGCCCAAGAACAATGCAGTGGTTGAACTGTGCTCTGGTGAATTAAATGTGGCTTACTGTTGTGACTACTGTTGTACATATTAAAATCAACAAAATTTACCTTCTTAGCTAACTCATTGAAGAAAAGTTTAGCAAGACTTGCAATTCTTTCATCATGGTCAACTATACATATGGCCATTTCACTGATTTGACCTTTCACCTTGATCATATCATTCAGGATGAGATGTGTCAACACCTGCATTGTGTTCTTCCTTACATCTGATGATTCATCTCTTAGTCTGTAAGAATATTATGCATATATATCATTTTTTCATTTACACCAACACTAATATGGAAAACATCAGTGTTATGTTTCATATTATGATATATTTTGTCATAGATAAACCACGTGTTTAAAAACAAGAAAATTTATAATGATCAATGATTTTTAACTTGAAATAGTGTCATTTTAATTTCCACGTAAAAACATTTCAGCCCTCTTTCTTGAAACTTCCAGTTAAACATGTATAATACTTTATATCCAAAGATACATTTTCTTTTCATTCACTTACTACTTCGGTCAAATATTCTCAATGCTTACTTCAAACATCTTGCAACAAATATTCAACACTTTTTCTCTTTAACCCTTAGCCTATTGGCGGCAACTGATTCTACCCATGAGATTATTGCAAACCAATATTAGTGCTGTCTGATCATGGCCTGCACTGCACTGCACTGAAAATTTTCCCTAAAATGATGAAGGTTTGCCCAGACTGATATAGGCAAGTCCATTTAGGATATATAATAGGTAAGGGTTTATTGAAAATCTAAATAAAATTTGATGATACCTTGCATAGAGATGAGGAGTCCAAGGTTCAATCAGATTAGGAAACCTAAAGCACAGATCTCCCATGGCGATGATAGTATTTGCACGTATGATAGGACTGGTGGACTTCTCTAACATTGTAAACAACAATTGTAGATGCTGGTCACAGAACTCCGAACTGACCATCATAAACTTGGCCAGAGCTAATGTGGCGGCTGTCTGTAACTCGGTGTCCGGGTATTTCTGGTGGTTGCTACATACCGCCTCTAATAGTGGACCAAAAGCTGCCAGCAGTGTGTTTCCTTCAAATAATTATAGTACATATGTATGAAACCTTTTATTTTCTTAGGTAATTTTAAAGTACTAAAATTTTTATTGGAAACTTTTTAAATAATATCAACTGATCAAATATGTACAACTTTGCAAATTAACAAAAAACCTTTGACTGTAAAGCCAAACATCTGACACTTTCATTCATTTAAAGCACTGACAATTCTTTTTTTGAACTTTTGTGATCTACTTTTGCATTAGACAGGAAAATCTTCATAACTTGCAGAGGCGTTCAAAGGTTCAAGTCATGCAATTTGGCTCAAAATCTACACAGTGATTTAGGACATTTCGTTCAAATTATTGTGGATATTAATTAATGATAGAAATCAGGCGATCACAAAAATTTTGTTCAAAGTCTCTGAAGCATTAACTAATAAATGTTTACCTGTTACGACCTCACATTCACATATTTTACGGATATATTCAGATTCAGCATCTTCTGCTGCTGCCCCAGCTAATCCCATCTCTTCTTCTATATTCTCATTGTCCTAGATGGGAAAAACAACTATCATTATATTATTTCAACACAAATATTATTATCTTACAAATATTTCAATGATTTACTAGCAGATTTAAATGTTACCATTATTCATTTATCATTTATAAAACTGTTTCTTCAAACACCAATGTCAAGTTCTCCATATACAGCAAAAAAGAGACATTTGTAAGATATAGTAGTCAAAACTAAAACCAATCAGCCCATTTTCATCTGATGTCAGACCTTATTTCATTCAATGCTTAACCTGCTGAAAATGCATCTGGTTTGAATTTGTGAATTTGGAACAATTTTATTTAAAATTTAAAGGATTTCAATATCAAATACATAAATTGAACTACCAAAGTATAGACCCATGTCAGACTGCATGGATGTGTAAGCTGACCTGCAGACATTTTCACAAAAGATTTTACAATTCATCTGAAGTTTTTGACTTGAAAATGAATGAAACTTATGAATGGGGAACACCTTAAGTAAAGTAACAACATATTTTGCACTTAAGATTTTCTTAAGGTTTTCTGTGAAATAAGATTTCTCTTACAATAGAAAATTTGTCATAAGATTATTTTATAACAAGAGCTGTCAGTAGGACAGCACGCTCGACTATTCTAAGTGCTTGATAGTAAAAGAGCCTTTATAATGTTAAATTTCTTAAGTTCACAAAAGAGCTAATTTTTTTCATAAATTCATGTTATAGGCCTTAGAGAGAGTCTAATTATACAGTATTGGCTTGACTATTCGGAAGGTAATGTCACAAGGGTGTTTAATTGAGTAAAATAATACTAATTACCTATGAATACATAAATTTGACAGAAAAGGTACAAAGGCTTGTTATTAAGATGTTTTATCAAGTTAATCACTGCTTTATTATTATGAATGCATAAAATTGTCCCAAAAAAGGTACAAACCCTTCAGTAGTTATTGAGATAACAGCTTACAAGCAAAACTTTACCATGATTTTTAAGTTGAAAAATCCCGGGAGAAAAATCAGCCTAAATGCAAGATAGAATTATGGATCTTTGTCAGTGCCTACAATTATGACCCTAAATGCATATGTGAAGTTTTAAATAAATATCTTTAATAGTTATTGAGATATGTAAAACTATCATGTTAACATTAACCAAGAGACTAAGTAGAAAAGGGGATATGAATCAGCCTTAATGCAAGATAGAGTTATGGGACTTGGTCAGTGACATACAATTATGACCCTCCAATTATGACCCTAAGTGCATGTGTAAAGTTTCAAGTAAATATCTTTGAAGACCTTTAACCTTTAACCAAAATTTCTAAGTTTCAAAGGGGCAAATAATTCTGCAAATATTGCAGGCAGAGTTATGCAATTTTGCAAACTGATATACATTGTTACTATAAAAGAGTATTTTAAATTTCAATTGAATATCTCAAGCAATAATTAAGATATTTGACTTTACAAAAAAAAACTTTAACCAAAATTTCTAAGTTCCAAAGGGGTATAATTCTGTCAATATTGTAGGCAGAGTTATCCAACTTGTCAATCTGATGTACCTTGTTACTATAAATAAGTATTGTAAGTTTCAATTGAATATCTCAAGCAATAATTGAGATATTTGACTTTACAAAAAACTTTAACCAACGCAGACGCCGACGCGGACGCTGACGCCGACGCCGGGGCGACTAGAATAGCTCTCATATTCTTCGAATAGTCGAGCTAAAAAGGACTGCTGGTTCTATACTGGTGGCAAGGACTTAAAACTTTTGGTTTCAGCAAGTTATAAAGATAATGGTTTTACCTTGGCTCTATTCTGTTTACTGGCAGGAGTTTGTATCCAATCTTTCTGTTCCTGTATAGCCCTACGTCTCTTCATCTCACCAAACACGGCCACATCCAGATGTACCAGTTGACGTAGTGCTACATGACCCACTAGAGACAGTAGACGAGCCAACACACCGGAGGCGAAACCCACCTTCTCTGTCTCATCATCCTTTTCTAATACTGAAATACAAGATTTTTTTTAAAAGTTAATACTACGAATTACTCATCAATATTAATAAAAAAGTGACCATTCATGCATGGAATAAAGCAGAGACACTTGGATCTATAATCTCTTTGTGGATTTTTAGTTACAGTAACATTCCTAATTTAATCCTCTTTTCCATTATTTCTTTAATAAGCTAAGTTAACTTAAGTAAAATGGTTCCCTACTTTAAAGTTTTCAACAATTTTAATAAAATCAGAATCCACAGCAAAAAGAGTCAATAGCAGCTTGTGAACAATTGTCCTTATTGTGCTCCCTACTTCATTTGACTGGTACTTACTGTGCTCCCTACTTCATTTGACTGGTACTTACTGTGCTCCCTACTTCATTTGACTGCTGTACCTCAAAAGAAAGTTTCAGTTATCATGAACTGTTTGTATAGGTGTAAACCAGCAACTCTTTGTTTATATACCAATCTCAAGGCATGTAGGATTAAGAACAACATACCATCTAAAGGATTTCCGTCATCATCACCCTCCAGGTTTTCCTTCTCGCCTGTAGTTTCTCCAGCCTGACTACATGCAGTTTCTCCAGCCTGACTACACTCCTTGGAAAGCTTTTTAATCAGATCTCCACAGATAATGTCCGGTGACTCGGCTAGCTTGTATATAACATTGACAGCTTGCTCCATTAATGGTATCCAGTAACGGTTCTCCAGGTCAGTCGCAGATTTGACAAGGATTCTGGTGAGGCTTGTGAACATATCGTGTGTTTCTGACAGTCTGTACGGGTCACTTGCCACATCTCCCTTCATCTGTGAGAAAATATTATAAGTACATATTCAAAATCATTTGTTTGTTCCTGCTTCAAAATTTATAACTTCACTTTAAAAAAAATTCTCAAAAAGTTTCAATATCATGTCACTTTATACCTAAATTAATTTGTTACGTTAAAATATACTTTTTTTACTCTTCATTTACTTACAGTTTTTGGAGTGCTCAACTTCAGTAGTGCCAGGCAAGTATCTCTAGCCAGGAGTAGGTCGGTGTCCGCCCTGGGGCCAAGGCCCTCCCTTACCAATACATCAATGTTTGTCTTAACAACTGCCATATCAGCCCTTAAAGAAATAAGCCACACAGCAATTAATTCATTAATTCTTACTCAAACATTGATGAATTCATAGTGTATAAAAATATATCCTCCTTGAAATTGGAACAGTCCATTATATGTGAGATTTTTATACTGAAATCGAGCAGCCAGAGGTTTACAGTGTGATCAGACTATGCAGATTAACCAGTAACCTGCTAAATTTTCTAAATGGACTTGTCCACGAACTGTTCAGTATCAATTTTAGGGACATCACAATGAAAGTTTGAAGTTAGTCAGCAACAATACAGTGGTCAGGTTATAATTTTATTACCTTGTTCCATTTGAAAGTACGTCATTTCAGGTGACTGGCTGCTTATTTTTCACAAGTCAAACACTTTGTGACTTGAGTCAAATATAAACATTAAAAGAAGCAATAGAAAAATAAAATGTTTACCCAGCAGCCATTGCGATCAGTTGTACAGCGGCCCGGCTCTCATCAGGTGTGGTACCAGCTATCTTCATGGTGAACCTTTCCCACAACATCTGTATAACATTCTGTCCTAGCTCCCCAGACTTCATCAACTCAACAATCTATAAACATAACCATGTAACATTTTGTTTGTTTGGTTTTATGTCACACCACCACTGTCATATTTATGTGGCAAATTTCCAGCTTTATTGATGAAAGAAGACACAGGTACCTATTTGTGCATTATGTAAGGCACCTAAGTAGAACCACTGCTGTTCCATATGCTAGCTTGATAGCTTCCTCAAATAAAATTTTTTAAAGTCCCTGGAATGATTCGAACCAAAAAAGTTGTGTGGTAAGTGGTTTGAAGTCAGTCAGCAAAACACCTTCTCCCAATAAAATTTCAAATGTTGTATATTATGTTAAAACATCACAAGTACAGTAAAGAGAATCAAATCCTTAGCCACAATGAAGATATGATTTGTTTCAATAAGGCCTCTCCATACATGAATCAACACTTTCATACATTTTCAATAAAAATATATACATGTACTACTTAACTCTTAATTAAATTCAATCATTACACACACTGTGGAAATTATCAAGCCTCTTACCAGACCATCCAGTGAAGTAAGGTCACATAATGTAGCTCCCATTGTTAAAGCTGATAAATTGTTCACAATTGCTTGAGCCTTTGACCTAAAGAAACCAATAAATCAAAATGTAATGTTAGGATCATTACATATAATAAGTGAATATCAAATAAAAGCTAAAGAAACAACAAGACCTGTTCTGTACAACAGCTCACTTGCATAAAATATGCTTAACAAAATCATTATCAATTATGTTTCCCTTATTTTAGAACCAGTTTGTATAAGAATTTAAGTTTGGTTTTCAGTCAAACTAAATGTCAAGACGTAAAATTTATAACTTTGTTGTATCTTTATTGGAAGAGAAAGACCTCAAAAACTCCCCCATTCATTATTACAGGCACAGCTAGGCATCCTAGTAGAATCTCCAAACTTCTTTAACAAGCTGGATAGCTTGCACAAATGAAAGAAACTTTAGAAAAGTACCGGGCATAATTAGTACTCAAAATATAGGACAAGTGATTTAAAATCTGCCAGAACCACTTGGCCATGTAGGCTCCTAGCCAAAATGAAACATTGGGGATTTAAAGCAATCATCATACCTTGCATTTCCCCCTTGTGGATTTAAATAAAGTCTTTTATATGCTGCAACCACGGCATCTTTAATCCCTGCCTCCTTTGACCAAATCAAAGGTAACATTCGTCTGATTCCTATCATAGTTGCTGTCAGACCAAACTCGAAACCCGTGACAAAAAATTCAATGGCCTCCATCACATCGGTGAGATTTTTAGAGCCAAGGAGTTGTGAGATGACTGGTACAGCTGCCTGTAGCTGGGTGGCAAATGCAAGAGACTCCTGTGTATGAAAGAAAAATATCATGTTAGTCTTGTCAAAATAATTCTTATCATTTTGATGGGATCTTTTGATACAAGTAGTGTTTATGTCATATAGCACCTTTCCTTGTAGTGGAAGACCTTGGAAGGCATGATGGTAACCCTCGAGTCATTGCATTATTTCAGATATATGCAAGGGTCAGTGTAGTTAAAGTGAAATTATAATGAAAATCCAAGTAAAAATGGTGTATGTACTGGAAAAAGACATAATAGTTTTAAATTTTGTCATAATTGTTTTATAATTCATTATTTTGTTATACATAAATAATCAAAAACTTGTGTGACATACAGAAATTTCTATAAGTATCTTTGAGGATTATTTGTAACATTCACTCGAAAAAGAGTTGGGCAGTCTTAAGTTTAGACAGTTTTATGTTTTATCCTAATCATTTGTCATTATTAATTAATGGTCAATCCATTATTATTATTATAACAGTCAATCATTTTAAATAACCTGACACAATTGGGAAGCTTTCTAAAATGAAAGAATATAACATCCCAGTGCCATCAGGGGTAAATGACTTAACCACTCGGTCAGACATATTAGCAAATTTTGATGTACATAGTTACTTACCTTGAGATACTGTACTAGAATTTGTTGCTTGGCAATCTCACTTGCAACAGTAGGATCTGTTTGCGTGTCTGTCTGCATGGCCTCAGTGGCAGTCAGGGCATGACTTGCATGCTTCCTTTCTGAAACATACAAATAATTTTCCCTTATATTCATATCGAACAAAAAGTGCCATTGCTGTGCATATGTATGGGGCAGGTAACATGGTAATTAATTAAATGTTTTTTTTCTCTCCAATTTTACAGTAAATTTAACATGCATCATTAACAAAACAAAGATGTGGACTCTTACTTAGCTAAATATCTTAAATGGCCTTGGACAAAATCATTCATCATTTCAAGGGATTTTTTTTAGAGTAGTTACTGATTGAAAAGCAAAGAGTGCAGATGATAGGAAGGCAAAGATATGCTGGGTGATCCTGGTTTTGCACTGGTTGCAGGCTACCGGAAATAAAACAAGAAAGTAAGTACATGATTAATTGTACTATTAATAGTAATACTATTATTTGTCCAGAACTTTTGAGTCCCCACCAAAAATTGAATCAGATAATAAAAATTTTGCATAGGGAACAAATCGCCTATTATAACTCTAGTCAATGGAAAAGTGAATATGCTACTTTTCTTCAATTGTAACACAATACATAATTTTACTTCTTAAACTTCATCTACACATTATTCATTATCTTACCTATGAAAAGATTTTTCAAGCATGTAATGGTATCCATGGTAACAGGCTCTTTCTCCTCCTCCTCGTTTTCTTCTTCAGTCGATTGTTTCTCTGTAGCAATATCAGGGAAAGATTCTCTAGCTGCATTCATCAACATTACTGCATCTTTAAGTTGACTACTAGTTAGCTGCTGATAAATCTTCTCCAATACACTGCATGTAAAGTTTGAAGTTTAAAATATTAAATAAGGCGAGCATAATATTATTTTATTCCACCAGTTCAACAAATTCAGTAATGAACCTACACAAATATAATATTCCATTATCACATATCAAAAACAAGATTGCATTTGAGAAAAATGCTATGCCACCGCATTAATACAACACTAAATAGTAGTGTAGGAACAGATTTTTTTTTGTTTCTATACAATTGAAGATTGTCATAATGCATAGATCCCTGACCTATCTAATTCTTATTATCAGATTAGTGGTTAAATCTATTGTTAATCCAATAAAAGATCAGAGTAGGAATATATCAATGCACTTGAGTCTGGTGAATTTGGTGGTGAAGGTCATATTTCACACAGCCTAAATATCATGACTACATCAAAGGACAACACAGTAAGACACTTTGTCAAAATCTAGGTCAGCTGATATCAAAGTTCACTTTACAACTTAAACTGTGCACATGGTCAAAATTCCATTGCTGTACATCAAAGGACAAGAAAGTAGGTCACTTTCCCCTTGGGCAAGGCAAAATTTTGACCCAAGGGTTTAATTCAAAACAATCTTGATACAGGTCCACCAAACAACATTTCAAGTCAAATATCTAAGCTGTAGCTTTCTCCCATTCAGAAAACATTTGTTTTATTTTCTGTTTTTACAATGTGTACATAATGAGAATCACTGCCCCCTGGCAGGGCCAATTTTGACACCAAGGGAAAAATTTGAACAACTTTGGTAGAGGACCTATAGATGATATTATATAGCAAACATCAAAGCTCTATGCCTTGTACCTTCAGACAAAAATATTTTTTTTTTTTACTATATGTACATAATGAAAATCAATGACCCCTGGGGTGGAACCAATTTTGACCCCAGGGCTATAATTTGAACAATCTTGGTAGAGGTTCAAGCCTCATAAAGTCTCATGCCATATATTTAACCTCTAGCCTTTGTCAATTCAGAGAAGAAGTTTTCAAGTTTTTACTTTATACATATAAGGAAAACTATCGCCTCTGGGGCAGGGCAATTTTAACACTAGGGGCATAATTAAAACAACTTTAGTAGAGGACCCATAGATGATATTATATACCAAATATCAAAGCTCTAAGCCTTGTACCTCCAGACAAGAAGTTTTTTTTACTATATGTACATAGTGAAAATCAATGACCCCTGTGCCAATTTTGACCCCAGGGCTTTAATTTGTACAATTTTGCTAGAGGTTCACTACACAATGTTTCATGCAAAAAATCTTAACTCTAGCCTTTGTAAATTTAGAGAAGATGATTTTTTAAGTTTTTACTATATACATATAAGGAAAACCTATGGCCCCCGGGGCGGGGCTAATTTTGACACTAGAGGCAAAATTTGAACAACTTAGGTAGAGTACCTATAGATGATATCATTTAACAAATATTAAAGCTCTAAGCCTTGTACCTTCAGACAATAAGATTTTTTACTATATGTATACATTGAAAATCAATGACCCCCGGGGCGGGGGCAATTTTGACCCCAGGGCTATAATTTGAACAATCTTGCTAGAGGTTCACTTCACAATGTTTCATGCAAAATATCTAACCTCTAGCATTTGTCAATTGCTAGAAAAAGTTTTTTAAAGTTTTTACTATATACATATAAGAAAAACCAATGACCCCCGGGGCGGGGCCGATTGTGACCCTAGGGCTATAATTTGAACAATCTGGGTAGAGGTCTACTAGACAATGCCTTATGCAAAATATCTAAGCTCTAGGCCTTTTGGGTCTTTACAAGAAGGTATTTTAAGTTTTTACTATATGTACATATAGTGAAAATCAATGACCCCCAGGGCGGGGCCGATTTTGACCCCAGGGCTATCATTAAAACAATCTTGGTAAGGGTCTACCAGACAATGCCTTATGCAAAATATCTAAGCTCGAGATCTAGGCCTTTTGAGTCTTAACATGAAGGTATTTTAAGATTTTACTATATGTACATATAGTGAAAATCAATGACCCCCGGGGCGGGCCGATTTTGACCCAAGGGCTATAATTTGAACAATCTTGGTAGAGGTCTACCAGACAATGCTTTATGCAAAATATCTAAGCTCTAGGCCTTTTGGGTCTTTACAAGAAGATTTTTTAAATTAATTCTTATAATTCCTTTTGGTTGCCATGGCAACCAGATTTCTGCATGGAATGAAATTCTTTGAACAACTTTGGAAGCCCTTCACCCAAGGATCAATCCTGCCAAGTTTGGTTGAAATTGGACTAGTGGTTTTTCACAAGAAGATTTTTGAAGTTCACTATATAATCTATATAACACACAAACAAACAAACACACACACACACAGGTGAATCGCTATATGCCACCGCATCGCAGATGCTGTGGTGGCATAATAAAGACTGTGTTAAAGTGAAAAAGAATCATTTTTCATTGACATGCCTCTAACTCTATCATTTAGCACGCCTTCACAATATGTTTGTAAAACATATGACATCTTGGTAAAATATATGCAAGGCCGTGCAATACCATTTTTAAAGTGTTGCAAAAAGCTGCTGGGTATGTGATAAGTTTCATTATTTAAAAGATTTTTGTTATTGCATTTCTACATTTCATCAAACCATTGATAATGATTAAGAGATTGATATCAGAATTTGTTTACCAATTTACAAATCATCAATTGTCATATAAATTTGTTGAGTTACATACCATACATATTGTCTATTTTAATAGTTTGGCTTAAATACATGATCGTCTATACACAGACCAGCTTTGTATAGCAACTTTATTTTGTACCTCCAATTAGAGGCCGCTATAGACAAATAAGATTGTATTGGCAAAACCTTAACAAAAAGTTACACAACGCTACATTGAGACGTATAGCTCCTCCTGTTTCCTTCTAATAGTGAGCTAACAAATCAAACAAATAGCTATACACATGTACTAACATTTCCATTGTAAGACTGTAAAGACAAAACCTTACCAAAATGTAACATGAGACAAAGGTGAGAAAAAAAAGCCAACATGTTATCTTCTAATAGTCAAGCTAAATACACAAGCAATTATCTATACTAACATGTCCATTGTGTCTTCTTCAGATATAAGACTAGATGGCGTGCTGCGATTTTCATCATCCTCTGCCAGCTCATCTATGATAGGTTGAAGATTCTTCTTCATTTCTACCCATTCTTCTTCTGTCTTCTCCTTAAATGTTGCTGAAAAATGGAAACAAGTTAATATATGTATTAATAAGTGACATTCTATACACAGTGAATGTGTATTCTGTAATGCTGTCAAGAATAGGTTTTATCAAAACATTGTTTTATCTCTGTTAGCACTCTAGCACTAGTCTTATCAGTGGGCACTAAGCCAGGATATCTAGGGTTGTCTCAGTTGCAAATTACTTTTCTGCCTCATTAAACTCCCTACAACAATGTCCGAGTTATGATTTGATGCTGCTTGCTATTATGCGATAATGGCCCTAAGACGTACATAATGGCTTGAGGGCCGCAAACACAAAGAGCATCATGGATTCGAAAAAAGTAATAAAAAGACATCTAAATTAATAAAAAGACTCTCTGCTAACAGACACTTTTTTACTTTAGCTTTATTATAAATTTATGATTATCTAAGCTCATCTAAGATCACATTGGAGTTTACTACCTCTAGCAGGGCTTATTTTTCCTCCTACTGCATAGGCCATTGATAGGTGACTTCTCCCAAGAATAATTCTTTAAAATTATGGAGTTTCTCTTTAAATTCAGTTTACATCTAGCTTTTTCCTTGCCCAAATTGCGAACTTACTGTGTTATATTTCCCATTATTAAAGGAAAGGCTCCTGTGAGAAAAGTCCTGTAATGTCGCTTCATCTGTGGACACATGCCTTACTGTAATTTGTTATGAACTCAAAATCACTGGGATAAACGGAAGAAACACTCCATTTAACCTAATAGAAAAAGGCTATTTGGCACAAGACAGGAGAAAGTAGCAAACTTTACCATTAGGATCATCCACCTCTTCATCATCTGGTTTCAGCTCCTTCAGTTTTTCTTTCTCTTTCTCGTAACTCAGCTCCAACTCCTGCACTGATAACTGTTACAATATACAAGTAACAAATTTAACATAGGTTTAGTAATAAACAAGAAATTATTATCTGAGGAAATTACTTTGATGAAACCTACAACACTTGGGTTGTAAGACACACTTGAATCAATAAACCACCACTCTTTGTATAACATCAATATTACTGATACAACATACTTTTGAATGCTTGAGAAAAGAATTACAGGTATATGCACAAGTATAAAGTCAGGCTAGATTGCAGGTGTGTGTACTCTAGACCATTTTCTAAATCTGTTCATACTATTTTTTTGCTATCTAGTTTAGCTTATGTATACCATAAGATTATTCTTGCATGCAGTTCTAATATGCCATAATAAATACCTACAGAGGTAATGTCTGCAAATTGAAATTGCCAACTGATTGTGCCTACCTAATCTTATTAACCTACATGTATATCATTGTTTTACAATTTAGTGGCCACATACCACAATATAATTTTATTTCAAATACTGTAATAGTAAATATAGTTCTTTATTAAATATTTCATATAATACGTTGTAGCATTTATCAATTTCAAAATAAGGACAGTCACAATAAATTACCTTAGCAGCAAATGGGTTGTTCTTCAACAAAGCTGTAATTAACTGTATGGCATATTTCCTCACAGAACTCGACTTGTCCTGTAGACGTCCAATAACCAGACACAGAAGATTTTCCTGGTGAGGGAGTGGCAGACATTTGGCATTGACCACTAGAAGCCATATTTGGAGAACCTTGCTTCTTACATAAGCATGTATATCATGTATATGATCCTGGCATATTGATAAAAAAACAAATATTACTCAGTTTGTAAATATGAATAACCTTTCTTTTATAATCTCTTAATAAATAAATAAAATCCAAAGGTAAATATAAATCCACAATCAATAAAACACAATTTTTTTGTTCATTTATCATGCATTCTTCATTCTCTAAAATGTTTTTTTTTTTCTTCAAAATTTTAGCTGCCAATGCTTGTAAAGCGAGTTATAATTTTAATACTGCATTAACACTATTAACTCCATAGTTAATATTTTGCCCCTTATTATAAACATGCAATTTTGTGGCATATCAGTGGATTCAACCACATTTCTCATCAATATAAGTTACAATTCCTTTTTCAAACATTTCAATCATTATAAACAAAATATCAAAATCACACAAGTGACCAATCACCATAGAGCATTGTTACCTCTAATTTCTCTAAGAACTGATCCCTTGTGTCCTTCATTTTCTCGTCCAGGTCATCTTTACTGAGCACCTTCATAAGGATTTCTCCCATGGCTGCCAGTACACCATTCCTCATAGCATGTGACTAGAAGTTTATATAAGAAATAACCCAATTAATATTAATTTCAACATTTAAGATGATCTTACCCTAGTGCATAAATTGAATGAACTTGTCATGTTTGGAAATTCAGACTGTCTGTTGTAAGTTTACTGGATTTCAAAATCAAAATGTAAAAAATAAACAACCACAACCACTGACTCATGTTGGTTTGCGCCTCAGTGCAATGTTAAATGACTGGACACTATTATTATAAGCTTAATATCATGGCAAAATCCACAAAAATAGCCATTGCTTTGAAATGCCAGACTTGAAAATATTCTTAAATGACACAGAGGAAACTAAATATCATTCAAACAAAAGATTTTTACTTTACTATGTTTTGCATTACAATCATAAGTTTTTTTCACTTTATTTAGTGTTGTATATTTGTGTCTATTTCAGTGTTTCATTTATTTCAGGTGAAAAAGCGGACACATATTCAGACCAAATCCACTTTTTGTTAGTTGTAAAGGATCCTAAACATAAAAATTTTAATTAAAATATACCTCTCCATCAAGGTGACACAAGAGTAGACTGATGTTTGGTAAAACAGCTGCGGGACATTTCTCTGTCATCTCTACCAGGAAAGCCGAGTAGGCTCGAGTACCTGACGTGTCACGTGAGAAATCTGATCCATCCATTCTACCTATCTCTCTGTAAAATAATTTACACATTATCTACATCTTAAGAAGACTTTACAGTGTACCTCATTAGATAAGACAATCATATCATGTGATAAAATCTCACAATTACATATTATTTTCCATCTTCAATTGTCATACTATACAATTAATGCTTAAAGGCAGTTTGACAAACAAGTTTTCAGATATAATATTCAAGGAATCTCACTGCTTGGATGCATAGCAATAAATAAGAAGCACATTTAACTTCAGTAACTGCAGCAAAAGTAATTTACTTTGAAATATTAAGTAAATTTTCATCCACCTAGCAGCTGGGTAGATATTGTTCAGCGTGTCATGACTGGATTCAACCTACACTGGTAAATGACAAGCGATGTTAGCCACCTAAACTTCTTGGTTATAGGAACCCTTTTTTTACAAATGGTTATTTCAGGGACATACCTGATTAATTCTGCTACAATGCTTTTATAACCATAATCCTCTACACAAACTTTAACAGCACTAGACAACGGACCAACAAGATGCTCAAAATGTTGCAATAGTTGTATTATCTTCAGACTAGCACCTAAAATATACAAATTAACAAAATACAGTCAAACGTGTATTAAGCGACCGGGCAAGGGAAACACCCAAAACGGTCGCTTAATGAAACGGTCTCTTAAGACAGTCAGCATGATATAAAAGTCAAAATTTATAAATGACATCTTTTTTATTCGGTGGGATTGTTTTTCAACTTCATTTTTATATAAATGTTGAAAAAAGTACGCTCCGATAATCTAAATGGATGCAAATTTAAAAAATAACTTTCTGATATTTATTGACAAAACAGTTCAAGATCCATTATATACGTACATTCTCCGTTGTTTTTCCTTGTCTCCAACACGAAACCCCTATTAGTGAAGATGTTTTCTGTTGTTCATTTTTTTCATTTGAAATAAACAAACTACATCTATTTGTTACGATTAATTTAATGGCTGATCAAGTTCAAGGTCAATTTAATGCAGTCTAAATGTCAACAAGCGAAGCGTATACACCATCTTAGTATGGGCGGAGCATTGCATTGTTTATCCGATATTATTGGATAATACACATCACGCGTATACTTAACTTCATTTGCATACGCTAAAACGGTATGGGAAATAGAGTTTTTCACACGTTTATTGTTGTGTTTTGATTGTTGACACTTGTGACAAAACGAGGTGGCGTTCTCTAAAAACACAATTACTTGACAGGTAAAAGTGGTCGTTTAATGAAAAGATTGATGTCAATTAGGTGACTAATTAGCGGTCGCTGGTCGCGTTGAGCAAAAGTCGCTTAATACATTAAAGATATAGAGAGAAAATGATCGGGGGGAATTTAAAGTGGTCGTTTAAGACAAAAGTCGCTTAATACACGTGGTCGCATGGGCAAGTTAGACTGTAAATTCACTGACATATGTTCAAAACTAAAAGTTTCTGTTCATTGAAATAACAGTAAGACAGTGGGTCTCTGTATTCCAATATATTTTATCAACTATTCAATTATGGCAAAAATTCATGACATGGGTGGGCAATATATTGTAGTGTCTTAAATAAACAATTTTCCCTCAACATTGTTGATAATTTCTTTTGGTGAAAGCCGGTACAAGATTAACTTAAATTGGTGTTTCATTAAAGAATGAACAGATTCAAACCATTTCAAAACAGACATAAAAAAAACCAATTTCTATTTCATGGTAATATTTACTGATTGGTGAAAATTTGGCAATATTCTTTTTTTATAAAAATATTCTTTTTTTTTATCAGAAAAATAAAATATATCTTTATGTAAACTTACTTAAACCATGGTTATATCGTTTGACCATTACACCTATGATGTGACAGATGGCGTCCCTGAAATCTTTGTTTACAGCATGGGTTATCTCTGGGTTCTCCAGCATCTTGTAACAACAGTTTGTTACTAAACTGTAAAAATACACAACACTTAATATCTCATACAATATTACATATATCTTAAATTTCATACAATATTACATATTTCTTAAACCCACTTTTAATTCCCTTGATTCTTTTTTCTAAATTTCTGTCAGAGAACATTCCAAACATGCTTAAACCTTTTCATCCCTGCTTCATATTTTATTTTCTGTAGTAATAAATGATGATAGATAAGTATATGCTATGTTCAAAGGTAGAATCAACATTTTGGCAACTGGCTGCTTCAAGACATGAAAGTTTTTTGTTTCATGCTTTTCATACATGTTCTCTCTACCTAGTAAATCAAATAAACTGCTCATGAAATAGTAAATACAGAATCTATCTCTATTTAAGTCATTGATAGAAATATTTGAAGATCCAAATGATGCCTTGGATTGTTTCAACTCTTTATTTAGTCAGGTATTAAATGAACATGCCCCTCTAAAACGAAAACGTGTAAAACACACACATCTTCCAGACTGGTACAATCCTGATATTCTTCATGCCTCTAAACAAAGAGATAAAGCTAAAAAAATAAATAATAATGAAGATTATAAGTATTGGAGAAACAAAGTTAAAAACCTGATTTCTAGTTCTAAGAAAAGTTACTACTCAGAAACAATAAATAACAATAAAAACAATGCTAAAGAAATGTGGAAAAATCTCAAACAATTATCAGGGAAATCTTCTAATCACCAGACAAGTTATATTCAAGATGAAGATGGAAATAAAATTACAGACCCACTAAAAACAGCTGAAGTATTCAATAACTATTTCATTGATATTTTTAAATCTGCTCCAGCAAATTGTTCAAATTTATTACAAGAAGATGAAATAAAACTGCATGAGTTTATTGAAATGCATTCAAAGACTGATTCTCCATTTACAATACCAGAAATTACTGAACAATTCATAATCAAAGAACTTCAATCTCTTGATTTCAAAAAATCAACTGGTCTAGATGGTATAGGACCTAAATTTCTTAAAATGAGTTCTAAAATTATTTCCAAACCCTTAGAAAAGATATTTAATCTCAGTATATCAAATGGCATATTTCCTTCAATATTTAAAAAAGCAAAAGTTACACCTATACATAAGAAGGGCAACAAGAATGAAGTAAGCAATTACAGACCAATTTCAATACTACCAGTCCTGTCAAAAATTCTAGAAAGACATGTTAGTGATCACCTAAAATCATTTCTTGAAGCTAACTCTCTTTTTCAACCAAATCAATCTGGCTTTCGCACAAATTATTCATGTGAAACAGCTCTAACTTCAATTGTTGACAACTGGATTAAAGCAATAAATGAAGAGAAACTTATAGGGACAATATTTCTTGACCTTACAAAAGCATTTGACTTAATCAATCATGAATTGTTATTAAAAAAACTAAAATTGTATAAACTAGAACTGCCACTATCATGGCGTGAATATCCCCGCATACCACTTTGTCAGAATCAACAGTGGCCATTTAGAGCTCAAGGACAACCTCCCTGCCAAATCTGAGGTTACTAAGCCAGTGCATTGCTAAGTTATGTATTCTACATGCTTCAAATGTGAAAATGTCAAAATCAATACATTGCGGACAGGACATTCTTTAGCAATTGAGAAGAAAAGCTTTTTTTATCAAGGTCCCTGTGACCTTGACCTTTGACTCAGTGACCTCAAAATCAATAGGGCTCACCTTATAGTCATGATCAACATCCATACCAAATATGAAGACTGTGGGTCAAAGGAATCTAAAGTTATTGGGCAGACAAACTTTTTGAAGTCAAAGTCCCTGTGACCTTGACCTTTGACCTGGTGACCTCAAAATCAATAGGGGTCATCTACTAATCATGATCAACATCCATGCCAAATATGAAGACTGAGGGTCAAAGGAATCTAAAGTTATTGGGCAGACAAACTTTTTGAAGTCAAAGTCCCTGTGACCTTGACCTTTGACCTGGTGACCTCAAAATCAATAGGGGTCATCTACTTATCATGACTAACCTCCATGCCAAATATGACGACTGTAGGTCAAAGGAATCTTAAGTTATTGGGCGGACAAGCTTTTTGAAGTCAAGGCCCCTGTGACCTTGACCTTTGACCTGGTGACCTCAAAATCAATAGGGGTCAACTACTAATCATGACTAACCTCCATGCCAAATATGAAGACTGTAGGTCAAAGGAATCTTAAGTTATTGGGCGGACAAGCTTTTTGAAGTCAAGGCCCCTGTGACCTTGACCTTTGACCTAGTGACCTCAAAATCAATAGGGGTCAACTACTAATCATGACTAACCTCCATGCCAAATATGAAGACTGTAGGTCAAAGGAATCTTAAGTTATTGGGCGGACAAGCTTTTTGAAGTCAAGGCCCCTGTGACCTTGACCTTTGACCTAGTGACCTCAAAATCAATAGGGGTCATCTACTAATCATGACTAACCTCCATGCCAAATATGAAGACTAAGGGTCAAAGGAATCTTAAGTTATTGGGCGGACAAGAAAAAACCGACGGACGGCCGGACAGCCGGCAACCTTAATCTCTTGAATGATTCTTATAATTTCTGTTTTTTACAACACATACCTGACAAATTCATCATCTACGACTGGTGGGTCCCATAGTCTGTGAATATGTAACTGTACAAGATTGAGCAGCGTTTTCATGCCCGTCTCCCTCTCTCGTGCCCAGTCTATCGTCATACTAGATGCCTTCTTCTTCCTGCTCTTGCCCTGTAACAAACAGTGTAACATATAACATACACCGTTTATATAAGCACCACTTTGTTTGGCTGATTAGCAGTGATGTAATGAGTCCGCAAATACTCGCTGACCTGATGGTTTGACTATGACAATAGTCATTAGTTTTTTTAAATCTTCTTTATTAAAATTTGATTATGGTTGCGGAAATCCTATGTTAATGTCTGTGAGCGTTATACTTAGGTTAGTAAGGTGGCAGTGTCATTTAGTTAAGAGCAATATTTCTTTTTCCTTACAGATCTATATTTTAGCCGTGACAAAACCAACATAGTGCGTTTGCGACCAGCATGGATCCAGACCAGCCTGCGCATCTGATCAGGAACCATGCTGTTCACAATCAGTTTTTCTACTTGTTATAGGGTTTGTAAGCAAACAGCATGGATCCTGATCAGACTGCGCGAATGCGCAGGCTGGTCTGGATCCATACTGGTCGCAAACGCATTATGTTGGTTTTGTCATGGCGCGGCTCATTTTACCTTGATAGCTTGGTTTGTACTGGGTTTAGTTTCGTCAGATTCCAGCATCTCCATATATTGACAGAGAAGATAGCATGTCATCTTGACAAGGTTACAGTTTGTTTTCCTCATTCCTGCGTCTAAATCATCCTCCAGCACGGTGGCGAGTTTTGTAGATAACTGGGCAGCAACTAGTTAGTGAAACAAACAGGTAATTAATAATCAATTCTTAGTTTGTCTTAGGCTCAAAGTTATAAAGAAATCTTGTTTAGATCAAAACTCAGATCTTAGGTATTTGTTTGGTCAGAAACCGTCATAGTTATAATGTACACTGGCCAACGGGAATCCTGAGCTCAGAAAAGTTTTTGTTACCTCATTGGTTCAAGTTTAAACAATTTTCAACAAGTATTGTAATTAAATGCAGTCAGCAGTGACCTAACAAGTGGATTTTCTAAAAGTTCTTGCATGTTTTGCTGCAAGTAATTACAGTACTTTTCTGCATCACTTAAAACAGTAATGATGGGTTAACAACATTTCAAATACATTTTTCAACAGAAAGAAGGCCTGTTGCAAAACCTTCACCTCAAAGCAAACCAGATGGGTAGAAATGAATAAACATAAAAGTTCTGTTACACCATTATTAAATATACTACACATGTAAGAGAAATAATATGTGGCTTTCAGTATTATAAATTTATATAAAGTTTTTATTTGTTCAATTATTTCTTGATTTTTAAACATATGATTATAAGGATTTATAATCAAGTCATTCATTTCCTGTATTCAGATACCGTATCTTAATCAGCAGTGTAAGAAATTCGGATTTGAATCCACTAGGCTGGTTGGACTACCAGATTGGACTATTCACTAGCCCAAAAGACATTTCACTAGCACAATCTATTTGTTCAAAACAGTTGTTTATATTGCCTCTGAAAATACAGTAGCCTGGTTGAGCTTGTTACAATGTAAAGTTGGTAGCCCAAGGAGAAATATAGTAGTCAGCGGCTATCAGATTACTGCTAATTTTGAACACTGTAATTTATGTTAATGTATGCCGCTAATGCGCTTAAAATATCAATAATTTTTTGTAGCTTGAGATTATAAATACACATACAAAACATTTAAATTGAGAATAATATCAGAACTGGTGTGAGATAATATAAGCAATTAAAACTCACTTTTCACAATGTGTCCCCAGGCATCCTCTTTTACCTCTGTATCCACATCTTTTTGTAAACTGTAAATTTGTAAAAATAAATGTTGCATGGCTCAGCTAAGCTATGAAAGACCTGCTTTTATTGGCAATATATTTGCAATTTACCCTTCTGACAATATTCTACTGCGTTTTTTTCCTTATAAAAATTGGGTTATATAAAATGAACAAATTTTACACACTCCCATATCAGTTATAGATAGATAGATAGATTTATTTCGGCATAAAGGTAAACATGTTACATGATAAACAAACACAATATAGATTAAAACAATTACAAATTAATAAATAAATAAATAAATGAATAAATACTATATTATGTAAACCATGACATGTTCCCAAAACCAAGGATAACACAAAAAAGAGCAAGCTCTTATTTCCATTGTGGTCCTTAGCATTTGGTGGCATGACATAGAGAGGTATTTCATAAAAGCAAAAAAAATATCACAAATTATAAGATAAATCACATTAATGAAGGATATCATTTAAAATCATCACAATTTAAGATGTAAGGTATTGTAAATAAAAAGTCATTATCACATTAAGAAATAAGTATGTGCATAGTAAGAAAGGATTACATTAAAAAAAAAATTATCACAGTTGTTATGAGTATGTAAGGAAAGAACATGCCATAGATTACACTATTCAAAAAAGATAAAGTTTTTAAAATCTTAATAAACAAGAGCTGTCCGTAAGACAGCGCGCTCGACTTTTTTATTGCTTGCCAATAAAAAAAGTTTTTGCAGTAAAAGGCAATACAAGAATCTCTGTATTTTTAAAGTGAACAATGGCCATGAGCATTAAGATATTTAGTGAAGAATTATTTTACTGAATTGTGTGATACCCTTGAACACTGCAGCAAAGTTTGAAATGTTTAAGTCAAAAGAGGGCTGGTAAGAAAGAAAAAAAAACTGAGTTGAGCCTTAAATAAATTTAATAGTATTAAACCCACTTTGAGAGAATAAGGTATTTTTACGTCACTCAGAACACCTTGGTAAATGACATAATAACATAATTTTTCAAGAAATCTATGCCAAGGAAGCAGTATATTTTTGTACAATCAGCATAATATATAGATTTGACTTTGTATGTGAAAGTATTATAGTTACCTTATAATACAAGTAATAGACATGTTTGGGAATCATGATTGTAAACAAGTATTCCAACTTTCAAATTAATATCTCAAACAGTTCAGTCAAAAAGTGGACTGGTACTAAAAACTTAACCAAGATTCTAAGTCGATAAAAGGCCTTAATTTTTAAAACAAATCCTTGACAGAGTTACCTTCTCTTGCGTACAGATGGGGGTAATGATGTGAAATAGCATTAAAAGTTTCAAAGCAATATCTCAAAGGGTTAAGGCAATAAGTGGATTTTACCCATATTCAATGTATTTTCTAAGTCAAAAAGGGGCATAATTCTGTCAAAAACCTTGACAGAGTTATGTCCTCTTGTCTGTTGATGAAGGTCGTGATGGTAAACAAGTATGGTCAGTTTCAAAGCAATACCTCCAATGGTTTTGAAATAAAGTGAGGTGGTACAAAAAACTTAACCAAGCTCAATACACTTTCTAAGTCAAAAAAGGGCCATAATTCTGTCAAAAACCTTGACAGAGTTATGTACTCTTGTCTGTAGATGGAGGTTATGATGGTGAACAAGTATGGTAAGTTTCAAAGCCATACTTGTAATACTTCTGAAATAAAGTGGGGTGGTACGAAAAACTTAACCAAGGTGTGACGCCAACGCCGACGCCGACGCCGGGGCGAGTAGGATAGCTCCCCTTTTCATAGAAAAGTCGAGCTAAAAATTGGGTGTTCAATCAAATAGTCAGATGTCCCCACATTCCATTTCATCGCCAGTCTACATACTGACAGCTTGATGGTATACTGGTGGCATATATGTGGACATTACCGCAACTAGATTTCCAAGGTTTACACTGAAATTCTATTATCCCAAAGCCTGCTGGTGGCAACAATTTTTTGTTTTGTTTGGTTTTACGTTGCACAAACACAGTATAGGTAATATGCTAACTTTCCAACTTTACTGGTTGAGGAAGACCTCAGGTGCCCTTCTTTGCATTAATAAAGGCGCAAACTGGCATCTGAGTAGAACAACGACTTTCTGTAAGCAAAGTAGATAGCTTCCTCACATGAAAGAATCCAAAGTCTCTGTTGGGCTCTGTACCAACAGTGGTGAGGGGCAAGTGGTTTGAAGTAAATGAAAGATCGGCAAGTCAATTTAAGGTATTTAGTTGGGGTAAGTGTTAAGTATAATACAAAGGTCACTCACCAAAGTACACTGAAGAAAGCATCAAAATGTCCAAAAACACAATCTGGTCCTTTACTACGGAAAGCTGCTCTAACATCTGAAAAAATGTATTAGAAAATTTAACTAAAACTTGGCAATGTTTGGGATATTATATATGGTAATAGTTGATAAATGCAGGCCAGCTTACAGAAGTTGCAATTTTTTACAGAGTTTTTTTGCATTAAAATCATAGCAGAATGTAAAGGTTTTTTTTCTTCATTAGATTATAGAATTTACAAAACAGATGAAAATTTCTAATTGAATCTTAAAAAATTCTCCTTTACAGGAAGTTTTTTTTTTCAAAAGAGCTCAACTTATTACACATATAATCTATATGGCTTTCATTGAAAATCACCATTTAAAGGATACAACTGAGGTTTCTTGACTTTCTGTTTTAAGTGAAAGAAAATAAAATTTTATGTTTTAAGCTTGTGGACCTCATCAGTTTGTTACTGGTAGCTATTCTTTATTTTTCATAGTTTAAAAGCCATAGGCAGCTAACTAGTTGCTGATTAAAAGAGTTAATCACTGTTATGTATTACATACCTTGTATAGCGCCAGTTACTTCTCTTAGAGTGAGAATTTCATCAACTACAAACTGGTTCACACCAGTTTTATTCAAAAGGTCATCTCTAGACACTGGTATCACAAATTCAAAATCCATTTCACAACTTTAAATCTGTTGAAAAAAGAATTAACAAGATATGTTTGTAAAACATGTATGCCCCCTATCAGCAGCCAATTATTCATGTGATAAGGTAATTATGCATGAATTCTAACCCAGTGATCAAACAATTAATAAGGGTTATCAAGTATCTACTGGTCATGACCTTGACCTTTGACCCAAAACTCAATAGGGGTCATCTGCTGGTCAAGACCAATCATCATACAAAGTTTGAAGTTCCTAGGCCTAAGCGTTTTTAGTTAATTGATCAGAAACTGTTTTTACTTACAATGTCAATGTGACCTTGACCTTTGACCCCTTGACCCCAAAATCAATAGGGGTCATTTGCTGGTCATGACTAATCACCATGCCAAGTTTGAAGTTCCTAAGGGTTCTTTTATTATTGATCCGAAACCGTTTTAACATACAAGGTCAATGTGATCTTGACCTTTGACCCCAAAATCAATAGGGGTCATCTGCTGATCATGACCAATCACTATGCCATGTTTGAAGTTCCTAGGCCGAAGCGTTCTTTAGTTATTGATCAGAAACCGTTTTTACTTACAAGGTCAATGTGACCTTGACCTTTGACCCCTTGATCCCAAAATCGAAAGGGGTAATCTGCTGGTCATGAAAAATCACCATACCAAGTTTGAAGTTCCTAGGCCTAAGCGTTCTTAAGTTATTGATCAGAAACCGTTTTTACTTACAAGGTCGATGTGACCTTGACCTTTGACCCTTTGACCCAAAAGGGGTCATCTGCTGGTCACCACCAATCATCATCAGGGGTTTTTTTTACTAACAAATTGACACCGATAGTCGGCGTCTTCCCCTCGGTAAATAGCCAAGTTTTTTCCCCAAAAAAATTCTATTTTCCTTTAAACTGGTTCAGATTTAATAATCACATGGTTTAAAATATTATTTTTCTTCATTTTATGCAGGATAAACCACCAATTGTTGTTCAAAATAACCAAAAACATTGCAGGAAACTGCAAGTACTGTCTCAACATGGAGGCAGCCATTTTTTTTTCTTGGCTATATCCCGTACTGAACGGTACTATTTCTGGAAATCAGTTGCTATTCAAAATATTGTCATTTTCTTGGTTATTTTAGTAAAAGTAATATATTTTGTACTTCTTATTATGAAAATGACTTATATGGAGCTAAAGTGTGTCACAGATACACTATTATACCTATACTGTATTAACTTTCATACAAAAATATAAGTATAAAAACCATTCACCACCATACATATTAAGAAAATATGTTATACTGCAAAGAATATTTTGCATGATGATTAAGTTTTTAAGGGGAAAAAGATATAGTTGTAACTCTCTACTATGTAGTTAAGTATATAGTATAAAAAACGTCATAACAAAGTTTCCCCAAATTGACTTTTTTCGTATATTTTTTCCCCTCCCTACCAGCGTCCAGCGTCTTCCCCTTTTCCTAAAAAAAACCCCTGATCATACAAAGTTTGAAGTTCCTAGGCCTAAGCGTTTTTAGTTAATTGATCGGAAACCGTTTTTACCTACAAGGTCAATGTGACCTTGACCTTTGACCCCTTAACCCCAAAATCAATAGGGGTCATCTACTGATCATGACCAATCACAATATCAAGTTTGAAGTCCCTAGGCCTAAGGGTTCTTTCGTTATTGATTGGAAATCGTTTTTACCTACAAGGTCAATGTGAACTTGACCTTTGACCACTTAACCCCAAAATCAATAGGGGTCATCTGCTGGTCATAACCAATCACCATACCAAGTTTGAAGTTCCTAGGCCTAAGGGTTCTTTTGTTATTGATCGGAAACCGTTTTTACCCAAGAGGTCAATGTGACCTTGACCTTTGACCCCTTGACCCCAAAATCAATAGGGGTCATCTACTGATCATGACCAATCACCATACCAAGTTTGAAGTTCCTAGGCCTTAAGGTTCTTTAGTTATTGATCGGAAACCGTTTTTGCTTACAAGGTCAATGTGACCTTGACCTTTGACCCCAAAATCAATAGGGGTCATCTTACTGATCATGACAAATCACCATACCAAGTTTGAAGTTCCTAGGCCTTAAGGTTCTTTAGTTATTGATCGGAAACCGTTTTTGCTTACAAGGTCAATGTGACCTTGACCTTTGACCCCTTGACCCCAAAATCAATAGGGGTCATCTACTTGTCATGACCAATCACCATACCAAGTTTGAAGTTCCTAGGCCTAAGGGTTCTTTAGTTATCACTCGGAAACCATTTGGTCTACGGACCGACAAGTGCAAAGCAATATACCCCCTTTTCTTCGAAATGGGGGCATAATAATATTTAATTTTAGTTATTAACTCATGCTGGTATCTTTGAACATTCATTTTAAAACAAGCACACGGGGATACAACGCTTCGAGATCTGGTATTATCCCCTATTGCTACCCCCCCCCCCACTCCAGTCAATTGATGAAACTCACCAACGAAATTCCCGTCCAAATGATGAAATTAATTTCATACTGCAGTTACACGAAGAAAAATAAAACGGACATTTTCTTCTTCTCTCATGCTTCCATCACAAACACAAATACCTAACCCGGAATACTATACCTTTTTTACCTAAAGTAAAAGATCGATGCTCTATGATAAAATTAGAGTATTCAATGTAAAGTTAATTAATGTGAAGTGACGAAAAAAATATCCGTTTTTTTTCCACATAGCTAAAATATTTTGTAAGTGTCATTGATTGTTCAGTTTTTACAGATGCAATGGCATTTTTTTAATAGATACATAACATATATGAATGCATAATTTGAGATTTAATTGATGCAAAGAAAGACTAATCGATCTAAGCAGTCGCAGATATTATAAGCTTGGAACAGGTAAATATGATTTATCTTTTTTTGTGCGTAATACTTAAGTGACATAACGACCATCTTTTTCGATGTCATGTTGAATTTCATTAGTAATATATTTGAAAAGAGGCTAATATAATGATTATTGACTAATAATTGATCATGAAAAATGTGTATGATACAATATAAATATAATTCATATAAATTTCTAATTTGTATATCATTTAAATGAATATACATTTATATCATAATTGTTAACTTTTTCATACTTTCATTTAATTTTTATGCTTGCAGCTATCGTGCAAAACAACTTTCAGCAATGGCACTGCTGAAGAAGATTTCAAGTCTTTAACAACCCAGGGTATTGTGAGACAAGAAGCAGAGTAATGTTCAGTGATAAGAAGTGACAATAATTTGTGTGAAAAACCTCATATGCCCCATACAGTTACATGTATACTGTTTTGCATGTTTATAGTACATTGAAGATAAATGTTAAAATTGTTATACTCAGACAATAAATTGATTGATTACTTGCTTTGTTCAGCCATGGTTTGTCATAAGGTTAAGTATTCCCATCCACACAATTGTGTTTTTTATGCAACATTTAAAAAAAAAAGAAAAAGAAAAAAAAATAAAGAAAAAAAAATGGGGCCGATCTGACTATTTTGGGGCTGATTCAACTTGGGGCCGATTTGACTGTAAATCGTTCAAGTTAGCCTAGAAAAGTGGAAAAATGTGACTTCTCTTATACGGCAAAATTGAGAGGTATATATTTACTACCAGCAATAAATAAATTTCAGCTTGTATCGATATTTGAAAATGTGTATCGATATTTTATCAGATGATGAATATTGATCATATATCGATATCGCGATATTCAATGACAGCCCTAGGCCTACCTAATTTCATATTAATTATGTTCATAGTTTACTGGTTTAAGCTTTCTTCTTTTTATTCCCTCAAATATATCAATCAAATTCTTGAGATTGCCATTTCATTATTTTGTTTGGTACTTCAGAAAATCCTGCCAACTGTGATAAATTTATTTGATGTGTTTTGTGTACTGGCATGCGAGCAGTTCCCGTACAGAAGCAGTACCCGTATTTTTCATTTCAACGCTTGATTCTTACTTGCATTCTTCAAAAATTCATTTCAAATCAAGCAGATACATAAACGAGACAAAATCTAAGTGTCCGTTTGGCCAGGTACGTATATTAACGGTATCCGCAACTCTATACAGTAAATCAATAAAGGTAAATTATGCTGTCGTGGCAGATAATCCACCCAGACTGCCGACCGTTATTGATTTTTATCGACGATTACGTACCATTAAGCGGTGTTAAGCGATATGATATTTGACCTGGGTTATTTAAATTGCCGTCAACATGTTATTTTCTGTTCAATTTTCTAAAAGTAACATATTCTAAAAAGCTTAAAAATAGATTTTTTCAAATATATATTTTATAAATCAGTGCGTTTACTATGAAGAAAATTATGACGAGTTAAACACAGAGTTTTTTTTTTTTTGTCTCCCGATTATGTCAAAAATTCAGTCAAAATAATGATCCCCTCTTCGAACAAATATAAGATATTTTCGTCATTTATGGTCCGAATTACGCAAAGTTCCTATCAAAAGAAAGCTGAGAATTTGTTCTTTTTAACCGTGTAATTAATATTTACAGAGCTAAAATATTTTCGGAATTGCAACGAGTTAAAAACGCATCATTTACTACCAGCCAAATGGCGACTTGTACACAAAAAATCTTTTCATATAGCAACAAGTTATTATTGTTTCTTCATTTTTTGACCGAGAATTGTGAAATAACCTCCATAAAAATCGTATATTCTGTAGTAATATAAATATATATTTTTTTTTAATTTCTTATGCGTATTCAAATAAAATGCGACGAATTAACGCCCCAAATTCACGGTACAATCGCGCGGTTAAATTGTCTTGCATATTTCTAAGATTGAATTTTTATTGAGCTCTTTATATTTTTATTTCACCATTGTTTTAAAGAATGAAATTTAAAGTCAGACACTATTTTTTAAATAAATTAAAAGTATGATAAAATAATATTCAAACCGCGGTTGAAAAAAAAAAACTATTATAAAAATGTTCTTTTCTAAAAAAATGGCCTAAACACTTGTTGTGATAAAAGTATTGCAATAAAGATGAAAGAACATTTTGGATTACATTGTTTGTTGTTTTTTCATTTAAAAAGCCCTTTTCATTAAAGTATTTAATCCTCAATTATTCAATCAGAACTTTTTGAAAGGCAATTTGTCCCATCAAACACCTATTCATCTATTTGATATATCCTTTGATATGAAAAATAAGTACTGTCATAATTGATGTTTGCTGCAGATTCAGTAATTGGTTTAATTATGATAATTAATGTGCATCATTTTTATTGTTCCACTGTGATAGTTTTCACACTTTTTCTCAGTTGTTACCGATTGAAACTGGTAATCCAATTAAAATCCAAAACACACATATTTCTTAAGAATGGAATGAGACATATAAATGCTTTAGACTTCACTTTTTGTTCCTATTACTTAGTAATTTTTTCACATGCGACCTTTAATTTGTTAAGAATGGCATACTGTAAAGATGATTTTGTTAAGTTCTCAGATATCGAGGATCTTGAAGCAGTTTTAGGGGATTTTACTGAAAGTGAATATAATTTTAGTGATAGTGATTTTGAGGTAGAACAGGAACATAAATCTAAATGTAATAAGAATAAGGAGAAGATAAGTGTTACCAAGACATCTAAAAAATTGTATCAGTGTGATGAGTGTGACAAGTTAATATATATACCTGGTTTGGCAGTTCGTATATAAAGTCTCATTTTAAATCACTTTCACCTGTGCGTCGTCAAAACGTGACCTTGTTTTCTCTGGGGGATTCCGTCCTTGCGCGCATGCGCAAAAATACTTACACGTGAGGCTTGTTAAAGGGTTTTCCACTAATACCACCTGTTTACAAATAAGTAGGCAATGTGATGTAAACTTGTTTAATTATCAGAATGTTGACCAATATTACTATATATAATAATTTCATGGCTTTGATGCTTTGATGCGTAAAATATCATGCATACAAGCATGCTATTGCATGTGAATGCGTTGGGGTAATGGTACCGGGTAATTGATACCCGCGTTTAGTCTACGCTCTATTTCCTGAATTACATCTATTTATCTCTTAGATAATGGTCTGTTCAACAATTGTAAATGAAAAATAGGTCCGATATAATAAAATTGTATAATTATAATGGGTTAGATTTTATGTACGGGAACTACTTCTCTTCATACAAAATAATGGATAATTTCGGTACCCCATATGAGGCCTCATAAGTAAGGGTTATTCTATGTTTAGAACATCATGGAATTTCCATGATTTGTGTGACGAGCTGAATATTGATGTGTAACATTCTAATTGTGGTGAGTGAGCGTAATAAAAAATAATGTTTAAGTAACTGTGATTTTTGTACGGGAACTGCTCGCATGCCAGTATGGTTTTAGAAAATCAACCGACAGTGCCAAACATAAATTTTGGAAAAAACATTGCCTTATTTTTTACAAAATAGATCTAGATATATACTTTAATGCCTAAAATCTTACAGTATAGAAAAGGGTTTTGAAACAATGTTGTTTTTGTTGAGATTTGCCTTTTTCCACTTCCTCTTGTTGTTGTTGTTCCACCTTTCAAACAGTGCGCCAATACTTCACTTTCAACCAATTAAAAGACAGCCGGCATTTACAGCGATTTAAATTTAATTTAACAAAATAATAATTGTCTAAAATAAATAGAAATATTAAGAAATAATAAGTGAAATTAACGCGAGTTTGAAAAATAGTATGAATTAATATTGTTTATTTTTATTCCTATACATTTGAATTGATTATAGACCAATCAGAGAACACATTTTTTTCAGTACTCAATCTTTAGTAACTCTAAATACCAAATGAACAAACGAAAATTTTTATATTTTGTGATCATTTTGGATACTTTTATAAATTATTTTTGCTTATTATTATTATAATTTATGATTTTGTAATCAAGCTTTTATATGCTGTTTATCTAAGACACCTGATTTTTTTTTCTTTTTAAATCCTTCCAAGGGAAGTTACTCATGTAAACCTCAAAAACGAAAGCAAGATGTGGTGTTTAGACGTTACGAAAACGTGATATATTTAAATAACTCATCCACTTTCATCATTGTCAGCAGTTTAAATGGATACATAAAGCAAAACAATATCTAAATCGATTTAAGTTTACCGTCAACGTTCGTTGATTTACGTAAAATCATGTGGGGAAATAAAACCGCCTATCATGCCAGTCCAACAAATTCAAAATTAAAAAAGAACTCAACTGTGTCTATTTTACCATCTTCACCAATGATAACAAGAAGGAGGCAAGACATGAACAATTCCATTAATCTAAATGGTACACATAGTACAAATGGAGATTCAAGTCAGAATGTGCTTTCTGGAGCTGGACCACTTCTATCTTCACCTTTCATGCCACAGATTAAAAGAGCTCTTGGATTGGAGCCAAAATTACAGCATAAATATGGGTAAGTGTGGTAATGGGTAAATATATTGTCCTGCGCTCATAAGACAGGAAGAGATTTCTGTTTTTTTTAATGCTTACCTACAGGGGTAATCAGTTCTACCAAATTGATTTAGGGCTTTTTTGGGGGGAAGCAGTCCTGTCCTTAGGAGAAAAAACTATATATGGTATATTTGCAAAAGGGGAAGAAAAAACTTTATGTAAATTCAATTTTTGGGAAAAGTACATGATTTAATAAACTTTCTTTGGGGAAGCTGCCCTTGCTATAAAAGGAATGAAAGCCGTGAACTTTCTATCAGATTTATTTCTCATGAAGCAATATTATAATTGTTGTAAAAACTTTATGTAATATAATTATATCCTGCAAAGTGCAAATTACTAAATATGGCTTTCATGTTGTTTTTTGTTTACACAGGGAACAAAGGCGGCATAGCTTTGGCATTGGAATCACCCCAAAGTCCCCAACTATCACAGCAGGATCATTACCCCATGTGAGACTAAACAAAACAAGGAGATTGTCTCTCTCTGAACGGAATTCTTCAATGTTGAACAAATCAAGTACTGTGAAAATAGCTCCACCTGTCATTGGGAAAGTAGCCAGTCCAAGGTAAAATTAAAAAGAAACTAGTACATAATCATTTTTATTTTAGCATAGAATAATTTGTCATAGTTTATGTTAATTGTATCCTTATTCTTTTTTTATTATTTTTTTTATGTTTTAATATGAAATTAGGTGCTACCTATGGCGCGGAAAGCTCCTATGAATTATGATTTTAGCATAACATAGTTGAGTGTACATGTAAACCAGATCTTTCTTGAAGATATTTTGTACCATAAACAAAAACGAATAAATTGGTGGTGTTCAACCTATCATCGGAGCGCTCGGAATATTCCGAAAATCTCCGAACGTAAAGGGGAACCTCTGCGCATGCGTCGGTGTTCAGAAAATCCCGTCCGCCAGTTTTGTTAATCTCTAATCACAGTTGTTGTTTTAATGTTAATTTTAATGTGCTAATTTATCAAAAAAAATTTTTTAATATATAATCGTTACTATAATTCTTATCAATGAAATGCAGGTTTATTTTCTGATTTTGTACATCATTCTTTCACCGGAAGTGTTACTTAGCATGCGTCTGCTAGCAATAGTCTGAATTATGCTGACGCTCATTAAAAGCACTCTGATATCTATATTTAGCTCAAAGGGATTTCAAAATGGCAGCGCCCATTTAACTAAGGATTTTTTCACAGCTCATTAGGTATAGGATATATTTTTTTTGAAAATTTCATTTAGTTTGAATTTGATTTCATTTGAATTGATACGCGTCATACATGTTATCTAAGAGCGCTACAGCCCTCGCGGGGCCTTTGGCCCCACTCGGACTTTCCGCGTATAAAAAAATTAATGAAGATATGTATTTTGTTTCAGCCTCTATCACATGAGATGTAATACATCAATGCAAGAAGATAGGAACACTCCAGATACGTATGCTGTCATTTCAGCTTTAAAAGAAAGAAGGTACTTTTTAATAAAATAAAAAATTATACGGTATGCAAAATATAGAAAAATGTGTCCTGACATCAGGGAAGGCAATAAATTATCTGCTTATATGTTAAGTTATTTTTAGAAGAAAAGTTTATATGTTAGTAATATTATTTATGTATAATATTATCAGGCTGTCCAGCGTCCCTAAAATTCCTAAAAAATCCTAATTTTTTTCAGTTTGGCTAAAATTCCTAAAAAAATGAAAAATTCAAAGGGAATTCCTAAAAATGCCCTATTTTTTCACTTAAATTCCTATTTTTTTTATCTTTTGTGATAAACATATCCAGAAACAACCATGTTTAAATCACAACCTAAATTCAAACACAGTCAGTGGAGTTGATATGACATGTTTGACTAAATTGCATAAAGTCACATGTTGTATTTACTTCAACTCCTGCAGAAATGCCATACTTGATTAATTGTCAGATGTTATCAGAAAAATAATAAGAAACTGTTTTTTTTTAAATGGAACAATGAAAATTGTACCACTTTGACTATATCAAAATAGTCACTTGTTTAAAAATGTGATAAAAAATTTCCAAGAAAGTCACATTTTTATTGGCTGCAGAGTTTTACCATTTACCTCAGTCTTAGGTGTATTTAAAGCAACTATTAAAAATTTTACACGATGTACCACTATATTTCATCAGACTTTATGCAGGGGTCCTTATTAATAAAATCTTAATTTGTAATCAAGTTAATTTCAAGTGATGACTGTAGAACAGATCTTTTGTAAGTGATACCAGCTGGCAGATCTAGACAAGTTTCCATATTTGCTAATTATAAAATGGGTAAAGTAAACTGGCAGTAATGATTGAATGCTTTAACCATTTTGCTACCCAATTAGCGTACTAAGAAGTGATACATTCAGCTGCCCTTTTTGTACACATTAACATGTTCTGAACATATGTTATAACATACAGTGTAAGTTTTTTTTAAATCTGGAAAAAAACTGTTGAAAATCATTGAAAAAACTGACACGGTAGTTAAATTTTCTACAATTTTTAGTAGCCTGATTTATCTTGAACAATGAAATTTTCTACAATTTTTAGTAGCCTGATATATCTTTCTACAATTTTTAGTAGCCTGATTTATCTTGAACAATGAAATTTTCTACAATTTTAAGTAGCCTGATTTATCTTGAACAATGAAATTTTCTACAATTTTTAGTAGCCTGATTTATCTTGAACAATGAAATTTTCTACAATTTTTAGTAGCCTGATTTATCTTGAACAATGAAATTTTCTACAATTTTAAGTAGCCTGATTTATCTTGAACAGTGAAATTTTCTACAATTTTTAGTAGCCTGATTTATCTTGAACAAATTCTTCATAGGTGTATATCCTGCTGTTTGAATTTAAGTTTAGATATGCCTGGGAATGACTAGTGGGTCATATCATTTTTATCATTTTTTAAGAAAGCTCAAGACTTCTTGAAAAAACCTTAAAATGTTGATAAGAAATGCATTTTTAGCTTAAATAAATTTAAAGCATAACTTCCCCTTCCATTTATTATCAGCTTATTATATCTTTACTAATTATTTTAACTTGATTAATTGTCAGATGTTATCAGAAAAATATAAGAAACTGTTAGTTTTAAATGGAACAATGAAAATTGTAACACTTTGACTATATTAAAATAGTCACCTGTTTAAAATTGTGATAAAAAATTTCCAAGGAAGTTACATTTTTATTGGCTAATCATAGCTTAACTAATTGAATATTGGTTGTTCCTGGATTCTTATAACTTTGAAAATGTTTTCATTCTAGTTATGTTTTAATGTAGTTTTTCTTTTTAGCTCTTTTTAAAGGCAGTTGACCAGTGAATCAATTTATTCACTGGTGACTATGGAACACTGGTAACACATTTGCTATAACCGAATTAGAGCATTATTTGTGAGTTACTTTTGTGTCAAATATGCAAAATTGAGCCCATATGCAGGGCCTGCAAAATCAATTGTCCATATTACCCAGGTTGTCCCACAGCCTGTACGGACAAGTGAAAATTTTCAAGAATAAACTATGTAAATATCATAGTTACGGACAAGTTAAATGATGCTTCACATAAAAGCGGACAAGTAAGTCAAAATCAGATTTTGCCGGCCCTGATATCATGGTCTTTTGAGGCCATAATTTAGTATAAAATTCCAAATTTGAGCCCTAAAATTTCTTTTATTTACCCTAAAATTCCTAAATTTTAGCCCTAAAATTTCTTAAAAATTGCCCTAAAATTTGCCCTAATTTTTTGTCAGAAGGTGCTGGACAGCCTGTATTATATTTATTTTTATTATATGCATTAACTGGCTGTCATATATGTCATGTTTGGGCTTATAATAAATTTTGTGTGTGTTTTTTCTCTCAAGCAACTTTCCTACAAAAAACTGTCATGACCCAAAAGATTTAATTGCCATACAATTTTTTTCCTAATAAAATACAACTATATTTTGGTGGTACTGAATATTATAGCAGAAAATGAGAATCATTTTACATAATAAACAAACAAATGCTGAAAACAATGATCTAGCATTCAAATGTTCTTTTTCACAAAATCCAAATATTTCATATGTCTGATGACTAGATGCAAAATCATTTTATATAAAACGGTTATTTTAAATAAAAAAAGAAGATAATTTACCTACCTAGGCTAAACTGACCCTAAATGTTATGTGTTGTGGGATATAGATGTTTGTTTATTTTTCAGGCTGGCCTTATTCTGTTCCATATGTAACCTTCTCTATTTTCGTTAGAATTTCTATCATTATTTACATTTAATTTTAAGATGGTTTTTAACGTGTTTTCTTATCGGTCATTGATGATTTATTACAGGAAAAGATCCATAAATACATTTGAAGAGCATATAGAACCTCCCCAACAACAAGCTAAGAGACGGTATAGTATATTAGTTTATTTGTATATGAACACATTTTACAAAAATGTTAATTACGAAATTAATATATTAATTTGTTAGACTACATCGTATTCAAGGTGATAAGGTTAGTAATAAACAGGATAGAAAGTGTGGATTCAGATATTATGACTATAGTTCTGTTTAAGTGTTGTATTGCTAAAATTTATCAGCCGTAAAAGCCTGGTCAAACAGCATGGATGTGAAGGCTGACATAATACTTTAAGTTTGACATTAATTTAAGCATTCAAAATTTCCATGGCATACATCATATCTTTATGTTTTAAAGGTTTTCCTCCCCTGATATTTCACACCCCCCCCCCTTCTTGAAAATTGCCATTACACATATGTGGTATAGAAAGGAAAATTAATTTAATTGAAAGTGACCAATTATTGAAACATTTTTGCAATATTTATATTTCTGTTATTGCAGAACAACCTTTTTAAACATACAAAAAAAAAAACGTTTGTAATTTTACCTCAAAAGAAAAAGAAAGAAAAAATTTAGAATAAAAATTCATTTAAAACCAAACTGTGTGTAACTTTTGTTATTGTTTGTTTTCAGACGTCAAGAAAGTCAGCATTCAAATGCGTCAACATCATCTATGCCTTCAATGCCGGAAAACTTTCCCGATCTTACAGGTGCTGACTTCACAATGAGGCTGGATACTCCAAGCTTGAAAAGACCTTCAAGGTAATTGATTATGATGTGTTTGTTGTCTGTTTAACTATCTGTTGACTAACGGTAACAGATTCTACCTGTGTGATATCTGATCATGGTCTGCACTGTTTGCTTTTCAGTCAATATACATTTTGGTGTTAAATGATACAATTTATGATTAGTTTTGTCCAGGTTAAAAGATGGATAAGTCCATTTAATATATTTAGAGGAGTAAGGGTTATTTTGAACATATTCATTTAAGCTTACGAGTAATGTACGTATGGAGATTCACTTGTTTCACTAACCGGTCATATGAGAAACCATAAAAGTGACCTAAATAGAGCACAAACCATTGGTTTAAAAAACAGACTCTATAACCAAAAAGCCACCTTTCCATTTTATGCCTCCAGGTTATCTCTTTGAATATTCTGTTTTTGTGCACATTTATGTGTTAATATTGTAAGATTCATTTGAGGTTTTAAAGAATGCAAAGGTGAAAGAATTTCCTACATTTTTCTCTATATTTCTTGTCAATATCTTTCTGTATGTACAGAAATTATTTCTAAATCAGAATTTAAATTACGGATGGAAAGATAAAATATACATGTATATAGTTACTGTTGCATATTGTGTTTATCTGCACTGCAGAGTATGACTATGTAACTTTTAAAAATGAACACCTTTTTTTCTTGTAGGCCGAGTCAAGAAGATGTAGAAGAGTGGAATAAAATGAATAACTCAAAAAGACACCAGTATGAGGGCCGAAATAATTCTATACTCAGCAGTCTAAGCTCTAGTCAGAGATTAATTGAGGTAATTTAATAACTTTCAATGCTAGTTGACATTTTTGTATCAAAAGATGAATTTTTGTGGCATATTTAAAAAACAAGACTACATGTATAAGAAGAATAGAGTCTTTTTGATGAGATGGGGGGAGGGAAAGTGTTCACATACAGTCAAACTTTGTTCACTCAAACTCCGAGGGCCTGTGCAAATTTGTTTGAGAGATCAGTAGTTTGAACCAACCGATGTTGAACTATTATCAAGTAATACATAGGCCTAAAGGTTTTCCAGCATACATTGGTCGCTCGGTATTTTTCTCATCACTATCTTATAAACTTTACAAATTATATTGCTACTTTTCCGAGAGTCAGGTGATGACTGTCTGTATCAGACAAATGCTGACGTCAGACTATGTATATACCAGAAGGAGCTGTTAAACTGCCATTAGTCATTGAACAATATTGGTGTTCTTGAAGCAAAAATTAAATGAGAAAAACTTAAGTATCAGTAATTTTTACTTGTTTTCAGAAGTCAAAGAGGAAGGCTGAGTCTAGTTTCACTGAGAAGGAGAACAACAGTTATGTCACAAAGTCACTAAGAACAGAGCCTCCCAAACTTACACATATTGACATTCAGTACAATACAGATAATACTGTCAGGACACCAACTGTGTCAAAACCTTCAGAGAAATCTCCACAAGTGACCAATGGTCATTTAGTTACCACTTCACAGCCAGATACTGAGAAGGTATGTTATATAGACAATTTATAAACTTAATTATTCTTTAATATATGAATGATTTATTAATGTAAACAGTTACTATTAAGTCTTGCCAAGTTTTCATTTGCTGATTTTGTAAGTGACTTCAATTCACTTGCCCGTCACTGCTTTTGTGGGTTTAAATCCTGTCCGGGAGTTTGGATTCTTTCATGTGTGGAACTATATGCAGCTACCAACCAGAATGACAGTGGTTCTACTCAGGTGTGCTTTCATTCCTGAAATACAGCAAAAAGGGTCACCTGACATGTTCTTCCATCAGTAAAGTTGGAAAGTTGCAGTATTACCTTTACAGTGTTGATGCGACTTAAAATCTAAGAAAACAAATGAAATATTAAACAGACCTTTTACCTACATGTAGTTGTAACTTCTTCCTTCACAATTTTTTGTCAAATAAAATTGGACCCTTTATGGAATTACATGTAATATGGATATCAATTGATAGGTAAAAATTTGAAATATTTTTAAACCATTTATGCACATACTGATTTTTGTACATTTCTTTTATTTATGTGTGTTTCAGACCCAGCTATCACAGAAAAAGGAAGAATCATCAAAACCAGAAGTACGGAAGATGCCCTCTATGAAGAAAACGGCCAGCATATATTCGGGGTTGAGCTCTGCCACAAATTTCAAAAAGGTAGGCTTAAAATTTAGTATGGTTGATTTCTCAATGTGTTCTTCAAGTAATTAAATTGTTGGGTACTCTCTTTGTTTTGTTTGGAACATTATCACATTCAGGTAATTATTTTAAATAAAGTTCTGTTATTTAGTTATTTAGTCATAGGAATAGTTTTAACGAATTGATCACTCAAGATAATTCTATGAATAAATCAGGTAGTCTATTAGGTTAATAATAATTGAAGTTTTTTTAGATTTAGCACTCACGAAAGGCGTGTGAATAAATCATGTTTAGATAGTATTTTATGGATTTTTCATTCATGATACTTCTACTAGTAAGGATGAATATTTTCAAGAAATCTAAACAAACTACAAATATTAATGTCATTGAAATTCTTTGAGTTAATCACCTCGGGGGGAAAATTCTATAATGTATTAAGATATTTTACTATATTAATCAGCTCAGTTCTATCTTTATATATAACAGGCACAGTATGCGAACGTTGTAGCAACATTAGATGATTACGATGCTGATAAAGAAGCCGAGAACCAGAGAGTAAAACAAATGCTCATGGACTTAGATGAGTCATTCACACAGAAAGAAGGTTGGTTCCCGTATTCTCTAATACATAATTGTATAACATGCTGTTCTATATAACATTGAATTTGACACAAAACCATTAAACAGTGTGGTACCATTGAACACAGTTAGGATTAATATTATACAGGTACTGTGTGATGATGAGTTGAATTTCAAAGTCTATGGACCTGTCTACTCTGTTGTTCACTAAGGCCAAAGGAATTATAGAATTGAATGTTCACCAAATTATTCATTTGTTTAATTTTCAAAGTTGTCTGATTGCTTATTTTCATACAGACAACCCTAGATAAGTGTACAGAAAGAGCAGAAGTTGTTTTCCTGTTTCGGCACCTTCTTTTGTTAAACTTGTAATTTTCATTAGATCATCAGTGTATTTTTGCCCTAAACTTAAAATCACTGTCTGAATCTTAATTTACATATGATGTTTATTTTACATAGCATTGTTTTCGATGGGTTGTCAGGTACCTTATATTCTGTTAAGCCGTTCAAGATTGGTTTCTAATAATAGAAAATTATGCAACAAGCTATTTGACATAGGTTGTTTAGGTCAGTATAAGTCAAAATCAATGCCACTTTCAATCATTAAATTGTTAGTCTTAAAATAATATCATTTGTAGTATCTTATTTAGATTGTAATCTTTTCTTAATGAGACCTGTTCTCTACTTAAAGATATAATTGGTTTTTTTTCTATCTCCATCCAGCTAATAAAGAAGCGGTGGTAACTAGTACCACAAGTGAAACAACAGTTACTACAACAGTTTCCACGGTAACATCATCTTCAGTTTCCATAGTAACCACTTCAACTGGTCCTCTGACACTGAACGTCTCTAAACCTGCTTCTGTATTGTCAGCTTTGGAGAAATTGTCAAAATCCCCTGTACAGGAAACTGGAGGTAAACTTAATCATTGAAATAGTTCTTTTTAAGATTTTTAATCAGCAATTATTTAAGGGCTTATTATGAACAAAGGTAAGGTATAGGCCCCACAGGATTTTTTTGTCAGTTGCGAAATTGAAATTTAAGCAACTTTGATGGAGTTAGGTAACAGTTCATGGGAAATTTGATGTAAGTTTGTTAGAAAAACATTGGCAAAAATAATTGGCAATAGTTTCAATTAAAGACCTAAAAATTGATATTTTTCTGTTTTCTGGATAAATACTGCAAGTTTCTGAGGATAAGGAAATAAAATCTGTCTTGATTCCAGAAAAAAGTTTATACCATACACATGTTTAAGCACTGTCAAAGTAAAGGGCTTAAGGCAGACGAAAGAAGTAGACATTGATGTTGCAATTTTACTATTTTTTTCCTGACAAAGGATGACTGTTAAACTAAATGCAGAGCTAACTTTTGCAGAAAAGTTCATGTAACTAAAGCAGTACCATATTATGGGCTGTTAATAATGTTGAAATATTTTTTAGGGTTGCCAAGTACATCTGTGTCGACATCACAGCCAAGTATGACATTTAAACCATTGTTTGGTACACTCAGCACTTCATCAAGTTCAGGTAGGAAAATTGGCTAGAAATTTCAAAATGTAGTGGGGAGAGGTCGAGGCATATCTATCCTTGATCAACGACAAATCCATTGCAAGATACACATTTTCTATGTCCATAACACATATCTAGTTTACAGAATGTTGGTGGTTCTATTCGAAAGCCGGCTTGTGTGTGGAGATAATGCATGAAGGGGCATCTGAGATTGTCTCCCCCTAGTAGAGCTGGGAAGTTGCTATATATGACCTTAACAGTGTCAGTGTCACTTTGAAATTAAATAATTTGAAAAAGAATATAATATAAAGGATTGCCGTGGGGATGCTATTTTGCTATCTTCAAGATAATTTATTGTTCTTTACCATTCCAGAATGATTTTTAAAACCCAACAAACAAAGACTGTTGATTGTTTATAACTGAAGTTATTTTTAAGATCTTAAATCTTGATCTGTAATTGGAAATGAAATATTTTATTCAATTTTTATCCATTGTTATTCTAGTTTATGAGAACATGCCCCCTTATTACTGTGAATATAAGTTGAGTTTGATTTCTTAAAATATACTGGCATTACAAATCTGTTTCCTTGGTATTGCAGGGGTCAGTGGCACAACAGTGGCAGGGTCAGTAACGACTGCTACTGTGACTGGTACCCAGTCTAGTTTACCAGGAGGGTTCACCTTTAATACACCAAAAACTACACAGTCTACAGTTGGCTTACCTAATCAGACAACAGGTAACTTTTATTTAAACATAATATGACCAATGATAATTTTAATCAAGGTCCCCCCAGTTAATGCAAAGTAAATGTGTAAATGTAGTATAATAGATTGTTTCCCCATTAACAGAACATAAAAAGTCAATACTTACAAAGTATTTACGTCATTTAACCAATTTTTGTGTCGCCTCTACGGAGTAGTGGCGACATATAGGGATCACTTCTCCGTCGTCTGTCTGTCCGTCTGTCCGTCTGTCTGTCTGTCTGTCTGTCTGTCCGTCCGTCCGTCACAAAACTTGTCCGGACTACTCCTCATAAACTACTGGTGCAATTTCATCCAAACTTTACAGGAATGATCAGTACCAAGTCTAGTTGTGCATATTGTCAGGATTTTCCGGTTCAATGATTTTTGTCAGAGTTATGGCCCTTTAATAATTTTTAGTTTTAAAGTTTGTCCGGACTACTTCTCTTATACCACTAATGCAATTTCAATGAAACTTTACAGGATTGATCTGTAGCTCAAGTCCTTGCGCATATTGCAAGGGTTTTCCGGTTGAATGATTTTTGGCCGAGTTATGGCCCTTTGATAAAAAGGTTTCTTTTTCTGTGTGTTGCCAGATACACAAAAGCTTGTCCAGACTACTCCTCATAAACTACTGGTGCAATTTCATCCAAACTTTACAGGAATGATCAGTACCAAGTCCAGTTGTGCATATTTTCAGCATTTTCCGGTTCAATGATTTTTGTTTGAGTTATGGCCCTTTAATAATTTTTATTTATAAAGTTTGTCCAGACTACTTCTCTTATACCACTTATGCAATTTCAATGAAACTTTACAGGATTGATCTGTAGCTCAAGTCCTTGCGCATATTGCACGGGTTTTCCGGTTGAATGATTTTTGGCCGAGTTATGGCCCTTTGATAAAAAGGAGTTTTTTTCTGTGTGTTGCCAGATACGCAAAAGCTTGTCCGAACTACTCCTCATAAACTACTGGTGCAATTTTATCCAAACTTTACAGGAATGATCAGTACAAAGTCTAGTTGTGCACTGTCCGTCTGTCTGTCCGTCTGTCACAAAATTTGTCCAAACATGAAATTGGCCATCATGAGGCGACACATGTGATTACTGATCGCTCTTGTTTAGTGTCAAAATAACTCTTGAAAAGGATTTATGTAGTAGCTAGATATTAACAAACTCTGTGACTATTATGGAAAAAATATAATACACTTAAAAAAAAAATTGTGTTCCTACTGTTAAAAAATTGATGAAAATACCTATTAAACCCCTGCTACAAATTTTGATCATGTGTACGAAACTGACATTATTTTGAGCTAAAAGGATGACTTGATTTTGTTTTAATTTTTATTTACAGCTACCACAGTGTCATCAGGATTTTCTTTAGGAGGTTCCCAGGTGTCCACTCAGGTACCACAGCATACAGGTATTGGTGTTGTATTCGGGGCAACTACTACAACTGCAGCATCGAGTTTGGCTAATACTGGTGCCGGATCTGGGTTCAACTTTGGTAGTGTCACTACAAGCACTGCTGCGCCGTCTGCAGCAGGTGGTTTCAGTTTTACCGGAGCCCAGTCGACACCTTCCTCGACGCCAGCAGTAACAACAACGACAGTAGCAACCGGATTGGGATTTGGATCAGTCACAAGTTCCGGTGCAACTCAAGCGCCAGGTGCTGGTATTAGTTTTAATACTTCCACAGCACCTGCACCGACGTCATCTACTCCGGCAGGTGGATTCTCTTTCAGTTCTAAACCTGCAGGATCTACAGCTGCAGCTGCAGGGTTCTTGTTTGGAACAACAGGGAGCTCTGCAGCTCCTTCCACTGGAGGATTTTCTCTTGGAGGGCAAACTGCTCCTGCAGTCACGACAGTGGCTCCTTCACAGTTTGGAACAACAACATCAACATCGGCTGCTCCCACGTTCAACTTTGGTGGAGCACAGAATACAGGTTTGTTCTTTATTTTACAATAATTTTATATTACAACTTTACAGTTACTTCATTACTTGGAATCAACTCTGCACCTTAGTGTTATAAAATTGATTTCTGTTATGTCCACATACATGTGCAGTCAAATTTGTATTAAGAGACCATGCAAGGGAAACACCAAAAAGCGGTCGCTCAACAGTCTCTTAGACAAAGCATGAGAAAAAAATCAAAATAATTTAATTTATTAATGATAACTTTCTTGTAGTGGGGGAGTTTTTCAAATTTTTTTATATACATGTAAATGATGTATAATAATTATAATTCAGATAATCTAAAATATGCTAGAATTTGAGGAGAAAAAAAGACTTTCCTCCGGTATTTATTGACAAAGCGGTTTGATTGATATCCTTTATGTTGTGATATTTTTCCAAAATTTTTAAGAAAACAACTTTTGTTATTGAAGTATTTGGATTTTTTTTTGTTCAAATAGTTAATTTTAATTCAAAATTATCTAAACACTTGCAGGCACAAGTACAGCAGTTGCAACAGGCGCTGGATTCTCTTTTGGAGCTTCATCCAATACAGTACAGTCTGCGACATCAGTATTTGGAGCACCAACTGCAAGTACAGTTCAGTCACCATTTGGTGCCCCAGCATCAACAACACAAACCCCATTTGGTGCCCTAGCATCAACTACACAGTCCCCATTTGGCGCCCCAGCATCAACAACACAAACCCCATTTGGTGCCCCAGCATCAACAACACAAACCCCATTTGGTGCCTCAGCATCAACTACACAGTCCCCATTTGGTGCCCCAGCATCAACTACACAGACCCCTTTTGGTGCCCCAGTGTCAACTACACAGACCCCTTTTGGTGCCCCAGTGTCAACTTCTCAGACCCCATTTGGTACTTCTACAGGAAATGCGGCTGCAGCATTCAGCTTTGGATTACCAAAAACTTCTGCGTCTGCTTCTCCATTTTCATTCAATGCGGGGTCTACAGCTGCGACTGCAGGGAGCACACCATTCCAGACAGGACAGACAACTGGTTCTACACAGGCTGGAACTGGTATGTTCCAGTTTGGAGGAACAGCAGTAACAACTGCTGCTGCTCCAGCTTTTGGTAATGTTTGCATTGTTTAATCATACAGTTGATAACACAAAGTATTATAATTTGTCAGGGAGTTTGTTTTGTCATTTCTGGCAATGATTGACAGGCAGCTACCAATCAAATGTCTGGAGTACTATCATGTTTTTCTGCAAATTACTTCATCACATAATACATTTTAATCAGCATTTCTAGAATGCAAGGCACTCTTGTTATAACTCAAATCATTATGTATACATTTGACTGGGGCTATTTATTTACATTTTTGATTTTATGATTTGACAAATGAAAACTGAGCATCAGTATTAATAAATGTTTCCAGTAGATGATGACAAATGATCATATCTTATCATGCATAGGTTTGAATCACTTACCTCAATATGTAAGGACGATTGTTACCTCACTTATCCAGCTAGCTTACAGAACGTTGATGGTTCTACTCAGGTGCACGTTCCTGTCTGAAATAATCCATAGAAGGGCACCTGTGGTCTTCACCAGTGAAGCTGGAAAGTCGCCATATAATCACTAATGTGTTGGTACAACGTAATCAATTACTTTAACAAAATGACGCAAGACCCAAATATTAAGTTATATTAATAGAAAAAGTAGTATCGAGATTTTAAAATGATTCTGATAAATTGACTTTTGAGATATTATGAATGATGTTAAAATAATGAAAATGAGTATTTTGAACCGAGTTATAGAGTTGTTACAAAGTTCTTTTGATGATAAAAAACTAAAGAGAGGTTATATTTTGAATATTCATAAATTTTGTTAAATGTAATTTTAGGGGCACCTTCGACACAGCCTCCAGCATTTGGGACAGCTAATCCAGCAACTGCGTTTGGATCAACTGGTCAGACTCCCTCTTTTGGTGGTAGTAGTACTACACCTGCCTTTGGTGCAGCCAATCAGAATTCAGTATTTGGTGCGACCAATCAAACTCCAGCATTTGGTGCAACCAGTCAAACTCCAGCATTTGGTGCGACCAATCAGACGTCAGTATTTGGTGCAACCAATCAGACTCCAGCTTTTGGTGCAGCCAATCAGACGCCAGCTTTTGGATCTGCCACGCCTTCATTTGGTGCATCAACCAATCAGAAGCCAAGTACACCCGTTTTCGGAGGAACTGCAAACAACACAAGTGGATCAGTGTTTGGAACCACTGGTAGTACTGGAACTGGGTTTGCTAAATCCCATTCTATGCCAGCATTTGTTACAAGCCAAGATAGCACTTCAAATCCAGGTAATAAATACGATCAGTAATAACAACCCTACCTTGAATTTTTAGATCATTGACCAGATTTTTGAATTACTTTTATACATTGACAAATTGACAAAGATTTCTCGGCACTCTTAACAGGTAGTTTTACCCCCTTTTTTTTATTTTTTTAATTTTTTTATTTTTTTTTATTATTAAAAATTTTTTTTTTAAAAAAAAATTTAAATTTTTAAGGTTTTGGGTAATTTTTTTAAATTTTTTTTTTTTTTTGTTTTTGGTTAATTTTTGGTTTTCCCCTTTTTAAATTCAATTTAAAAAAAAAAAAGAAAAAAAATTTAAAAATTTTTTTGGGGGAAAAAAAAAAAAATTTTTTTTCTTAAATTTTTTTCCCCCCCCCCAATTTAAAGGGGAAAAAACCCCCTAAAAAACCCTTATTTTTAAAAAAAAACCCGGGGGCCCCCCTTTTTTTAAAAAAAAAAAAAAAATTTTAAAAAACCCCCCCACCCAATGGGAAGGGAAACTGGGGGGGAAAAAAAAAATTTAAAGGGCCCCAATTTTGGAAATTTTTAAATTTTTAATTTTTTTTTAATTTATTTTTAAATTTTTTTTGGAATTTTTTAAAGGGGTTTTTTTCCCCCCTTTTTCCCCCAAAATTAAAAAAAATTTTTTGGGAAAAAAAAAAATTTTTTTTTCCTTTTTTTAAAAAAATTTTTTAAAAAAAATTTTTTTTTTAAAAAAAAATTTTAAAAAAAAATTTTTTAAAAAAAACCCAAAAAAAAAATTTTAAAAATTTAAAATTTAAAAAAAGGGGGGAAAAAAAAAAAAAAAAAAAAATTTTTTTTTTTTAAAAAAAAAATTTTTTTTTTTGTTTTTTAAAAAAAATTTTTTTAATGTTAAAAAAAGGGAAAAAAAAAATTTTTTTAAAAAATTTAAAAAAATTTTTAATTTTTTAAAAAAAAAAAAAAAAATTTTTTAAAAAAAAATAAAAAAAATTTAAAAAAATTTTTAAAAAAATTTTTTTTTTAAAAAAAAAATTTTTTTAAAAAAAAAATTTTTGGGAAAAAAAAAAAAATTTTTTAAAAATTTTTAAAAAAAATTTTTTTTTTTTTAAAAATTTTGGGGAAAAAAAAAATTTTTAAAAATTAAAAAAAATTTTTTAAAAAAAATTTAAAAAAAAAAACTAAATTTTTTTTTTTTTTTGGAAAATTTTATTTTCCCTTTTTTTAAAAAAACCTTTTTAAAAAAAATATTTAAAAAAAAAATTTAAAAAAAATTTTTTAAAATTTTTAAAAAAAAATTTTTTGGCCCTTTTTAAAACCCCCTTAAGGGAAAATTTTTTTAAAAAATTTTTTTTCAAATTTTTTTTAATTTTTTAAAAAAAAATTTTTTTTTAAAAAAAAAAAAAAAAAAAAAAAAAAAATTTTTTTTTTTAAAAAAAAACAAATTTTTTAAAATTTTTTTTTTAAATTTTTTAAAAATTTTTTTTAATTTTTTTAAAAAAAAAAATTTTGGAAAAAAAGGGGGGTTTTTTTTTTCCCTTTTTTAATAAACTTTTTTTTAAATTTTTAAAAAAAAATTTTTTTTTTTAAAAAAAAAAATTTAAAAAAAAACCAGTTTTTAAAACTTTTTTTTTTCCCTTTTAAAAATTTTTTTAATTTAAAAAAGGGATTCAAATTTTTAAAAATTTTTTTTTTAAAAATTTTTGGGGAATTTTTTAAAAATTTTAAATTTTTTTTAAAATTTTTAAAAACCCCCTTTTTTCCCGGGGGGTTTTTTTTTAAAAATTTTTTTGTTGGGGGAAGGGGAAAAAATTTTTTTGGGGGTTTTCCCCTTTTGAAAATTTTAATTTTTTTTTTTTTTTTAAATTTTTTAATTTTTGGAAATTGGGGGGAAAAATTTTTTTTTTTTGGGTTTTAAAAATTTTTTTTGGGGGGGGGTTTTTCCCTTTCCCCGGTTTTTTTTTTTAAAAAAAAATTTTTTTTCTAAATTTTAAAAAAAAAATTTTTTTAAAAAAAAATTTTTTTGTGGAAATAATTTTTAAAAAAAAATTTTTGAAAAAAAAAAACCCCTTTTTAATTTAAAATTTTTAAATTTTTAAAAAAAAATTCCCCAAAAAATTTTTTTTTAAAAAATTTTTTAAATTTTTTTAAAATAAAAATTGGGGTTTTTTAAATTTTTAAAAAATTTTAAAATTTTTTTGGGGAAAAATTTTTTTTTTTGGGGGGTTTGGTTTTCCCCCCTTTTTTTTTTTTTTCCTTTTGGGGTTTTTTTTTTCCCCAAAAGGGGGTTTTTTTGGGGAAAACCCAAAATTTTTTAAAAAAAAATTTTTAAAAAAAAAAAAATTTTTTTTTTTTTTTATTTGGAAAATTTTTCCAAGGAAAAAAACCCCAAAAAAAAAATTTTTAAATTTTTTAAAAAAAAATTTTAAAAAAATTTTTAAAAAAATTTTTTTTTTTTTTTTTTTTTTCCCGGTTTTTTTTTTTTTTTTTGGTTTTTTTGTTTTTTTTTGGTTTTTTTTAAAAAAATTTTTTTACCCGGGGTTTTTTTTTTTAAAAATTTTTTTTGGGGCCCTTTTTTTTTTGGGGGGGGTTTTGGGGGAAAATTTTTTTTTTCCGGGGGGGTTTTTTTTTAATTTAAAATTTTTTTTTTTTTTTTTTGGGTTTTTTTTTTTTTAAAGGGTTTTTATTTTTTTTTTTTTTAAAATTTAAATTTTTTTCTTGGGAAAAATTTTTTTTAAATTTTTTTTTTTTTTTCCCCCCTTTTTTTTTTAATTTAAAATTTTTAAAAAAAAAATTTTTTTTTTTAAAACCTTTTGGGGGGTTTTTTTTTTTTTAAAAAAAAATTTTTTTTTTAAAAAAATTTTTTTTTTAAAATTTCAAAATTTTTGTTTTTTTTTTTTTAAAAATTTTTTTAAAAATTTTATATTTTTTCCCCCTTTTTTAAAGGGGGAAAAAAATTTTTTTTTTAAAAATGTAAAATTAATTTTTTTTGGGGTTTTTTTTCCCTTTTTGTTTTTTTTACCAAAAATTTTCCCTTTTTTTAAAAAAACCCCCAAGGGTTTTAAAAAATTTTTTTCCCCGGGGGTTTTTTTAAAAAAAAATTTTCGTTTTTTTAAAAATTTTTTTAAATTTTTTAAACAAAATTTAAAAATTTTTTTTTTAAAAATTTTTTTTGAAAAAAAAAAAAAATTAAATTTTCCCAAAAAAAAAAAAAAAAAATTTAAAAAATTTTTGGTTTTTTTTTTTTTAAAAAAAAAATTTATTGGAAATTTTTTTTTTTAAAATTTTTTTTGGGGGGGGTTTTTAAAAAAAAATTTTTTTAAAAAAAATTTTTTTTTTTTAAAAAGGGGGGTTTTTTTTTTTTCCCTTTCCTTTTTTAAAAAAAAATTTTTTTTTTTTTAAAAATTTTAAAAAAACCCCCCCTTTTTTTGACAAAATTTTTAAACACTGAGGGTTTTTTTGACATGACAGGACTGGAAACAATTTTTCAAGATAAATGTTTCATTTGATTTTGGTCTCGATCAATAACTTGTATACAAAATTTGAGATCATTTGTCCATTCTGTTTTTCTTGGTGATGATTCTTATTCTGAAAAATGACCTAAAATAGAAAAAGCATTGCACGCTTTTACTTAAATCAGGCAAAGAATTACACAAAAATACAATATTCAGTATATTTCTGAATATTTCTTAATAATCTTTCTGTTTTAAGTGCCCCAACAGATCAGTGTAAGAAATTCAGTTTTCATGTTTTTAGACTTTAGCACCTCAGGGGAGTCCCTTTAAAACATGAAACCGCCATTTTATGAAGTTCCAGATCTTTTTATGCCCCCACAAAGTGGGAGCATATAGCGTTGCACTTGTCCGTCCGTCCGTACGTCTGTCCGTCCGTCCGTCCGTCTGTCCGTACGTCCCGAAATCTTGTGAACGCAACTCCTCTTAAACCGGATGGCAGATTTTGCTTAAACTTTCAGGGATGAACAACCTTAATGTGTAGATGGTAGTAAAGGAAGGAATTTTCGCTGCGACCAAATTTAACAGAATTATGGCCCTTTGTTGATTTTTTCACTATATACTATATAGAAATTTTGTGAACGCAACTCCTCTTAAACCGAATGGCAGATTTTGCTTAAACTTCCAGGGATGAACAACCTTAATGTGTAGATGGTAGTAAAGGAAGGAATTTTTGCTGCGACCAAATTTAACAGAATTATGGCCCTTTGTTGATTTTTTCACTATATACTATATAGAAATTTTGTGAACGCAACTCCTCTTAAACCGGATGGCAGATTTTGCTTAAACTTCCAGGGATGAACAACCTTAATGTGTAGATGGTAGTAAAGGAAGGAATTTTTGCTGGGACCAAATTTAACAGAATTATGGCCCTTTGTTGATTTTTTCACTATATACCATATAAATGTTGTCAGTGGGGGCATCCGTGTCCTTTGGACACAGTTCTAGTTTCATTAATTTCTTTCTAGAAAAAATTAAGGAAAGTAAATAGATGTCATTTTCAATATATTGAATGTTTAAAATCTGTTTAAAATCTGTTTACATTGTATTTTGGTATAGATTTGTCAAAGTGAAAAATATTTTTTTCAAAATTTAGGTTTCAATAAAATGCTTACATGTTCATGTAATTGATTCGTAGACGTTTATTACTCCAATGACCATTTAAATGGCCCATTCTTCTTAGAAAGCTAGAAATTCGTGTATTTTATGAAGTGACAGCATAAAAAAACATTTGAACAATTACTTTGAAACATACTACAATTTTTATGTACAGTGATTTAATGTTTTCTAGAATTAATTCACAATTATGACATTAAATTGTGTACATGTATGATCTGATATTTTGAATAGATTTTGTTTTACTGTCTTTGTCAGATAATTTTGTAAATAATATTGATTGTAAATTACAGGAATATAGTCTTATTTATAAGATTTGTAATTTGTGAACACAAATGTGATTAAATATGATATCTTTTCATTGGTTATCTTGCTCTCTTTTAAAACCTCTTGATTGCTCAAGTTTGATGATAACTTACCAAGCACAGTAGTCAAATGGGAACACTGACTACAACAAGCATAGTAGTTCAAAAGGAACCTGCCTTCAAATGCTAAAAATAGGGCGATTATTTTATTTGTTTGTACAGTGCACCAACACAGTTTATATCATATGGCGCCGAAAAAGGAAAGATGATTTTGGCTCACCTTGGGTGTTACAAATTTAAAGCAACACCAGGGATCAAAAGCACCTCACCTGCTGGAGCTAAAAGATGCATAGGAGTTCAATAGATCGAACCCATTTTAGCCGCATCACGACAAAACCAACATAATGGGTTTGCGACCAGCATGGATCCAGATTAGCCTGCGCTTCCGCGCAGCCTGATCAGAATCCATGCTGTTCGCTTACGGACCCTATAACAAGTAAAGAAACTGACAGCGAACAGCATCAATCCTGATCAGACTGCGTGAATGCGCAGGCTATCCTGATCAGACTGCATGAATGCGCAGGCTGGTCTGGATCCATGCTGGTCGCAAACCCATTATGTTGGTTTTGTCGTGACGCGGCTCATTTAGTCTCCTGTTACGATCATGCAGGGTTAAACAGTGGCTGCAATTCTGATGCCTCAACCTGTAAAGACATCCCCGCTTTGGTCATCATATGCAATTCCAAATAAAGTTATTGGCTTGTAATAAGGATGACCCCTTTCAAATCTATTAAACTGAGCTACAGAAAATTAGCGTTAATATTATTTTGAACATTTAAAAAAAAACACCATAGATTTAATATTAAAGGGACTCCACTGAGGTTTAAAAGCCTAAACCCTTCACATTTGAATTTCTTACATAAATGAGCTGTGACACTTTAAACAGAAATATATGCAAAGATATTTCAGAAAAATACTTTGGAATAAATTGAAAATCATATTTTTAGCTCGACTATACGAAGTATATGGAGAGCTGTCCTACTCGCCCCAGCGTCGGCGTCCAGATTTTAGCTTAAAGTTTTGGTGCAGTAAAATATTTTTCACTGTAACTTTGTCATTTCTTAACGTATCAACTTCAAATATATGATCCTTATCATCAACCACATCTTATGTGACAAGGTTCATAACTCTAGCACCAATATTTTCAGATTTATCTCCCCTTGAACTTAGAATTTTCCTTAAAAAATACAATTTTTTACTGTTACTTCTTTATTTCTTAAGAGATCAACCTCATACTTCAAATATATGTACCTTATCATCATCCCCATCTTATGTGACAAGGTTTATAACTCTAGCACCAACATTTTCAGATTTATCTCCCCTTGAACTTAGAATTTTCCTCAAAAAATACTATTTCTTACTGTTACTTCTTTATTTCTTAAGGGATCAACTTCATACTTCAAATATATTTACCTTATCTTCATCCACATTTTATGTGAAAAGGTTCATAACTCTAGCACCAAAATTGCAAGAATTATCTCCCCATAAACTTAGATTTTTTTACTAGAAAAATGTTATTTTTTACTATAACTTTTTTATTTTTAAAGGTATCTACCTCAAACTTCAAATACTTATACCTTATCATTAATTACATTTAATGTGACATTGTTTGTAACTCTTGAAGCAATATTTACAGATTGATCTCTCTTTGAACTTAGGATTTTCTTTAAGAAATATAATAACTTCTTTACTTTCTAAGGTACAATGTATCTATTCAAACTTCAAATATATATTTCTTATCATTACACAAATGTTGTGTGACAAGGTCCATAACTCTAGCATGACTATTTCTAGAATTATTCCCCTTGATCTTGGAATTTATGTTAACAGATGTTATTTTTTTACTATAGCTTCATACATAATTATACATAATTGATTTTTCTTTCATAGTTTTGTCCTCCTTACTGCGTCCAGTATTTTATTAGTCGAGCTTCGCTGTCTCCTGTGACAGCTCTTGTTATACTTTTCTTAGCCTGATTCGAGTGAAAAGCGTTTAAACGCTTTTCTTTTTGGGTCATTTTTTTACAATTTGAAAAACGAAATGCGCGAACGATCTGAAATTTTGCACAAAGATAAGTGGTCTAAACCTACATCAAATGGTACATTTATCTGAAAAAAATATTTTCAGTACCATCATGACAAAATACCTCAGTGGAGTCCCTTTAAAATGCTCTTTGTGAAGACTGATCAAATATCTTGATTCTTTGTTCAGTGTCCAAAAATAAAATGAACATAACCCGTGCTTTCTCTCGCTAAACTTGAAATGAAGAGTATTTCAATGGCTACGAAAAAGGCGACTAAATTTGCTTTTACAAATAAATCGACAAAGAAGACATAACGACCCTAGCTATTTCCAGATGTTCAGCATAGCAAAATTATTCGAACAACTTTAGTAGAGCTTCATGCTAGTAACATCCCAGGAAATTGTCATCAAATTTGGCCCAGTGCAGAAGTCGTTAGGGGGATGGGGGAACTGCAACGCTAGAATGATAACGACACTCATGCAAAAATAAATTTTAATGACAAAATTGTATTGTTCATTATTGGTATACAAAATTGTATAGAATTAAAAGAACTGAATGTAGAAAAACACCCGTAAAATCAGAAAGAAAATGCACTGATAAAAAAAATAAACAGCACTAGATCTACCGATCACGAAATGGAAATACTGACAAAGTGGTTTTCTTATAATACATCCATTCTAGTTTCCTTCATTCGAAGTCTCACCATTTTCTCTAAAAAATGCAGCAGTAATTATCATCATAAAACATTCACGAACAGTCTTTCTTTGACATGGGATCAAAAATATGGCCCCAACTTTGACTTATTCATTTCTTGAGTTTACCATTCTTATGAAAGAACAGGCAAACCGGTGGTCTTATGATATTGAAATAAATATATTATACATAAAGTTTATACAAGTATTTTCCCTTTATCTAAACAATCGAGTATACTTTTTTTGTTTCATCACAACCCAACTTAACAATGTCGCCATTCAAATGGCAATAGTATAACCGCGATCACGCCGTCTTGCGTTGCGATTTTATATGTACAGCACAGCTTCACCCAAAACAGGCGTCACCATAATCTCTGTAACCAAATCTATTCAATATTTCATGAGTTATAAAGTCACTAAACAATTTAAGTTTACACAGGCCATTCAGCGTCTTATTTTTACAGAACACGACTTTTTCAGTTTTGTCAAGGCCGTTATACAAAAATTTTAAGAAATATTTTTCCTCAGTAAGGTCGTTTTCATTTTCATAAAGCTCCATGACAACGCGCGAGGCGTATGGCGGCCATCTTCCATCATGCAAACCTAAAACGTAGAGTAACGGTGACAACGTCACATCATGTCCAGAGTATAAAATAAATTTCGGTGTATTTTTATTTTCTATTAGTTCCTTTATTCTGTGAAAGACCTCTATCAAAACGGGAGTCATTTTAATACTGCAGTACTTCAAAAAATTAAAACTTGGGTCATCCCAGTTTGAAAATTCTTTGTCTGTTATGGCGTCCCATATTTTACCAAGCAACTTATGATCCACACATTTTGAGGGATTGAATGTAGAGCATGGAATTGTAAAGTTATGGCAAAATGTGGGGACCAAAGCGTCTGCTATCCCCGAAAGCCATTTTAAATCATTTTTATCTATTTTAAACAATTCACTCACGAAATTTCGAAGATCTTTAAAGTACGAACTATTTTTACCCATTGCGCTCTGGAACCATAAGGCGCGTATGTACAAATCACGCGTATGAGGACAATTGCAGTCCTTCACATGTTTCGTCGAACAAAAGTGAAGGTCTTTCGAGTGGTTTATACTTACATCAGACATGTTAAAGTTTGGAACAAAACCGTAAAGAAACGCTACTGCACTTTGAAACGTCCTTTTAGTACCCGTACTTATAGTGTATATTTGACTAGACAGTGGTTGTTCGAAAAGATGGTGATGCTTGCTGTAGGACTTGAAGATGTGTTGACCTAGTTTTAAATGCTGCAACGCTCCTCGGCTGGTCAAAACTGCATCCATGCACGTGTCGAACTTTGGATATGTCGGCCATCCCTGGAAATAATAATTTTCTTTTCTCCTTGCAGACGACATCATTTGATCCATACGCGACGGAAACGCTTTGAATTTTACGTCATTTCCTGTGTACCACCTGCTGAACTTACAATCATAAGTTTCCGGCTTGTATCCAGGGAAATTATGGATCGACGTTCTATCACCATGTCGTATAAAAATATGTACCATTTTCAGTTTAAAATCTTTAGAAGATGTACCTGGAAGTAGAAAAAAAAGAAACTGAATGGCAGAAATAACATCATACCGAGAAAATTGACATAAAGTAGATTTACATGAAAATTTAAAAAAAAAAATGTTTTTTGTTTGTTCGCACTAGCGGCATATGGCAAAACAGGTCGTACCGACCAAATAAGAGCTGACACCCGTGATCCCGGCATCAGTTTATATCAATGCATTTAATATCAGTTTCATAAGCGGATGCAATTTTGCCCCGGCTCTTCCCTGATATATTATTATTAGATAATTCCATATATCAGGGAAGAACCGTTTGCTGATGTTGTAAGAACTCGTGGTTCAACCCTATTGCTACTTTTGTATTTATATTATGATTATATAATGTTACAAATGTGTAAAAAAGAGCAATAAAATATGTTTAAATCAATTCAATTTTGCAGACTGTTTAATCATCATAAGAAGGGTTTCCCCCCCCCCCCTAAATTATGTTCAGAAAGTTGCGTTATTGAAGGCATAAATTACTAGCATATTATTATTATTTTTATTATTAATAAAGAAGTTATCGCCAAGAATAAAGTTGCCCGACAGAACAAGAAGCGTAAAAAGACAAACGATACAACGAGATCGAACATGTGCACAACGTGACTTGTGCACCACGTGACTAATCAAAGTACACTTACCTTCCTGTCCCACTGTTTCCTTCATGGGCGAGTTACAATAATTCTGCAATGCATCTATGCCCCTTATATGTGTTATTTCCTGAACTATGGAAATCCGTTCTGGTAACTTTTTCCGTCGTTCTGGTAGTTTTTCTCGTCGCTTGGATACTGTTGACTCCGGTTTGTAGTCGATCTTCGAAAGATGTGATTCATTGGACGAATTTGTTGCTTTCAACCAATCAATTTGGTAAAACAAAATAACTGAAAAGAAAACAAGAATGGGATCTGCATAAGAGCACATATGTATACAAGTACTCAAAATTACCGTCTTGTAAAATTAAAGTCGTATATTCTATTAAGTGATACATTAACTTATGCAAAACAAAATTCGACATCTTAGTGCAAGAACAGAATAAGTCATTTTAAAAATTTAATAGCAGTTAATCAGTTATTGCACTAAGGTCACTATATATTTCGTAACACTATCTTCATTAGCTTTACATTGAGCTAACAGCTTTTGAGCGAAAAAATATGCCGGTTCTGTTCTGTTCTGTTCTATACTTTTAACATCTCTCTATATTTGAAACCCCTTAGATAAAAGTGTACACTTTGTAGTATACCTCAACGTTTAAAGGCCCATTATGTTTCATTAATGCTTTCATTTTTATTTCTCAAAAACTCGTTATTTTTGGTATCTTGTTAAAGTTTCAAAAAATTATTCTCATTTGACATATACATGTAGTTGAACTATATTTTGCTTCTTTTGCTCTGTTGGTAATTGGTATGATATCATAGTGCATTATAGTATTTTGTAGGAAGTCAAAATTCTACTATGTATTTTGTTTATATTTTGCTACCTTTTACAACATATTACTTTATGTGTTCAGCACTACAATTGTATGTTAAACATCTAACATGCTTTTTATACAAATGATTGACATGTCGAAGAATTTAAAAATATGGATATCAGAAACATAATGTGCCTATATTAATTTATCTTCTTAAACAGATCTATATTTCCTAGTTTTTCATCAGCCTACAAGATATAAGCAGCTTTTCCCCTGCATTAACATCTGCTGCAGGACGTAATTTAACCTAAAGCCCGTAGGATTTTGAAATGCTTGAAATCTTCTGCAGATGTTAATGCACGAACAGGAGGGCCGTGATGGCCCGGGATCGCTCATTTGAAATACTTTGCTGGAAAATGTCACAAGTTTTTATATTTCAATAATAAATAAGGTCATTTTTTACCCAAGCTGCATAATCATTAAAGAATTTGTAGATGGCAGCAACGAAATGCTTTGTGCCAGTTCAATGGTATTTTATAGTACATGGTTCCGAGTTAACCTACCGCTTGCGCACTCTCTATGCAAGAATAACCCTTATTAAATGATATAGGCCTACATGTAGCGAAATTTTATATTTATGAAAAAAAAAAAGAAAAATGTTTTTCTAGACTTACAACATATAACAGCTGCTATTAAAAGTAAAATAGCTCGTTTCATCAGGCGTTGCTGTCGTCTGCGTGTTCCCATCACCATGACAGCACTTCATTCTATATATACGAACCCTTTCTGAAACAATAAATCAAACAAAATTAGTCACGTGACAGTCCTGGTCTGACTAGAGGAGTAGATCTTTGGTCTTTGTGGTAATATTTTGGTCCAGTACTCAAGTGATTGCAGTTTCGACCATAAAACCAACACCATATGTAAACATCGGTGTTCTGTACACAATGACATGTAAAAGAAGTGCAGGGTCACCTCTAAAACATCCGCCCTACAGCTACTTATTATTATATAGAAAATAACTACACCAAGGAAGCGTATCTTACATCTTAAAACCTACTTAGGGTTTTGTTAAACAGCATAGAATTTAATAAAATTTGTGAAGTCCTAGTTAGTAAGTTACTGCCACTTGCTTTCCTATAATTAGAGGGAATGGGAAATTTCTGTTGGCGTTAGACAATTCTATGGTTATATCGGCAAACTCCCTGGTAATGTTAATTTACGCCCGGCTACGTCACTGAAAATGACTTAATTACTTCCCTTGTAAAATTACAAACAAAACATCATACCCACATTTTAAAGTAGGCCTAAAATAATGTTATCATAATAATAAATTTATAACCTAAAATAATGTTATCATAATAATAAATTTATATATAATTCATGACAAAATGATGTCGATTATAGATCGGGTTAATCAGTGTAATAACCGGTTTACTGTTCGGTCATAATTTATACAATTTAGATAAATCAACTAAAGTACTCACATTTCACATTAGTGACATTACTGTCATCAGGCTACGAAATACGCATGTATATAAGCACTGTTTTCTAAAGTATTTTGAAGATTATCCAACATGTGTTTAATCCGGCAGTTCACACATCAATAAAGCTCTGTTGTATGTACATATAAATCAATAATATATAACCGGTGTACACATACAACTGCTCAGGGACGTATCAGGTGAGAAACCCGATGTTAACTATTGAATCATGAGGCGCAAAGTTCTGTTGCTATGAAATATCATGGTATCTATCGAACAATTAGAAATAGATATTTTTATGCTAGCAATGTACAGTTTTAATATTTTAACAGATTTGTTTTTATTTGCAAATACCCCAGGTGCGCTCTTGAATGAGCAGATGTCCGCAGCATGATATTTTCGTGTTTTGGAATATGACCAACATATTTCCGCTTCCGGTATGGCGGGATTTTTTATAAAAGAGAATCGAAGAAATATGATTTTACTGAAGAACTGAGGTATATGCATGAAGTGATGTTGATTATATCTGATACTGGTTGAAATATAGCAAACTTTGTCCGTGAATTTCGTGAAAATTGTGCGTCTGAATCTATACAGTAAACTTCACTTAATAGCGAACACGGTTATAGCGAACCTCCGGTTATATAGGGAACAATTTATTTTGGCCCGAATTTTGCCCTTCTTTTTTTAATATAAAAATATATATGGTTATAGCGAACACGGTTATAAGGAATTATCGCTTATAAGGAACTCATTTCTAAGTCCCAATTTAGTTAATACTACAGAAAATTACACTTTTATAACAAACTCCAAAAAATTGGCTATTCGTAAATAGATCCCGCATTTTCAACTTTCGTTTTCATTCGCACGGATGAAAACTCGGGCGAATGTATGTACTTCAATACATCTATTCAAATGAAATTTGTATAGTTTTCTATTTAGCTAGGATATGTTTAGCATGAGTTCTTTTCACCAAGATAAAACGGTTATTTATTTATATTCTTCAATAGTTTTGCTCGAGTAAAATAATTATAATAATTTATAATCGGTTTTCAATATAATCATGCATGCTTGCAAGCATGATCCATTGCAAACTGCAAAGTACGCTTGATTTAACTGAAAAGAAATCTATATCTTACATTAGTAGAAGAAACCCTTAAATTATAATAGAAGATATTCAATATAAAGGAAGGAAAAATCGAAAATCTTGTTTATTCGAAAACGAAAAGAGTTTAGAAACAAAATATAATAATTATATTTTATGTGAAATTGAGATAGGGAGTAAAACTAAAACTGAAATAGCAATGATTTTCAAATTCCAAAAAGTACGCTCTCGGGTATTGTGTCTAAAATATAAATAAATGACTAATATTTCTATTTCTTAATCAAATGCTCTTCAAAAATGGCGGACAATGGTAAACAATCAGTTCGTTATATGTAAATCTGTTCGCTATAAAAATTCCTGATACAAGGAACTAATTCTGTATATGCTTACAAGGAACTCCGGATATAAGGAACAGGTTTTGAATGTCCCAGTGAGTTCGTTTAACTCAGAGATCCATAGTCATAGTTATTAAGACACACAAGTCCAAGCTATCTTTGATGGCGTTCCTTCAGAGGCCGAAAATGACAAATTGCGACCTTGCGTTTCCAAACTTGAATTGCTGAGCAATACAGCCGACGAAATTGTCTACGTTTTAGCGGCATCCTTGAATCAAAACCTTGCACCAGAGTCCACTTGCTGCTCAGAGTACCGAGTTCGACCCTTTTGAAATCCCCAAAAATCCAATTTCGCATAATATTGTAGACGGTTTTCCTCTCAACTATGCATTTACAGATATCATATTATATTAGAAGTCGTGAAATCTATTGACCTGCCAATGGCATTATCGGACATTGATAGGTCACACCGATTGGCAAGAAAACCAGCGGAAAACTGTACGTGACATCATAGTTATATTTTCAACATATCGTACGTGCTAGTCGGAGTCAAGCTTTGATAGGAAAATTTTCAATGACCGGTGAATATCTATCAGAGTAAAAACTTTAGTTATGAATATACAAAATAAAACATGAACACTACTAAAATAACAGGGCACATAGCCACATTTCTTGAACTTGTATTTTAATTACGTAAATCTAGTTTTGTGATTACATAATATTATTCGTTATCTGCAAAAAAAAGTACGTCAGGTCATAATTTGATAATTAAGCTTTACGACCTACAATGATAATCTATTTTAACGTCAATTCAGGCCAACGAAGATGTAAATTTGTCCACTTTTTAAATTTATTTATTTATTTATTTTTTTTTTTTATCGTCCCTCATCCTATACTATTTTTTAATTAATTTATGAACGTCGATAACATCACTCGTCAGGTTAACGATAAAGAAAAAAAAATACAAAAAGACGGACAGTGGCAATCTGGCCGATTATGTACAACCCGTGTTTGTGGGGATGACCGTTGAAACATATGGTTGAGATCTTTCGTTTAAGTTGAGATTCTTTAAAACTTTGTATTATATTTGACCCTTCCTTGCATATCTATTAGGTGTTGTGCACCGGTATGTTAACTGTACCATAGTCTCTGTTGAAAGCCCTATTTACATTAGTCCCGGTCTTGCGTCCGGTTTGCTAGGTTTAGTCTATCGGGATCAACCGTGGTAAACCGGCGTAGGGCCGTAGCGATTCCGTGAAGTACCGGGACAAACCGAGATCGCCACGGTTGAATTAAAATGTTTAATACAACCGAGGCTCACCGGCACTCACCGGGAAGGAAACCAAGAACCGTGTTCTATCGGCTTGGCACCGGGAATCGCCGGAGAACCATCGTATCTGCATCCATACCGTGACACGCCGTGAAGTAAACCGCGATGCGTGTCAATGTCAAAAAACGGCAGAGCCCCGGTGATGACACGATGTCGCCACGGTAAAAACAGGCAGAGCTACTGTAGAGCCAGAGGAGAACTTTGCGGTTATAAGCGACAGCGCTACGATTGGACCCGGTATTGTCCCGGATATTGCCGGCAAGTCCCGGTTATACAACGATGATAAACGGTGGTGTCACGACCTTGTGCCGATAAGAGGCAATTAAAATACACTAAAAGTGCTACGTTGGATAATTTTGTTAAGTGAATATGAAGAAGGGGCGTTCTCTGCTATTTCTGCTGATGCGAGCTTTCCTTACTGTCCTTCCCCGAGTCGTTTCCAAAGGTACCTCTACCTCTGTAGGCGTTGTTAGCACAGTTGTCCCAACTTTCTTCCCCTTTCCTTTGGGTGGCATCTCTGCTGTCTTTTTACCAAATGACTGATGTCAACGTGGTCAAGCAGTTTTATTCTCATAAACTTGAACCGGGAAGCATCGGCGAATTACCAAGGCGTCACCGAGACTGTAACGGCATCACCCGTAGCTTAACCGTGGCGAAATCGGCGATGGTCGGGATGGACCGTGATGAAACCGTGTCTAGTTGGGTTTCCACCGGGATCAACCGGGAATATACCGGGTAAGCATCGGCACTTACCGTATATATCCGGTGCTATATCGGGTATGGACCGGGAATACACCTGGGCTTTGTGGGGGATATGTTAACGCAATTTGATTCTTAACTGAAAAACACCACGGAACACCCCGGTTTACCGGTTTAAGACACCGTAGGATACCGTGGCCATTACCGGGACAGTGTAAATCGGGCAAAATGCAGCTTTTGCTGTCGAGTACGGACCCCGAACATGTCGCCAGTCATGCCCTTATAGAGTTAATTTTGATGCACAAAGAGGTGATAATTTATCTACATGCAATTTCCACAGAGTATTAGCCAAAGATATGAATTTTGAGCCAAAAGTAGGTCACTGTACGGCGGTCAATGAGAACCTAAATGTACAGTAAACTGAGACAAATTGAAAGGGTAGCCCTTACGCCTTACAAGGGATGTTGGTGCCAGCAAAGGGCATGCCGTTCAAGCCGTCTAACTGTTCTAGGGGGCTCATGCTCCCTAGCACACCATTCTTGTCGACCCAAAGCCTATTTTGTAGGACAACTCCCCTCGGCTTTAGGCAGGACATCGGCAGCAGGTCCGCAGCACAAGTTCCGATCTTTTTCGCCGTCCCCAGTAATCTTCTGTCGATGCCCTTTGTCTTCTCGACGATGTACACTTACCGAGGGGAAAAGAGAAGCCGGTATGTTAACATGTGCATATATTGGCATATATCAGTCACAACTTTTCGGACTTGTCCGTCAATCTTCGGATAAAGACTACCAAAATCGCCGAGGTGTTTCGATTGTGAATAATAGACCAGGTGCCCTGATTGTGAATAATCTTCGAGGTGCGCCAATTATAAATAATCGTCGAGTCGAGGTGGTCCGTTACATGAAGGGAAGCACCGCGTGCCGTAGTTAGTTTCAGCTCTATTCTGGATGTTTAAACCACACACATCGGAACAATTCTTACACGCCCGAACTAAACTCAGATAACATAGAGAGGTTTAAACTGGTCGGGTCCGCATTTTAAATTCCCATTTCATTTTAATAAAATTCTGTTATCTCGTTGACACCGTTAAGAAAAGAAAAATAAGGTCACATGTAGTGTGAATTATAAATAAGTCAGTGACGTACATCAAGACTGTGGCAAGATGTAGTACAATGCTTTTGCTGTCTGTAGTTAATTCAAATCGTTGATAATGTTTAGCTGGATTATGAAGAAATATAACTTAATTTCTTTTTTTAAAGAATTTTTGTGGTTCCCTTCTAGTCTGTTCACTTGTGTCGGAAAACATGATTGTTTACCCAAGTAGAGCTGTAAACAACAATCTTTAAACATACATCACTCCAATTAATATGATGAAGCGGAAGTTATCATTAGGACACCACTATGCTTTGTCCAAGATAAGATTGAAAAATTAAATATGCTCAGTTCAATGCACTGTAATTTGCAGGCTCTGTAAATATGCAAGTGTACTGGTCAAGCTAAAGATTTCCACAATAATTCCACTGAAATTAATAGAGATATAGACATTGAAAAAACTTAAATTTTGTTCGACTGCAAAACTATTGGTGGCTTAACTGTGAATTAAATTCAAACATGTACTATAAGTAGATTGGCACCATCTTGCCAAATGAACTATTGCCGTTTTGGTGCCCAACAAGGACAAATATGGTATACGTTACTCTATAATATATTTTGTATTTCTTTGTTGTTGTTTCGTTGTAGCGGACCTGCGACCAATAATAGTCGGCGTTAAAAATATAAGCATGTATATCACCTTGTGGTAGAAGCCCTGACTACAATTAAGTTCATCTGTCCATTGGACGTTGAGTAATCCTTAAATGTGCTGTTGTCTCCGCCATACTGACATTATTCTTTGTTGCTGCTCACCATTATGCGACAATGTCCCGAAGATGACCATAACGACCTGAGGGCAAAAATGATATGTCAGAAATCAGCTAACATTGTGACAGTTGACTTGGAATAACTTTCTCCTTGCTCGGATCCGTAAGAGTCGCTGTATCCTTATTCGTCCGGAAACAACCCAGCAAGTTTGTAAAAAAAACTCGATGGTTCGACCCGAGAGCCAGGCTTCCTTAATTTGCACCAGTAAAACTGGCAAATCGTCAAGGTAACGCATACTTTATTCCCTTCATATGACCTACTAGGAATAGCCTTTATGTTGATAACAACTCTCATGTCAAAATTTGTGACTATTTTTTGGTTATATAAAGAAAATAAGTTCCACACATGAACATAATTGCAAAATGTGTCCCAAAGCGCTTGTCACCATTTTGGTCGTTGTTGGTGAGTAAACGTGTTAGAAACTTAGTTTCATTACATCAATTTAATAAGTTATACATTTTTAAGTTTGAACTTTCTTTGATTGCGATGATTCTAACATCGATGGTGATGATGACAATAGTAACGACAACATCGTTGATGATGATGACGTTGGCAGACAGTCATATCACGAAGTCGACGTAATATTTGACGTCATAATTAGCTGCCCAGCTCTTTAAATAGTTTGTTTGTTTGTTTGTTTCATTTTACGCCTTTTTCCAACAGTATTTCAGTCATATAGGCGGGTAGTTTTCTAACCATCGTTCCTGGAGAGTTACACCAGTACTAGACTACCTTCCTCCGCGCTAAACTACCAAACCATCTCCCGGGGATCGAACCCACGCCAGAGAGGTAACTGGATTAGAAGTCATCGACTCTATCCCATCGACCACGAAGGCAGTCTCTTTAAATAGATATGCCCGTCAAATATTCATTGTCATGTCTGCTCGAAACAGACACTTTCCGTCATATTTTGGAATTTGTAATATTTCAGGTTTGGTGTATGTCGAGGCGGGGCAGAAATGTACCGGAAGTCCAAGGATGTATAACGGAAAGAGGTGTGCGTCGACAACTCACTACCATGACGCCCATAAAGGTGCATGTGGTTGCGGACCGGACAATAACGACAATCAGGTCTGTTGTACACTTGTTTTGTTGGTCTATTTCCTATCTGTCCACTAACAAGTCAAGAAATACATTTGAACGGCATTAATTTGACTTATAAATACCGTATTTTTCCGTCCAACCATCTGTCCGTCCCCTTTTCTTGTCCGGGACATAACTTTGAAACAACAAGAGGTATCAACATGAAACTTTGTGGGTAGATTGATCTCACTGAGTAGGTTGCAGTGCACAAGAACCGTAACTCTGCCTTGCATAATTTTTGAATTATTGCCCCTTGTTTATTTTTACACTTTGAACTTTGTCCGGGACATAACTCTAAAGCTATAAGAGGTATCAACATGAAACTTTGTAGGTAGATAGATTTCATAAAGTAGATGTGCAGTGCGCAAGAACCGTAACTCTGCCTTGCCTAATTTTTGAAGTATTGCCCTTTGTTTATTTTTACACTTTGAACTTTGTCCGGGACATAATTCTAAAACTATAAGTGATATCAACATGAAACTTTGTAGGTAGATATGTCTTATTGGGTAGAAGTGCAGTGCAAAAGAATAAAAATCTGCCTTGCCTTATTTTGAAGTTATTGCACTTTTGTTTATTTTTACTTTTTGAATTTTGTCCGGGACATAACTCTAAAACTATTAGAGATATCAACATGGAAATTTGTAGGTAGATAGATCTCATTGGATAGAACTGCAATGCTAAAGAACCTAAACACAGGCTTGTCTAATTTTTGAATTATTGCCCTTTGTTCATTTTTACTCTTTGAATTTTACCCAGGACATAACTCGGAAACTATAAGAGATATCATCACGAAACTTTATAGATAGATAGATCTCATTGAATACAAGTGCAGTGCAAAAAACATAACTCTGCCTTTTCTAATTTTGGAGTTTTGCCCTTTGTTCATTTTTTTATACTTTCCAGTGTCAAAACCTTCTCGGGGAGCATCATACGGTTCAACCAGTTCTTGTTTATACAGTGTTACTTTCACTTAAACGGTGGATTCGTTGTGCAAATTGTAGGCCCTAATTCCAGAGTTCTCACTGCAACGGCAATACACAACCATCACTACCGAAATGTCACTAACTTCTAAGTTGTTACAAAAAGCCCCTAAAATCTGATTCTGAGTGTGCACTGTAAGTATAAATGAGCCGTGTTATGACAAAACCAACGTAATGCATTTGCGACCAGGATGGATCCAGACCAGCCTGCGCATCCGCGCAGTCTGATCAGGATCCATGCTGTTCGCTATAAGTTTCTCTACTTGTCATAGGGTTTGTAAGCGAACAGCATGGATCCTGATCAGACCACGCGGATGCGCAGGCTGGTTTGGATCCATGCTGGTCGCAAACGCATTACATTGGTTTTGTCATGACACGGCTCAAATGTTTTACTCAATATCTGTTTACACTTGCAGTTCAGTTGGAATGCCAACAGCTTTGTAACTGCTCCGAGTCAGCACTTGTTTGACGCTAGTGGTAAAGGTTGGTGTGGTTCCATGTGTGGAAGGTGTGTGAAACTCACCACAACAGGTGTGAATCTTTTCTATACAATCAGAACACAAACTTTTTAAATTTAAACTCGATACTGCACATTGCACTCGTAAGTGAAAGAAAAACAAAATGGAGATTTGTCGGGCGCAATGAAAGCAAAACAAATCAAAAACAAATAAATAAAGAATTAAAATTCGCATACTTGGTTTTTATTAAAGTGATTATCCTGTCCGTGCCCTGTTCTTTTTTTGTTTAGGGTTCTCCTGGGCTCTTGGCCCTAGTTACCGCGTCGAGTGGGGGTTGCGTTCATTGAACGCCGCCTTTCCTTGTTGATCTTGTTTTTCATATTTTATTGAATCTGTTCGTGAGATATAATGGAATGCGCAACACTTCTCAAGTCCCCACCCCAGCAACGGTAAAATTGGTATTAAATTCTCAAAACTAATATACCCAAAAATATTTTTGCCACACAACCATTCCGTTAAGTTACGATGACTTTGAACTTTGTATAGGCACAGAAATAAAACTATTATAATTCAAAAACATGATGTTTCAATACATACTCCAAGATTCATTTTAATTTTAATAAATTTAAAGACAGTTCTTACTTATAAATGTTTATGTACATGGAAAGTTTCACGTGCATTGTAATTAATTCATAGTTTCTTAATGATATACTATAAATTATAGTATAATTATCTTAGGATAAATACTTGTATTGCAGAAATTTATTGAATTCTAGTAAATTCTTCCTTAAAAAGTCATGTCTAATTTGAATAAGTGAATGTATAAAGTATGTTTGGGAAGCTGCAGTCCCTTTTACTTGTCAAATTGATTTAGTCTATATTTATATACATGTATACAAAAGCCAGTTCTTTTTAATGACACTGTTTAATCATACTGTAATTACCTTTTTTAAAGTGTGTAGTTTTTAAAACATATCATTATATTCTCTGTGTGTATTCAAAAGATGTGTATTTTACATTTCAAATTTAAAGATTTTACCAGTTTATTTTTTTTTTCAAATATCAAATTTGAGCAAAATAAATATCTAAACTATTGATATTTTTCCTTAAGTTTGATATATCTTCATGTCTTAATTCATCAGAAGATTTTATAAGTAGTACTTAGTATATTTCAAACTGTATTTTGCAGGTGGATTTGTCGATGGACAAGGCTCATACACACCGCCCGGTCAAAGTGCCGTATTTATGACAACAAACTTATGTCCAAATGAATATCCCAATCTTAGTTGGTGTAGTCAAAGCAGTCAAAATGGATACAAAAATCAATACGGTTACGGAGAGCATTTTGACCTTGAAAACGGCGCAGGACAGGTTTCTGGACTGGGCTGGAATAACCCAGAGGTCACGTGGGAATGGGCTGACTGTAATTCAGTAAGTGTAGACACACGCATAACGCATTAAAATTTAATCACTAAGAAGACACATGATCATGTTGACCAAAGAATCCATCTCCCAATATTATAATATGATTAAGTTTAAGCAAATATCAGCACATGATAATGCTAGATAAATATATCTATCTTACAATGGTTTAAACATACATATATTTAAGCTCGATTGCGAAACAAGATCTTGAATTTATATTAATCACTTACGAGTTCGCTTCCTGGAACCAACCAGTACTGGTGTCATATGTCGAAACATGATCGTGACTCGATTAGGGCTCGAACCCATGATCCCTGGGTTGAGAGGCAGACACCTTAACCACTATGCCACCGCTCAACTGAAACATTCACATATATACTTTATTAAGCATACCAACACATGATCACCTCAAAGAATCCATATTCAAAATATTAACACATAATTAAGTTGGCAAATATCAACAAATGATAATAGAAATCCGCCGACCAGATATTAACATAATGACCAAATATTTAATCATCTTTAAGTAACGGAATTTCACTATCAGTCTTTTTAAGCCATAGAAATCCAACAAAATATTGAAATATTATGATTTACAAAGAGAATATGCAACCTAATATTTGAATTCTATTGAGTTAAACAATTACATAAACACCGTTATCTAATAATAGATATCTTTGTAATAATCCTGACTTTTTTCCATTGAATAGGATGCACTAAACGTCAGTCGTTAACATTGCATGTGGCAAAATAAGCTAAAAATGAATGATATCATGAAATTAGGACATGTCTAAATAGAAATGCTATAGTGTTAACTACAATACAATTTCAGGCACACTCCCATAACAGTAAGACACCAAATGATGGAATGTATCATCAGTGCTATTGTGGAAAACACCCAGGTGGCGGCAAGAAATAATTAAACAACTTTTGTTTTGAGTTTTTCTTATTAAAAGTCTAAAATAAATACCTCACAGTTTTGTTTTGTTTTATTACTCAGTAGTTAGTCATCCGTGAATTGTTACTCTGTCCCAATATTCCCCCAACCCATATTTCTGAGGTAGTACAGGAATAGTCCATATTTCGAGACAGTACAGAGAATAGCCCCTTATTTCCGGGGCCGTATAGGGAATATCCCGTTATTTCCAGTACAGTACAGGGAATAGCCCGATATTTCCAGGGCAGTGCTTCATATAGCCCAATATTTCAGGGGTAGTACAGGGAAAAGCCCAATATTTCCGGTGCTGTACAGTGAATAGCCCTAAATTAAACACTATATAAGAAGAAGTTACCATTTTTCTTCCATTTATCAAGATGGTTTTGGTTGGGTTTTTAAGTTATTATGAAACTGTCAAGGTAAAATGATCGCTTTCCCGTTGGTTAATACTGATACCTCTCAACGCATTATTTCATGCACTAGCGAGCATCATTGACCTTCTGTAAGCTTGCTGGATAGTTTACGTCCCTGACAGGATTCAAACCCACATCAGTGAGAGGCCAGGAGATTCAGTCAAAGAGCTTGGCCACTACAAAACAGTGGTACAAATAAATCCAGAATGGCCATCAGACAATTGTACTATTGGGTCGTTTGCAACCCTGACCTTTCAACCAGTGTAGTGAGAGCAAAAAAACTCTACTACCCTGCCCCTTATTTTTGGCGCCAAAACAGCCGGAGATATGTCCAGTGCGGAGGCATTCAGCAGGCATTTTACCATCTTATTGTTGCGACAGGGCGTATTTTCTTGGGATTTGCCGATTCGTTGGTCAAAGTCTCCTATTCTCGGAAATGGACCAAAGTTACAAATACATTGTGAATATTAAACACTTACTTTATACAAATTTATTTTAGTTCCATTGTGTTGTAAGGCTATAAGCTTATTGAAACACTTAAATCTGTTCCTGGAACATACCAGTAGTAAGCAATGAATGTAAAGTTTCTTGCTCAAGGTAACAACAGCTCCCCCCCCCCCCCGCGACAGGGTTTGAGCCCACGCGGATTACAAGTCCGATACGTTAACCACTCGGCCACACCGCCAATGCTATTGAACACTTCATCATAATAATATACAAAGGACAGTGATAACAAATTCAATATGGATGTATCTGAAGCATATTTATATAGCTTTGCTCCTGTCATCAAAATTTACCTTAAAACATATAAAAATAAGCTGCACATGTATAATTCTACAATAAAATCATGCTTAAAACGCCCTTTCAAATGTCCACAACCAACTTTTTAATTAACATGTATTGCACACAATTTTTCTTTTTCTTCAGAAAGTGTCCTCCTTTGTTGTCAAGCTTAACAAAATTATTGGTATACAATATGAAGTTAAAATACACATTACATTTCAATTAAGTTTAGAATCAGTATTTTGTATTTGTCACTCAGCATTTCAATATTTTATAATGCATTGATTCAAGAAAACCAGTTTCCTATATGTGTACTACTAATATTAAAACATGTAACACTCTCCTAGTTTCCACATAATCTAAGTGAAATTTCAGTCAAAATATGTACAGCCAGCTTCCTACTTATGTCAACCAGTTTCCTACAAGGATCAACCATTCTCTTTTAGGTCAACCAGTTTCCTGCATCTGTTAGCCAGTTTTCTTTTCAGTCAACCAGTTTTCAGCATCTGTCAGCCAGTTTTCTTTTAGGTCAGCCAGTTTTCTTTTAGGTCAGCGAGTTTTCTTTTAGGTCAACCAGTTCCCTGCATCTGTTAGCCAGTTTTCTTTTAGGTCAACCAGTTCCCTGCGTCTGTTAGCCAGTTTTCTTTTAGGTCAACCAGTTCCCTGCATCTTGTTAGCCAGTTTTTCTTTTAGGTCAACCAGTTCCCTGTATCTGTTAGCCAGTTTTCTTTTAGGTCAACCAGTTCCCTGCATCTGTTAGCCAGTTTTCTTTTAGGTCAGCCAGTTTCCCCTACAGCCAGTTTTCTTTTAAACAAGTTTATTGTTCTTTTATGGAAATGGCTTTACAAGCTTAAACATTTTGTTTGGTTCACAAAGCATCAGTCAGCACAAAGCATCAGTCAGCACAAAGCATCAGTCAGAAACTTGGTAACAACTTATACAGGCAGCTTTTCGTACAACAGTAACTGTACTTCTTCATACAGAGGATATGCATTCAGTTTTTCATACAACTGTGATTATTCAAATATAATGTGCAAATACTACAGATTTCTGTACAACAAATATTGTAATATTTGAAGCAAAAAATATATATAGCAAAAATACTGTGCAGATGTACACTAAATATAACATGTACTATCAGTTTCTATAGAGATGTACATTAGATGTAACATGTACAAGTTTTCTGTAAACAAGATACATGTATAACATGTACTTCAAGTTTTCTGTGCAGATGTACATAAGATTTAACATGTACAGCATGCAGTTGCTCATAACATCTATTGCCTGTTTCCGGTAAAAATGCACACAAAGTAAAACGTGTACTGTCAGTCTATGCAAAAATAATTGATATGACAGTTTTTTTTTTACACAGATGTACACAGAATATAATATGCACCACCAGTTCTCCTGTACAGATGTACATAACCCTATTTTCTGTACTGATGCACATGACATATTCTACAGTTTTCTGTACAGATTTACACAAAAATACATCATGTACAGAGAGTTTTCTGTACAGATGTACACAACAAATAACATTAGTACTGCTATTTTTCTATGTAGATATCAAATATATAGCTAGATCTCTTTGTTTATAAAACATTCATGTAGCCTTGATTCAAAGATTAAAATCTTTTTTTGATTTGGTAGAAACAATTAGCCATACTCCATTTCAATGATCTAGCTTCCATTTTTTCCACTGAGCACAATCTCTCGTACTTTTTTCTTTTTTTCAACCAGTCTCCTCTTTAATGGTATTAATTCTAGCACATATTTTTAAAGCAGGTCCAAGTTTCATGTTCATCGTTGTCATTAAATGATCTTCTTTAAGTAAGAGTAATGCCTGCCCGTCAATCTCTTGCGACCTAAATTCCTCGGCATACATGCCGCAGCCTGGGAGATTCTTTATAAACTCGTATACTTCCATCACCTGGAAAACAAAAAATATAATTTGTTTTAACAGTTGTCATATCACTTCCATTCTATTCTAGGTAATAAAGGGATATACCACTCAAACAATATTATATATAAAGGTTTATCAAGGCTAAAAAATGCTACTATTTTCATTTTCAAAACCTTTTACTATCAGCTGTTCTGTTTTAATTTATGTAATGGTAATTGGCCAGATAGCTGAATTTACTTTTAATAATTATAATATAGCTTTTTTGTATCTTTGGTTGGGTTAAATATCGCACTAACGCAATACAGGTCATAAGGCACTTCTTTAAGGTCTAATCCAAACTAATAGAAGTCATTTTACATTTTGACTGAGTTGAATTGTGTAGGTTTCGACCATCGCATAATCAGCATGCATTACTATTACTGTATATAAGGAATACTTACATTCCATTTTGTAGGACTTGTAAGTGGCTGAATGTACTCTCCCTCCATCTGTAACTCAGGGGGCGGAGTCTGTAGATTATGGTCCGGTGAAGTTGATGGAGAAGGCGTGTCTTCTTGGCTTAGTGAACTACTCTGATCATCCATATCAACATCAGCTGCACCCTTTATAACAATTAGGATATAAAATCAGTACTCATAGTCTGAGAATTTAAAACAAGAGCACCACACAAGGTGTTAATGCATGTGGTGTTAACGTTCGTCCATTTAGAGCAATGACTAACAATGACCAAATCTTATAAATCTGCATACAGTCGAACTTTGTTCGCTCGAACTCGGAGGGCCTGTGCAAATTTGTTCGAGAGATTGGTAGTTCGAGCCAACCAAGGTTGAACTATTATTACGTTGATCATATGCCTAAAGGTTTTCCTAGCTTACATCGGTCGAATGATAAATGCGTCAATATAATTGTTTGTTAGTAGATCTGTTTGTCGAATATTTTATATTCAGAATTATTATCCCAGTGTTTTAATTAAGTATTAACGGTATGCTGTGTTAATCTATATTCATGCATATTGTAATTGGTTGAGTTCGATTGGGCAATCGCACAAAACTTTTGAACAATGTTTAAAATATATTTATATTTTTATAATGGGATGAATTTAATTTTAAAAAATAAATTAATGAAATATTTATTAAAAACATTTACAGCAGCATCTATTTATAGTCATTTACTAAAATAAACACACATACAAGTATAATTCTATAAATAGATTGTTACGATTCACTTTACATGAACCACGGTTGTAATTAAAGCCGTCCGGGGAAACGTCATTCTTTATATGCATGCATATTTCACTTATTTCACAAGTTATTTTCTTTTAATTGTTACCATAAACGGCAAATCAACAATATTATCATAACAAATAAATCGGTTACAACACCTCTTATTTTGTATCAATTAACCTTAATTACCTTTGTCACGATCACGAGGTGTTAAAAACATGTGTCGCCGACTGTCATTTTTTTTAGAACATTCCGACTTGTCTTTTTGTGTTCAACCGAAAAGGTGTGATTTTCACTATATTTCTGCCGAAGGGACCAGAGATTAGGTTCGAGAGTTTGAGCGATCGGTGTTCGAGCAATCCGAGGTAGAACAATATATATTATAAAGGAATTTTGCCGGGACTGGGCTATGAGTACGAGCGAAGGGAGGTATTCGAGCGATCCGAGTTCGAGTGAACGAAGTTTAACTGTAATTTAAAAAAAACAAACATTTATCAAGAACTTTTTGAATGTATATTTCTTGTAGCTAAAATTTCTTTCTAGAACAACATAAATTATAAATCATGAAATAATTATCTAAACTTACCATTGAACTAGAGCTCTGTAGTCTGTTACCATGCCAACCTTTCTTGCCTTTTCTTTTCCTTTTCAAAATTCTTCCTCCTGCAAAAAAAGAAACCAAACAAAAACTTGAGAAAACAGATAATTCCTTGTAGAAATCACATACACATTTCTTTACATTTTTATCAGGTATATAAACATTTTTAGAATTGAATGAAAAGAAGAAGGCAATACAGTTTAAAGATGGTCCAAGTTACAATTAGTCCTGTTTCAACACTATAATAGGCTTTCATCATGATCAGCACCTTGCAGCCAAATTATAAGACTTATGCAGTCTGTACAAATATCTGCTGATAATGATATATAAATTACCCTAAAATTACAGTATTACCCTTACTCTGCTGACTTTGTTGTGTAATGGATTCACCCTGGTTTGATTTTGGAACAGTCCATATTAAAAGTTTAAGGGATTTATATTTCAACAGTATAGAATCTGTTCAGACAGCACAGATTTTTTAATTTGTCTGGATTTTAGTAACACTTCAAGGTTTACATGGTGACTTTCCTAAATTTACTTGGGACAGAAGACCATAGTTGGTGTTTTGTGCATTATTTCAACCTGAGTAGAACTTCTGACACCTTATGATATTATAGTAACCTAATAAAAAGCATATTAAAAAGTAAATAGAATAGCTTTTAAAAAGCTGCATAATTAAAACACAGTTTAACCCATACACCACTAAATATCTTAAATGAACTTGTCCATCTTTCAATTTGGATGAAATCATTAATCATTATAGGGGAAATTTAAAAATATGTATTGACTGAATAGCAAACAGTGCAGACCATAATCAGATATCAGGGAAGTGCCAGCTGATCTTTGTTGTTTCCTTTTACAGGTTAAAGTTAATATACTTGAGTTAGAACATATTTTTCAGGACACGTGAATCCGTGCAGCATGCCTTGGTTTGTTTTTTTTTTGTTTTTTTTTTGGTTTTACGTCACATCGACACAGTATAGGTCATATCGCGACGTTCCAGCTTTACTGGTGGAGGAAGACCTCAGATGCCCTTCCGTGCATTATTTCAGTCACAAACGGGCACCTGAGTAGAACCACCGACGTTCCGTAAGCTAACTGGATAGCTTCCTCACATGAAAGAATCCAAAGTCCCTGTCAGGATTCGAACCCACAGCGGTGAGGGGCAAGTGGTTTGAAGTCAACAACCTTAACCACTCGGCCACGGACGCCCCCTACATGCCTTCGTTATAATCACAACATCTTAAAGAAGTAGAGAAGTTAAGTTTTTACATTTAACCACATAGAGATACATAAATTTATTACAGTTCCATCAGGGTTATTAGAGCGGAAATACAAAGAAAAAGATTATATTAAGAAAAAGATTCAATGGAAAATCATTGAAAAATTCATTGCCTGTTCCTTGAACAAAACAACAATGACTTCATTTAAGGAACAATGAAACATTTATATTGCTATAATTTTCAATTGGTCATTTTTTCTAAAACTTTATGAATTCATTTGTAGATGATTTTACTCCAATAACAAGAGGGCCATGATGGCCCTGAGGTCGCTCACCTGTATATAGCCCCCCCCCCCCCCCAACACACACACCCATAAGAAGATGTTTCATGCTAAACATCTAAGCTCTAGCTCATTGGGCTTTTTTTAAAAGAAGATTTACACATATTAGTTAAAAAACAATGACACCCCTGGGGCGGGGCCAGTTTTGACCCCAGGGCTTTTATTTGAACAAACTTTGTAGACACCTATTAGAACATGTTTGATGCTAAATATCTTAGCTTTAGCTCTTTGAGTTCTTTAAAAGAAGATTTTTTAAGTTTTTACTATATGCATATAGGGAAAATCAATGACCCCCTGGGGCGGGGCCAATTTTGACCCCAGGGCTTTTATTTGAACAAACCTGGTAGACACCTATAAGAAGATGTTTCATGCTCAATATCTAAGCTCTAGCTCATTGGGCTTTTTAAAAGAAGATTATTTAAAAGTTTTTACTATACACATATAGTTAAAAACAATGACACTCCTGGGGCGGGGCCAGTTTTGACCCCAGGGCTTTTATTTGAACAAACTTTGTAGACACTTACTAGAAGATGTTTCATGCTCAATATCTAAACTCTAGCTATTTGGGTTTTTTCAAAGAAGATTTTTTAAGTTTATGCTATACACATATAAGGAAAATCAATGACCCCCGGAGCGGGGCCAATTTTGACCCCAGGGCTTTTATTTGAACAAACTTGGTAGACACCTATTAGAACATGTTTGATGCTAAATATCTTAGCTCTAGCTCTTTGAGTTCTTTAAAAGAAGATTTTTTAAGTTTTTACTATATGCATATAGGGAAAATCAATGACCCCCTAGGGCGGGGCCAATTTTGACCCCAGGGCTTTTATTTGAACAAACTTGGTAGACACTCACTAGAAGATGTTTCATGCCAAATATCTAAGCTCTAGCTCTTAGGGTTTTTAAAAAAAGAAGATATTTAAAGTTTTTTCTTTCGGTTGCCATGGCAACCAGAGTTCTGCATGGAATTAAATTCTTTGAACAATTTTTAAAGGTGACCACCAAAGGAACATTCCTGTGAAGTTTGGATGAAATTGGCCTAGTGGTTTATGAGGAGATGTCATTTAAAGTAAAAGTTTACGGACGACTGACGGACGCTGGACGAAAAGCGATCACAAAAGCTCACCCTGTCACTTTGTGACAGGTGAGCTAAAAAAAGGATAGATTGCCAAATTAATGCCATTTATTCAAATAAAATGGAGAGATTGACAATTTAACATCATTTATTCAAATCTATGGAACTGACTGACAAAAAAAAGCCATTTATTCAAATCAATTAGACAGTTCGACAAAATAGGTTTATTTACTTTTATCATATTCAAGTTAACTGATTGCCAAATACATGTAACATACTCCTATCCTTTGGTCAAACTGTCAAAATAAGATTACTTTTTGACAATGGAACAGTTAGGAAAAATAATTTACTCATATCAATGGAACAGATTGCCAAAATAAGTAACTGACTCTTATCAATGGAACAGATTGCCAAAATAAGGTAATTTTTCTCCTATAAATAGAACATATTAAGGTAATTTACACCAATTAATGTAAGTAATTGAAAAATTAAAGTACAATGTTAATTTATTGGAAGTTTGCCAAATACAGATTATTTATCATATCCCTCAAACAAATTGTTTAATTTTACCAATGGGACAGATTGCAAAAACAGCATACTCCTATTAATGGGAAAGTTATTGAAATAAGTTTAATTGCTAATTGTGACTCAATTTTAGCTTCTTAAATTAAAAAAAATTATTAAGGAAACTGCCAACAAGCACAAAAGTGATCAAGGTCCATGGACATTATTTATTTTATTGTAAAGCAAAGCTTAAAAAAATTTGAATAAAAAACAGTGTTGTCACTTCAGTGCCAAACTATGGTATCCACTATTTCATTGTACTCTGTAGATACAACACTTTGGCACTGAGACTACAAACACCGCAGCACGTTCTAAAAGCATTATCAATCTTAGTACCCTTATCTTTAGGCCTTCCTGGAAAATGGTGAAGCCGTTTGGTACAGCCGACATTGTAACGTTTAGCGCAAGATTTCGAACAAAACCTCTGAGCCGAATTAGAGCTGTTATAAATGCTGCTACAGTATTCACATCGCAATGATTTCTGTCCCATTAGCGGACCTGGAGTGAACAGAAATAGATTTCAATATTTCACGATTTTTAGATTTTTTTTTTTCTTCAATGAAATGATGATTGTAATGAAGGGATGGTAAAATAAGGTATAAATGTCCACAAAATGTACAAAGTCATGAAATGCTAATATAAGTCATTGGATGGTAAAATAATGTATTGATGTCCTTAAAATAAACAAATTCAAATTTTTGTCTCATGCTTCGGCCTTAAATTAAACAGAAACAATCTTTAATGCTAAGTGAAAGCAATAGATAATGAACAATAATTTAAATGAAGGGATATAAGTGCATATATGATGTCAGGTTACTTTTGCACAAAACAATTTCCAAGTTTACAAACATTTAGTGCTGTAATTTCACTTTAACAACTGGAGTGAAGAACAGAAAACCACTTCAAATATTTTGTTTTGATGCTCTAGTTAATATTTAAATGGCTATGGGAAATAATGAGTAAAGGTAAATCTTTGATGCAATTTGTTCCAACTCTTCCATGTGGCTAGAAATTTCTCTTACATGCCTCTAAGACAATGGGGTGGGGAAGGGAGAGAGGGTGTGTGTGAAGAAAATATGGATTTTTCATTAGTTAGACTGGTGGTGGTGGAGAAACTTTAGAGTAGCTACTTAAGTACCAATTAGTTCTACTGTTTAGTTTGAAACAATGATACATTACCAATGAGTTAATGTTATAAATGAGAAAACACATTTAAATCATGAGAAACCTCATATATTTCATGAGAAACTTCATATAATTCATAAGGAACTGAAAAAATTTCTCATGAATAATTTCCTTAATGGGTTTATGAGTAGAACCATCAACCTTCTATAAGCCTACTGAACAACTTCTCTACATAACAAAAACTGTTCTGATCCGAACACATTGTGTCATGAAATGCAAGTGATTTTAAAGATGTTTCACCTTAATAACTGCTAACCACAACATATATCCCATATAATATTACTTCGTTTATGTTGTATCAAAAGATAAAATGTAATAATGTAATGTCAGCCAATGATGAGAATGATGCTTGAAAACAACAAAACATTATAGTCCACAACATTCATAGTTACATATTACAATCATGCAAAACAATGAAATAAAGAAGTTAAATATTGGATAGTTACAGTTATACACCTCGACGCTCGACTATTCAAAAAAGTTGTCACAAGGGTGTTTCATTGAGTATAATAATGCTTACCTATATGAATAATAAAATTGTCCAAAATGGTACATAGGCTTGTTATTAAGATGTTTTATCGAGTAAATCACTGCTTTATTATTATGAATGCATAAAATTGTCCCAAAAAAGCACAAACCTTTCAGTAGTTATGGAGATACCAGTTTACAAGCAAAAAACTTTACCAAGAATTTCTAAGCCCAAAAAGGGGCATAATTATGCAAAAAAGCAAATCAGAGTTATGGGACTTGTGCCAATCATGTTAGATAATCACAGAGAACAAGTGTGTGAAGTTTTAATCCATTCCCTTCAGTAGTTATGGAGAGGTACTTGCTTACACACAAAAACTTAACCACAGAGACATGGACAAATGGGTGACTGCATTAGCTTGATTATTCTGCGAATAGTGGAGCTAAAAATGAAAACATTACATGTTCTAGATATTACATTAACTACACAAAATATTTTTATGGGTTGATATTCATATGTTAGTTTTAATTACAGTGATTTCACTTTGGTGGGCATGAAATTTCATGTTTTTTTCACAAAGAACATTTTCATGGGTTCTTAAATTTGTGGAATGTTTATTTTTTCCAAAGGTAAAATGTAATAATTTGATGCAAAATAATCTTACAGCAGACAAAACAAAATTTTGTTGGATCTTAAATTTGTGGACTGACCTACCAACAAAATCATGAAAATTAGTTCTCCACTCATAATAATGATTTTGCAATAATTTAAGACCAGTTTATTAAATGAAAGTGTCAAGAGACAAATCTACATGAATAAAATACGTAAACTAGTATAACTTTCGATGTAAAATAAATATATCAGTGGACATTTACATTTCTACAGATGTTTCATCTAAACAAACAGTGCCTTATCAGATAAATAGCAGAAAGCTTACAGTGGTTTAAAAAAACTTGATATTTTTCTCAAATACTTTGATGAACCAACATGCATTTTAGTTACAAATTTATCAATGAGGAGCTGTCACAAAAGCCTTACAGGAATAACCTTAGTATACAAAGGGAAGTTATGGAGTGAAATTCATGCAAGAGTTATTGCTCCTAGTGGGTGAGAACCAATTATGAAATCAATTTTATTATATGAAGTATCAAGAGTATACATTGACCTATTGTTGTGGAAACACAATTTGAGACAAAACTAAGCCTAAAAATTTTCCAGTATCATTCAACAGAAATCCATGCTAGAGTCATGAGTCTTTCATTCGGAATACATGAATGCAAGTTTGAAGTATTTCTTGAAGATAATGTTTTCTATGTTTGTTTTTGTTCGACATTAAGCCACACAGACATTGTGAAGGTTATACAGTGACTTTCAAGCTTTACTGTTGGAGAAAGACCCGAGAAGAACACCTACATGTAGTTCCATTAAGCTAGATTGATAACATCCTCGCATGGAAGAGTACAAGCCCTTTGATGAGATTTGAAAATACTGCATTGAGGGGCAAGTGATTGAAGTTGGCATCCTTAACTAATTGGCCACGGAAACCACTTGAAAGTTATCAGTGTGTATGAATATGAGAGATAATGTAAACATGCTAATACCTTGCTCCTCATGACTCGTATCATCATCATCCTCCATGTCTGCCTCGTCCATCGAGATCAACGATGATTGTTCCACCGGCTGACCTGGCTTTGGTGGAATAAACTCGGTCAATAATGATGACCTTTGAACCTATAATATAATGTAAAGACCTGTTTTGTTATCTGTCTTTGTAAATTATGAATGTAAAGGCAAATGTTCTGTAACATTTCTTTTGTGATGCCAAATTTTTATTGACGTCAAACTTTTACACATTCTACATTTTAGATTAACTGGCAAGATTTAATATCAGTCAATTTCTGCTTTCTGTTCTGTTAAATACTTAAAAATTGAGTATTATTCCACCTCTTGCAATTTTTTTTATTTATTTTAAAGTTAGGAACAACAAATAATTATTTTTCCATAATTTTGCTTTCACAAAAGAATTTCAGTAACATTCATAGCTAAGCAATTGTCTAAAGTTTTTGGAATTTGTACCATTCCAAACCTGTTTTACCAAATATTCGTAGCCAATAGTTTGCATTTGCACTTATCATAATAAAATCCCTTATGAAAACGCAAAGATACTGTACAGAAAAACTGTTTAAAATCCAAGATTATTTTATAAATATTTGACATTTTATGACAAAATTGACCTTAACACATTATTGTTGACTTTTGTTCAGACTTAATATTAAAGAATCACTCTATCTGTAGGGAACAATCCAGAGGGAACAATCCAGAGGGAACAATCCAGAGGGAACAATCCAGGCAAGAAGAAAGGTCATAGACGTATTAACACACAAACATTGATCTGCCATTGTAACAACTAAATCAAGCTAACCACAAGCAGAGTTGGTAAATGAATTGTATTTCAATCAAGTTAACTGTCAACAAATTAACATCCATATCTTAAGACAACATAGTAACTTAAGGTCGAACATGCTTCCTGTTTTGATTTTTTTATTTTTAGCTGGCAACATCTGAATGAGATGCAATTCATTTAGTATTTACCCACCATTACAATGTTGATTGACCAAAATTGAACAAATTTAAGTTATTCCTATCATACAAATACGTAGAAAAAAATATTAGTACATACTGGGAATGGCTCCGGGCCTTCTTGTATAACAAATCCCTCTATAACATGGGTTAGAATGTGGGGTTTAACAATGGCACGCTGTTTCTCCACAGGGTGGTCAGGTATCGAGACTGGCTTGTGATCCAGTTCCACAACCACAGGCACTTCCTTTACCTCCATTTCTATCTGAAGTTATATAAAATTGAATAAAATTAAACAAGTACTTATTATATGTATATAATAAATTATGTATTACTAAAGAATTTTTTTTATAGAATGTTTTGCAGTGTAAAGGAGTACTTCTTTCATTTTCACTTATTTCTTTTTTACAAATGTATTAATAAAATAGACTTTCAGTCACAAAGATTATCATTTTTAGTTCCCTCTGTGTAAGGGTAACATTCATACTTTCAAAAACATCACGGCCATCATTGTAAGTTTAGAGAATGCCATGTATAAGGTCTGTTTCCTGGGAAAAGAAAATTAACTTTTGTTTCTATTTACCTGTTTAGCTTCAATTTTTTCACTACCAGCTGAGATGTCAATATCTTCAGACGGAGCCTCCTCATTGGTTGATTTCCTCTCTACCTCAGAATCTGATTGGCTCTTGTTGTCATGTGACCCAAATATAGGGAGACTGATGGTTGGTGTTGAAGGTTTAGAGGGAGACTGGACAGGGTCAGATTTGACTTGATTTGTTGCTGGAAAATAAAGTTATCCTTCAAGTCTTACCTTATACATGTATATATAGAATTAATAGACATAATTTCATCCTTCTATATAAACATATATATGACACTTGTTGCATAATTATTTTTATTACAATATGATATTTACTTCATGGCCAATAATTTCAATATAAAACATGTTTCAATCACTATCAATTTTACCTACGACATTTCAATGTACCAACATTTTTACATTTTCTGGATTATTTATCACTGTTTTAAGACAAAATATATAGAGTCCAAGTAAAGAATGCACTGGACAAACATCTATGAAATGTTGTACAAAAATTTTATTACAGCGTTAATTCATCTGTCTGTGATACAATGATCAAATTTCCATCATTTTAATTTTCTCAAAAAGAGGCAAGAAATCCAAGCTCACCTGTTACAGTTACTGCAGGTGATGATTTCCCAGTTCCCTTTGGTCTCCCTTTAGGTTTGGGCATTGTCTGGGTACCGGTCTTGGCCGTGCCGGTCATACTGGTGGGCGGTACTTTGGCGGTCACAGGTTTCGAGACTGACGGCAGAAGCACTTTACCAGTCTGAGCTGCCGTAGTTTGTTTCTGTATTGGCACAGCCACAGTCTGTAACATAACGAAAAAAGCTTTAACAAAGAATAATGGTAACTGAAAGGATGGTCCTAATCTAACATTGACACAGTCATAAATAAATATGGCCTTAAAATGAGGAAAAGTAGAAAATTCTATTTTTAACCTATATAACCTTGATTCAAACCAAATCAAGTTGATACCCTATGTAACTAAGGGTACAGGTCCATAGAATTACAGTAAACAATAAAAGATTCCAGACATAACACATAAGAAAGTTGTTACTGTTTCAAACAAGAGCGATCAGTAATCACATGTGTCGCCTCATAATGGCCAATTTCATGTTGGGACAAATTTTGTGACAGACGGACAGTGCACAACTAGACTTGGTACTGATCATTCCTGTAAAGTTTGGATGAAATTGCACCAGTAGTTTATGAGGAGTAGTCCAGACAAGCTTTTGTGTATCTGGCAACACACAGAAAAAAACACCTTTTTATCAAAGGGCCATAACTCGGTCAAAAATCATTCAACCGGAAAACCCGTGCAATATACGCAAGGACTTGAGCTACAGATCAATCCTGTAAAGTTTCATTGAAATTGCATTAGTGGTATAAGAGAAGTAGTCCGGACAAACTTTAAAATTAAAAATTATTTAAGGGCAATAACTCTGACAAAAATCATTGAACCGGAAAATGCTGATAATATGCACAACTAGACTTGGTACTGATCATTCCTGTAAAGTTTGGATGAAATTGCACCAGTAGTTTATGAGGAGTAGTCCGGACAAGTTTTGTGACGGACGGACGGACAGACAGACAGACGGACAGACAGACGACGGAGAAATGATCCCTATATGTCGCCACTACTCCGTAGGCGACACAAAAACTAGCAATCCTGACCAATCGGCAACTAAGGCCCACAAAAAAAAAAAAAATTTCCTCATAATAATTATAAGATAAGTAAAAGATTTAAATAATTACTTAACCAACTTAACCAATATATAAAAAAAACTTGAAAAATGAAAAAAAAAAATCACAACAAAAGCTAAAGGGAAGGTTACCTGAAGTGTCTGTTGGTTTGGGTTTTTAAAGTTAGAATTCATTGCCGTCTGTACACCAGTGACCAAACCTTGTGCCTGCACTGGATTAGCTGACCTTATATATAACCCTTGACCTGAATATATAATAATAAACTCACATTAAAATCTGATCAATTAACTCACTTCCATACAGAAATACCTTTATTTTCTTCCAAAATTGACTCCTTTTGTCTTAAATTTTGACTTAAACTTTATCAACTGAAATGCACATTATGCCTCAGAAACAAATAAATGTTTAATTCTTTAGAAAAGATAAACATAAGTTTAATTAAATTTAAATATTGGTTATTACTGCATGCTAGATGCTTGTTACCTGAAGAAAGTAGCAATAAATGTGAAATTATTCGTCATACAAGCAGTAGAATGTAAACAAAGAGTATTATTTTCACTTCCATACAAAATACCAAATCACTATAACTATATGCCAAAAGCGACTGAAGGAAAAGATGGTTCAGGTAACTGGCCAATGAGAATCTAAGACACAATGGACCATTAAAACATTACTAATAGCCAAGCAAACTCCTCACAGCGGTTACATCAGGCTTTGCTACTTTAACCTCTGCCACCACTGAAATCACGTGATGATAGTTGTGTCATGTGACAAAAACATGGCGGCCAGTTTCAGAACACCAAGGATCCCATATCCAACTGGCAGATTTATAATTGCATCCTTACCAGATAAAATATGTTCGAAACACTCAATTTGTTTAGACTTTAAAAGAAAAGCCGGATCAAAATCTTTTGCGCAATCATTCAATCAGTCATTGCTTACTATACATACCGTTTCACAGTGAAAATATCTTTCGTTATTTTTACAAAATAATTTTTATAAGTATATCTTTTTACATTCTTGTACATTAATCATAACAATTTAACGAAAGAAAACTAAAATTATATAAAGTATTCTATTTTAAAATTAAAAGTGAAAAAAATATATTCGGCTCTCTGAAGCCGAATTTACTTGTGGTGGCAGTGGTTACTGTTCTGATCAGGGGGAGTAACCGCTGCGAGGAGTTTGATAGCCAAGTGGCTCCTGCACATAATATGATTAATTCAAGGTAATAGTTACGAGAATGATATACACACAATCTAACAAGTATTTCTATATCCTGTATCAGTACTTATTTAACTTTTATATTATTTTTTTATCAAATGAACTTCTTTAATATAAATCATTTTCATCAAAATTCAAAACTAACAAGCATTAAACAAAAGTTTGTCAACAAATCGACATAAAGAAACAATGGCTGCACCATTCATTCCAACATCTAAATTCTAGACCCACAGACTTACAGCTCTAGACTACAGACTGAGCTTAGCATGCAGCCAGGAAAATGCAGGAAAATTATGTGACTTCAGAGATTAAATTTTTGTAGACAATCAATATCCAAAACACTAACTTCACATCAAGATACAAGGAATAGTTTTAATTTTTACAAATGTAAGAGACAGGCTGAAAACAATCACATGTATGCTTATTTTCTCATGGTTTAATATATATAATACTTGTTGTTAATTATCGTGATCTCTTAAAACAGTACGAAGACAATCTCATAATATAGATTGTCATTTGCAATATATATAAGAATCCTCCTAACACTAATGGCAGATAAAGATTATAAGGATATTACACTGGCTGCCAATATCAATCGGAATATCCTGCTCGAGGATATCTGTTTACGGCAATAATGAGGCTCTGCTGAGTTTCCGTTAAACAGTTACCAGAGAACTAAATATTCCTGTCTGTTACAAAACCTGGTTTTAATTCTTTTTCTGGCATATTACATATATTACATATTTATCATATTTCTGAAAGTAATTACTAAAACTAATATTTTTATTTAGCAATTTTTTCTTATACTAATGTATGAATTTACATCTTCATTCATTACAGCAAAATAATGTCATTTTAAGAACACAATTCATTCATAAGATGCGTGTGTGAATGATGTCATTTAAAGCATGCAACTTGTCTAACTTAAGGGATGTAAGACACGTTATTCTAGCATTGGTGTAAACAGTTGATAATCCTGTCTCATATGCAAGAAACTAGCTCATCCTCAACCAAAAGTAAGCACTTGCCCCTTCCAAAGGCAAAGCAAAACTCGATAAAGCAAGATTCAAAATCATAGCAGAAAGTAATTCTATTTCATTTTCCTCTCAACTACAAAGACCACCAAGGATAAAATTAATTGATCAGAAAACGAATTAACATACCAGATATAATTGTGGGAGTCTGACCTTGTGCTGATATCATTGGTTGCTGAGGGTAATGCTGTAACTGGGACATAGCCTGTAACATCTGGTTAGTAAACACAGGTTGTGACGAGATCAGCTGCGCGTTACCAGCGTTACTAACCAGTAACTGCGGCTGTGAGAATCGCATTGGACTCTGGGAACTATTTAGCTGTACCTGACCTTGACCTGAATTGGTTGCCATACTAATCTGCTGACCTGGTTTCGACTGAAAATTGGAATAGAATTGTTTTACAGTATCAGTAATATAAAACAGTTCACGTCAGTCAAAAAAAGGTTCATGAATATACGTTAGGCTTGTAGTGAATAAATGTTATCCGGATATCGACAAATGTCTATTTTTCAAAGCTAATCTCCTATTGAAAACAAATTTTTACATAGAGCACTACCGTTCACAATAGATTAGTTAGCCTGTTGTGCTTATTTTCGAAGCTGTAACTGTTAAAATTTGTTTACACCCCTCCCCATAAGCTGGGTAAAACCAAAAATTATTCTTAATTCCAGAGACGATTGTCTCAGACTAAATCTTTTTAATTTAATAGTTTAGTTAAAGTCATAAAGCCCTTTTATCTTGTTGGGTTAAACCAGCAATCACTTTTGCCTAGCAACAAATGCAAGTGTACTGGAGTCGGGTCAGCGTAAGGTCAAGGTCATCACAATGTTAAGAAATTACCTGTATTTGTCCGAATGTTTGACCAGTAGCATATGCCTGTGTTGTTTGTAACTGCCCGGCAGAAATCACACCTTTAACATAACCAAAACATATATAATCATTTTAAATTATATCCAGAGAGTATAGTATGCATTGTGTAAATTGTACAACAAATTAAAATACACAAATCCCAAAAATAATAAACGATATCAATGAATACTAGAATATATGTTAAAGGGAATATGCAATGATTACATAAACTACCAAAATCACTGTGTGCATTGTATATCCATAATTCAGGAATGTAAAAATAAATCAGATATTGAAGTAACAAAGTGTGATGTGTTGATGCAAACACTGGATGACTAGAACTGCTCTCACTTTTCATCAAACAGTCAAGCTAAGAATATCTAACTTACACATGTAAATGAGAACAATTCATCATTACCTATATTGACCCTAAGAAGATAAAACCAAAATAACTTATGCATTCTAATATGTAAATTGGTACCAGTGTTGCTTACCTATCTGACCCTGTAATAGGGAACCAGCTTGACCTAGAATAATTGGTTTCCCTCCAATCATAGCAGTTGCCTGGGCCTGCTGTACCTGAAAGTAAAATAGGAATTTGAAAACAAAAGTTACCAATAAAGGACTTCATATTTACTGTGAGATATAACAATATCACTCACTGCATATTACAAACTGCAGACTTCCCGAAATACGTCGGTCCGACGGACATGTCCGATAAATTTTGATCAGGTCCGACAATTTTTTATTCCGGATCGGTCCGACTGTCCGGCTTTTACCCAAGCCGCATGTATACAAAATGGCGTCGCTAAAGGTGCCAAACCTGGGAATAACCGAAAATATACGTCAGAAGAGTGCGCAGAACAGCAATAAAAGGATGAAAAGAATAGACCTGAGACAAAATTTAATGAAAAATGGAAGCAGAACCATGAATCATTGGTGTATGACAGGGAGGAGATGAAAATGCGCTGTACGGATTATGCCGATTTTTACGGCGAAAAAATAAAAAACAAAAAGTGTCTTAGGAATACAAACACAAGTTTTTCTTTGATTTTGATCAATTTTATTTGGTCCGACAGATTTTGTTTCGGTCCGACAGATTTTCGTGGTTTGTCAGACCGAATGTCTGACAGTTTTTTTCAACTTTCGGGAAGTCTGCAAACTGTACAATTTAGTAACATTTTGCAATACAATCAGGCGCTATTCACTCTTTATAAGGAAGAGGCCATAGCCCTTATTGCTGAAATTGGTGATTTGGAAATAATAAAGTCAGTGTTAGTTTGAATTTTTTGAACAACAACAGCATGATGTTAAGGATTTTTTTTGCCATTTACTTTTGTGACTGCAGCCATTTTCTTTATTCTAATTCTTGCATATTATGCATTTACTTAAGTTCAAAAAGAAATGATGAAAAGTCACATTTTTGTTTTCTTAATGTACTGAATTTAAAACTTAAAATGCATCATCACAAATATTGACGAGTTAAAAGACAAGATATTCTTTTATCAGGTTTTAAAACTTCCAGGTAATATCACAACATTTCAAGGTCACACTTCAAAGTCAAATTTCAGCATTTTAAAATGTAGCTTTTGTGTATATGCATGCATAGTCTAGGAAAATTATATTTCAAACTGTGAAGATATAAGATAAAAGCTGAGACTGTCCACAGGCACTGGCAGACAGACAACAAACAGACAGTAAACAAGTAATATAATTTCCCTATTAATATCAATTGATAGATAAATATAAGTTGAAATTCATCTACAATACCTGATTCAGAGCATGAAGTTGTTGTTGTTGTTGCTGCTGACCCTGATTCTGTTGCTGAATATTACTTTGTTGTTGCTGTTGTTGTTGCTGTTGTTGTTGTGTTGACTGTGACGACTGTTGCTTAGCAACATTAGATATGGTTGGTTTGACAGCATTGGTACTGGCCGTGGATGAGCTGGTAACCAGTGTATTACTTCCAGATGAAATATTCATTATGTTAGGTGTTGTAGGCTGTAATGTAAATATTTCTGAGAATTGACAAAAATTGTATTGTTTTTTTTTTTTAAATACAGTATAACTCTGAAGTCTCGACACACCGCAACCTTCAACATTAGCAAAACCTATTTTGTATTCAAGTTCTGGCTTAAGGGCATCCATGGCCAAGTGGTCAAGGTCATTGACTTCAAACAACTTGCCCCTTCCTCAGTGCTGTGGGTCCAAATCCCAACATGAATTTAGGATTCTTTCATGTAAGCAAGCTATCCAGCTAACTTACGGAACATCAGAGGTTCTATTCAAGTTCTGGCAAAGTTGCTTCTATATTGCATATTTATAAACAAACCAATATTAATATAAACAAACTAATATTAATGCTAATTTATGAAGTTTTTTTTTCTTCTCTATCTTATGTATTCTATCTTTAATGAGGGTCCATCTGCCTTTTAGACACTTAGAGTACAGAACCCCAAGTTTGTTCTTTTTATTATACTTATTGTAATAAAACCATACTTATACATAGATTACCATTACAAAATGTCAAAATCTTAAAACATTTACAATTGTGAATAAATGTAAACTAAATCCACAATCACAGACATGTATAGTCCTTTAAAAAGTAAGCATTCAAACACGAACCATTGAACCTTTGGAAAAACTCCAGTAAAGAGAAGATAATTACTTAAGAAAGTGAACAGTCAACAAGACAGCATGAAGTATTTATCAGAACTTACTGTGGTGGGAGTCTGGGCTGCTGCAGCTGGGGTGAACATACCAGTGTTTGGCCTTCCTTGCATAGCCACCATGTTGGCCATGTTGATCTGTTGAGGGTTCATACTCATAACATTTGCCTGCATGGCTGCTGCAAATAAAATCCCTTACTTTTTATAGATACAAGCATTCCTATATCCATGCCTAGTATTTGTATTGAATAAACCTTACATTTGTACTGAATAAACCTTGTATTTGTACTGAATAAACCTTGTGTTTGTACTGAATAAACCTTGTATTTGTATTGAATAAACCTTGTGTTTGTACTGAATAAACCTTGTATTTCTATTGAATAAACCTTGTATTTGTACTGAATAAACCTTGTGTTCGTACTGAATAAACATTGTATTTGTACTGAATAAACCTTGTATTTGTACTGAATAAACCTTGTATTGGTACTGAATAAACCTTGTATTTGTACTGAATAATCCTTACATTTTTTCTGAATAAACCTTGTATTTGTACTGAATAACCATTGTATTTATACTGAATAAACCTTGTATTTATACTGAATAAACCTTGTATTTATACTGAATAAACCTTGTATTTGTACTGAATAAAATTGCATCTGTACTGAATAAATCTAACATTTATACAGAATAATCCTTACATTTGAAGTGAATAAACTTTGTATTTGTACTCAATAAACCTGAATAAACTATGTATTTGTACTGAAAAAACCTTACATTTGCACTAAACAAACCAATTAAACCTGAATAAACCTTTCATTAGTACTGAATAAACTTTGTTTTAGTAATGAATAAACTTTGAATTTGTACGTAATAAACTTTATGAGAAGAACAGTTAAAACACAAACATTTATATAATATCTGGACACAGGCCTTACCTGGTTAAGGAACTAGCACAACACCATATTACATTTCTTAGTCTTCATAATGAAGAGCAAATATAACTAAATATTGTCAAGACCTAGCATAAAATATACAAACCTTGCATATCATAAAATATACAAACCTTGCATATTCTGCAGCATAAGTTGTTGTTGTTGGTTATATGCAAACTGTGGCATGAAGGAAGGGCTGTGCATGGCTTGATGAATCACCTGAACCTAAAAATATATATCCAGTACATATGTATCACCAAAAATTATAGCTTTCAGTGCTGCATTATTTCTATAGTAACTGTAACCATTAGCCTGCTGGCAAAGATCAGCCGACACATCTGTGCCTTCTGATGTTGCACTACAGTGTTTACTATTCAGTCAGTATAAATTTCGAAATTTATCTCCTTTTTTTTCAATAATTTTGTCCAGATTGAAAGAAGACCAAGTCCACTTAGGCTATTTAGCATGGTATGGGTTAAATTTAAAATATAAGCTCTGACAATTTTACCTAATTGAGAGAGCACTATCTCAAACTTTACTATCAGATAATTTGCCAAGACCAACATAAACCCCAATAGCTGGAATATTTCTTGCTTCTAAGTTTTCTCACATAAAAAAAAAATCTATGACAAGACAAGACAGGAAAAATTGAATGACTTATATCTACATAATGAACTGAAAGACATATATAGTTTCACATACAATATAGGGATTAAACAGGGATATGGTATACCAGATTATGTCAATTTTTATATTTCTGCCATATTTCATAGCACTAGATGCCCATGTTGAACATTTGTGCCAGGTAATTTGAAATTTCACCAGCTTGTGATAGAGTTATGGTGCAGACAAGCTGTTTGAGACCTTTTTTTGCATTTGACCTTAAAGTATGACCTTGACCTTTGATCTAACCACACGGTTCTTATGTATGACACACTGTCTCATTATTGTGAATATTTATTATTTGAAATTCTGCCAGAGTCATGACCCAGACAAGCATAATCAGAACAGACTGACCGAGGCATGTACATACACTGAACCACCATTGTGACAAAAATAATCGGTATTCCAAAAGCAATTGTGACTACATTTTTATATAAGGAAACTATGTTTTTGTACAAGGAAAAATGTGTGTGTAAATGATCCAAAATTTTGCGCATGTTATTGGTCCAGTGCTATACCAATTTACCAAATGGTACACTAATCTTATTAATATATTTCCAGCCCCGTCACATAAAAAAAGAACAGAGTCCCGTAAAAATAAAGCAAGTCTATAGAATTTTAACTAGTCTTGTCAAATTTATTGTGCTAACCATTGGCAGTTACAATGACTTTGGATACATACCTGTGGTAACTGAGCAAGCTGTGGTCGTAAGTTTGTGGTGGTCATCCCTCCATTCATGGCATTACCAGCCATGGCCATGCTGAGTGGCACCGACGTCATTGTCTGTAAGTTAGGTAATGACGTAATGGTCTGTAAGTTTGGTAACAAGTGCTGCTGTTGCTGAGGTGCTATCTACAAAACATACGAGAGAAATATATAAACATTTTTAATATCGGAATCTAATCAACGCCCACTTATCTGATTCTCAATGCATCATATTGTTCAACCTTTATCACCCACCACTCCCCATTTAACCAAGAGAAAACTAAGTTATAAAGACTAAAGCATTTTATTGTAAATCCATGGATATCAACAAAGTTGTTGCTTCCAGTATATATAATCCAGTGCAGAAAATGACAGTAAAAAAAGTTTTGTTTTGATAATAATCATCATTTTTGTACTTCAATAAACATTCTGCTATTGAAAAATGCTAGGGGCATTTTAAAGAGTATATAAGGTATGATATATAAAAGCAATTAAATGGGCAATTACAGCAGCAAAGTGACCTCAAGTTTCCCAACTTGACTGAGTTTGAATATCAAAGCGAAAATGACTTTTCCACATTTTTTATTCACCGTATGTACAGCTGTTAATGTAACACACAATGCTTGTCAATAGTTTTAATACTGTCGATAACTGACTGCAATTTATTAACACATTTAAGTGACATATTATGCAGTTCCATTCGACTTTGTGCCCCTGTTATTCGCCACTGTAAATATTAAAATTAAATGAGCATAATTTATACGACATGTGCAAATCCCTGATGTAAGCTGAGGGAGAAGTTATTTCTCCCTAAAAATGACTTCTCCCTAAAGTTTTAGTCTAGCTAGAATCCTGATCTTGTGACTTAAAACCCAACAAACTTAACACTATCTTAGTAAGCAGCCTTGATACTCAGTAAACTATACCTGTTGTAACTGGGGCAGTTGTTGTATTGTCTGTTGTTGTTGTTGCTGTTGTTGAACATTTTGTTGTTGTGACTGTTGCTGGGGTTGTATACTCTGTTGCTGGGGCTGTGGTTGAATATTCTGTTGTGGCTGCAAGTTTTAAGAAAACGTTACTGATTCATCTCACTTAGTTAAACTTTTTTAGAAAAGGACTTAAACGTCTTGGGACTCATATAGCACTTTTGATTAAATACCTTAAATGACAGATTCATAAGCCTTCCTACTTTATAAACATTTACAAAGTAGTCTGAAAGCAGCAAAGCCAGAACATTGGACGGGGCAATTCATTAATGTAAATGATCCCTAATGAAACAAAACTGGAAACCCATGCAGTTCATGAAGGGAATTAATTCATGAATTATATTATAAACCAGGCTCAAGTTACCATATTTTCTCCAAATTTTTAACTACAACTATGACACGTGTTAAGTACTAAATGAAAACCTTGAAAGACTATGTAGTCTCACTTTTACATAAACTGAAACCAAAGATTTTGTTAAGTAACAAAAGATATGAATCATTAATAATTATATAAAACCAATTTTTGACTTACAGGTCAAATACGGTAGTGACCTTGACCTATGCAGATGCTAGCATCATTGAAGTGGAAGTGACCAAGGCTTCTGAAGATGCTAGCATCAACATAGTGGTAGCAACTTGGGCCTATGCAGATGCTAGCATCAACATAGTGGTAGTGACCAAGGCCTCTGCAGATGCTAGCATCAGCTTAGTGGAAGTGACCAAGGCCTCTGCAGATGCTAGCATCAGCTTAGTGGAAGTGACCAAGGCCTCTGCAGATGCTAGCATCAGCGTAGTGGAAGTGACCAAGGCCTCTGCAGATGCTAGCATCAGCTTAGTGGAAGTGACCAAGGCCTCTGCAGATGCTAGCATCAGCGTAGTGGAAGTGACCAAGGCCTCTGCAGATGCTAGCATCAGCGTAGTGGAAGTGACCAAGGCCTCTGCAGATGCTAGCATCAGCTTAGTGGGAGTGACCAAGGCCTCTGCAGATGCCAGCATCAGCTTAGTGGAAGTGACCAAGGCCTCTGCAGATGCCAGCATCAGCTTAGTGGAAGTGACCAAGGCCTCTGCAGATGCTAGCATCAGCTTAGTGGAAGTGACCAAGGCCTCTGCAGATGCTAGCATCAGCGTAGTGGAAGTGACCAAGGCCTCTGCAGATGCTAGCATCAGCTTCGTGGAAGTGACCAAGGCCTATGCAGATGCTAGCATCAGCGTAGTGGAAGTGACCAAGGCCTCTGCAAATGCTAGCAGCTTAGTGGAAGTGACCAAGGCCTCTGCAAATGCTAACATCAACATAGTGGTAGTGACCAAGGCCTATGCAAATGCTAAGATCAGTGTAGTGGAAGTGACCAAGGCTATGCAGATACTACTAACTAGCATCAGCAAATTAGTAGTGACCTAGGCCTATGCGGATGCTAGCATGATCGTTGTGGTAGTGACCAAGGCCTATGCAGATGCTAGCATCAGCGAAGTGGTAGTGACCTAGGCCTATGCAGATGCTAGCATCAGCGAAGTGGTAGTGACCTAGGCCTATATGCTAGCATCAGCTAGAAAGGAGATGCTAGTAACAGCAAAGATTCCAGTTTAAAATGGAGAGATCTGACATTCTTAGAACAGTTAAACCACAAAAAAAACAAAAAACAAGAGGGCCATTATGGCCCTGAAGTCGCTCACCTGTATATACAGTTTGTAGGCCCCCAGAGTGGGGCCAGTTTAAATCCCAGGGCTTTTATTTGAACAAACTTGGTAGACACCCATTAGAAGATGTTTCATGCTAAACATCTAAGGTCTAGCTCGTTGAGTTTTTTAAAAGAAGATTTTTTAAGTTTTAACTATACACATATAGTTAAAAGCAATGACACCCCTGGGGCGGGGCCAGTTTTGACCCCAGGGCTTTTATTTGAACAAACTTTGTAGACACTCACTAGAAGATGTTTCATGCTTAATATCTAAACTCTAGCTATTTGGGTTTTTTCAAAGAAGATTTTTAAGTTTTTGCTATACACATATAAGGAAATCAATGTCCCCCAAGGCGGGGCCAATTTTGAGCCCAGGGCTTTTATTTGAACAAACTTTGTAGACACTAACTGGAAGATGTTTCATGCTTAATATCTAAACTCTAGCTATTTGGGTTTTTTTTCAAAGAAGATTTTTTAAATTTTTGCTATACGCATAAATAAAATCAATGATCCCCGGGGCGGGGCCAATTTTGACCCAAGGGCTTCTATTTGAACAAACTTTGTAGACACTCACTAGAAGATTGTTCATGCTTAGTATCTAAACTCTAGCTATTTGGCTTTTTTCAAAGAAGATTTTTTAAGTTTTTGCTATACACAAATAAGGATAATCAATGACCCCCGGGGCGGGGCCAATTTTGCACCCAGGGCTCTAATTTGAACAAATCTGGTAGACACCCATTAGAACATGTTTCATACTAAATATCTTAGATCTAGCTCTTTGGGTTCTTTAAAAAAAACTTTTTAAGTTTTTACTATATGCATATAGGGAAAATCAATGACCCCTGGGACAGGGCCAATTTTGAGCCCAGGGCTTTTATTTGAACAATCTTCGTATACACCCATTAGAAGATGTTTCATGCTAAATATCTTAGCTCTAGCTCTTTGGGTTCTTTAAAAGAAGCTTTTTTAAGTTTTTACTATATGCATATAGGGAAAATCAATGACCCCCCGGGGCGGGGCCAATTTTGACCCCAGGGCTTTTATTTGAACAAACTTGATAGACACTCACTAGAAGATGTTTCATGCCAATGGCTAAGCTCTTCCTCTTTGGGTTTTTTTAAAAGAAGTTATTTTAAGTTATTTCTATCGGTTGCCATGGCAACTAGAGTTCTGCATGGAATTAAATTCTTTGAACAAGTTTTTAAGGTGACCACCAAAGGAACATTCCTGTGAAGTTTTTAGAAATTGGCTATGTGGTTTATGAGGAGATGTCATTTAAAGTAAAAGTTTACGGACGCCATAGGACGACGGACAGACGAAAAGCGATCACAAAAGCTCACCCTGTCACTTTGTGACAGGTGAGCTAAAAACAAATTAATAAAATTATATAAATTATGTATACACTATATCCATAAATAAAATTGAAACCTAATATAGTACCTGTGGCTGTATGGCCTGTGGAGTACTGACTTGTCCTGACGCCTGGCTCTGTGCCACTGATGTCTGGGAAACCTGTCTCTGTACAGTCTGTTGTTGTTGTTGTTGTTGTGCCACAGCAGTTACCTGTTGTTGTTGTTGCTGCTGTGGTTGCTGGGATGATTGTTGTTGCTGGTTGTCTGCCATTGTCACAATTTAATCTATTTGAGAAAATAAAATCATGAATTTCATTTCTAGAATAGTGATAAACATTCAAATAACTGTGACATATATATGTTCATATTTAACTAAATTTATGCTGATGGATATGCAATTTTCATTATTCATATTATCAAATCAGAATTTTATCATTTTAAATGAATGTTTTCAACCAAAAGCAACCTAATTTCATACCCTATAGTATATGTGGATGTTTTCAACAAAAAACAACCTTATCCTGATACAGGTTCAAAGTACTATATTCTAATACAGTAATACACAACTTCTGTTTTTTTTTAAATAATGTTAGCTTAACAGTGGCCATTAGGTCCTAGGGGGTCACAACTTGAGCTTTAACTTGAGTTTAAGTTATAAATGCCAGTTGCCTGCTAGTGCTTCCTAGAAGGTGTCTTATTCTTAATCAGAAATAGCAACAATCATCAATCAGATGAAAGAGAATCTCCACAATGACTTCGTCTAAGAGATTATGAGTCTGATCAATGCTCAACCTCTAAAATTGTAAAACACAATTCCTCAAGCTCCATGCAAGAAATGCATAGAATTAGATTTATAAGCTCCAAAACAATCAAGGTAAATTTTGATTTAACAAGCATGGAAGGCATTATTTAACCTTTTTTTCAATCTGAAACTGAAAGTAAGCAGTTTTTGCATAAATTTTCATACTTTGTAAAATTAAATCTACTTATAATAAAGTAGATCTATTTTCTAGCTAAGAACTTACGAGCTAAAGTAGCCTTTTACCAGTTTACAAAGTGCAGGCTAAAGAGGCACTTTAACTACTTTATTCCTAACACATTTGTAACTGGGACATATTGGACATTTTTTTTACTGTATCCGAAAGCTACTACAGTTCTTTGTTTTTCGTGAAGTTCAGACACTGTAAAAGTTATATAAAAATGTATACACATTTAAGAAAAAAATAATAATACTTTATTTCAAATACAAAAATAGTTTCCTTGCCTTAAATAACTAACTGTTTGCGCAGGAAATAGAGTTTTTCCTAATTAAATTTTAATAAAAATTCCGCCATCTTTGACCCATTAATTGTTTGTAGTGAGGATTATAGTTAAGAATGCGTTTCCCCAAAGAAGGGATAAAGTGTATTGGCGTAAATCTTCAGTTTTTAAAGTTGATGCAAAACAAAAGATATGTGAATCAAACATAGGGCCTAAAAGATATTCAAGTTTGTTCTATAGATGCAGAATTTATTTCTATCAAGAGGAATGAATTTAAATATTTCATGAGTGATGGTAGCCAAAAAATATTATAGAAAAAAACTTGAAATCTTTTTTACCTTACAATTTGAAAGACTTCACTTTTTAATTTGTGTATTGGCTGAATTTATAAGAAAGTAGTGCGGCAAGGACGCCAGTAAAAATAGGGGAATCATATTTTACTGCAGTGAAAAATAATTGTTTACAGTGAAATACGGAAAATAAAAATATGCATATCATTTCATCAATATTTCTCAATATTTCATTTATAAGTATTACTATGTTTGAATTATTGTATAACATGTAATGAAAGTCATCGATACAGAGTGTTATCTACATCTCTGCTTAAATTCTGCACGGGGTGCACATGTTCATGTATCTGTTTTCCCCTGTCTTCTCCTGCTGCACCAGCATTTCTATACTTTATTGACGGTGTTGTACCAAAGAACAAGTCAAACAGTCATGTTAAATATGGATCTGACATTTATAAAAGTTTTGGCGGGAATTATATGGTGATGAAGCGTATGCTTCATGAAATGCTGTCAGACTAAATTGACAACACCATGCAGTTTAATCGGTGAACTTTATTACAAAAGAAAACTGTGTTGTTGCAATTTGTCATTCTATGAACTGGGAAATGTTAACGGGACTTGTTATCTGTGGGCACAGGGGAACGAGGCTCGTGCGAAGTAGGAACTTGTGTGTACTTGTATGTAACTTCTGTTGCAAGTTAGACATCTGGTATTGAAGAAGTGACATTATATAGAGATACATGTGGGGGACAGAATTGCAATCAGTTTGTTGCAAGTTGCTAAGTTCACTGTGTCCAAGATATTTCTCACATCAAGTGTATAAACCACAAATTTCTCGAAAGTGGCCATTCAGAAATGGAATGTAATTCCATACATGCATCTATCGAGCATGCAAAAAGCTTCACAAAAGTCCATGATCCATCTCAGTGGAAAACAGTTATATCATTAGTACGCCGGAAGCAACCATATATTGTCGTTCCAATAAAATACGCTGACTTACTAGATTACAAGTTGTGCAAAGATCAAAACTTTGGCTCAATGAAAATCGATGTTGATGGAGAACGTGTTAATTGGCTGAATATAAAATGGATTCAAGTTCGTTAAGACAAAGAATACAGTATTTTGTGAACTATGGTTTTGATGTTAGTGAGTTCAAGGAAGTTAGGTTAATACAGAAGAAGAGCAGAAGCAAAGAAAAGTATCTTAAGGCTCCACGAGAAGCTTCCAATATCTGCTGCAAAAAGGCTGTTTTGATGTCACTTGTTGCCTCTGGGACAATTCCGAAGAAGTACGAATAATACTATGAGTCATTGCCATGCAGCAAATCTATAAAAGACAAACTTCCAGTGCCTTCTGTTAGTGAGAGTGAAGAAGATGAGTGAAGGTCATGGAATAATAATGACAAACATTCACATTTTTTGACATGAAACAGTAGTCTTTATTTACTTAACAATGATATGGGTCACTAATATCCTTAATTGCTGATGTCTGGGGTCTGTTTGACTTCAGTTCGATTATATTATATACCAGAGAACATTCAAAATAAATGAAAGTTTGTAAACTATGATTTTAGTGCGTATTTTCCTAATTTTCAGTTATCTATTTATTTCTGTAGTATCTAAATATTGAGCAGGTACATATTTCATATTTCTATGAATGAAAATTGTCAATTTTGTGTAGAGTATTATTGTGCATGTGTGTGAATGACATTACGTAAGGTTCTTCAAAGTAAGGAATAATAAATAAAATTGCAACAGTAACAATAACTGCAACATCTAAATTCTTTTCAGAGGAACAAGGCTATAACTGCACTTATAACCTTTTACCACAATTTATCTGTAACTTTTATTGCTAAACCTTCAGAAATAAAGGTCGTAAGTGCAGTTAATACCTTTTACCTCCCAACATTGTTGTCTTGACATGATCTAAGTACATTTATTACCTTTTACTTCTGTAAAATGATATTATTTTGATCTTAGAACTTTAAAACAAAACATAAAATTTTACAGTGTTTTATCAGCACCAAGCACGGTAAACTAAACAAAATATGATCTAATGTAGTCAACAAATATGGGAGAATCAAAATTGTTATAAAAATATTACGGAAAATAAGGTTGTATTAAAATATATGTTTTTTTGCGTTTTTCTCGAAATCAAGAAAATGGCAGTTATTACCTTTTACCTTTGAACCCTCGATATGCCCGATTTTAATTGTATCAACGGAAGCGTATTTTAACTCTAGTAACAACAGCAGAGAGTAGCTATTTTTACAGTAACATTACATTGTAAAATATAATTACATTTTATATACAAAGCCGAATAAAAATAGTACATCACACTTATCCAATCGGTATAGGTGCTTGTCTCGTTTATAAACTGTCCAAGCATCATCTTAATCATCATTATCAACATCATCATCATCACCATCATCATCATCATCATCATAATCATCATCATCATTATCATCATCATCATCATCATCTCTGCAGTCAATATTACCTTTATCTCCTATATACGCCTTCATAATCATTATAGATACCTCCACAACAACCGCCATCCTCACATTATCGGCCTCAACATTATCATTAACAACACTTATGTAACTATCATCACAAAAGTCGTTAGTTTCACAAGTATTATCAACATGTGACTGTTGTCCTGTTCTGGGTTCGGATCCCCGACAGAAATTTTGGATTCTCTCAAGTGAGGAAATTATCCAACTAGCGTATGACGTCGGTGGTTCTAGCTAGTACTCAGATGCCTTTACGTGCCTGAAATAATGCACAGAAGGCCACGTGAGATCATATTTAAGTTTATACAATGCAAGACGGAGCCTCGTTACCGCCATAAACAATTAAGGTGATACGCTTGAACTGGATATATTTCAGTCTGTACCGGAAGCTGGTGTAAGATTCTTATATAATCTGATGTGCAAGAAATCATTGTCGTGAGACGAAACAAATGTTACGCGATAAAATGAAAGTGCAACATTGATATCCATGACACGACAAAACAGCAATGATGATAACCTGATATTAGTACGACAGTAAGAGTATGATTCTGAAATAACGAAAATGCGAAATCACGATATAAGAAACAAATTAAAAGGCAACAATGTGATATTACGATAATCGTCATCAGATTATCGCAATATCGTATGGTCGGTTAAATAACCGTTGTATCGCGTCTTCATCATCGTGTTTCTCGAAAAATAGCGTTCTATAAAAGCACGATAATTATTTAAAGACGATGGCCCGAAAGGAATTCCGTACTTTTTTATACGATACTTTATTTAAATTCACCCTGGTTTCGCTTAACCTCACCACAGATAACTATAAACGTTTATTCACCTTTATATAATTAAGATCCGTGCCGAGGTCAAGGGCTAAACAACAACTAGTTAATTCAACCTGTTACATATTTTCGGTGAATTTCGGATGCAGGTATTTTTTAAAATTTATTTTCTCTTTTTCTTTGTCCTAATACGCGTCTTTGTCTTGTTTCCCGTCTGTAACTTTTGTGTATACAAATAGTGATCCAATGAACCAAATAAACAACAAGTATTTTGAAAAAAAAAAAAAAAAAAGATTCTCGGACGAACTGAAACGACTTTTACTTGCAAAGGTTATTTCAAAGTTTTTTGCATAGCTATAGCACGAAACACTGCAATAAATGTTTGTAAATGTAACTGACGTGTTTCGGTAAGTGAACCTTACACTTTATGTACTCATGCACACATTTATATATGTGCTTTATAAATATGCAAAAATATAAGGAAAGTTTGACAAAACATTAATAATCATATAATGTCATGGACGCTAAAAGTAATCTACTGAGAGTACCATTTTTTCTTCTTTTCTTTCGGTATGCATATGACTTTACGGGACATTTTTTGTTGTTATTTTTTGACAAAACTGAGAAAATGCCATTTATTACTCAGTAAATTTTTATGATAAACTAGTTTTAAACTAGAGATTAAATGAAATTTTAAAAGCAGTGTAAAATTTAATAGTGGGGCCCAAACAAAGATCTCAAATATACGAGAAATCTTAACTAGAAATTTTATTTCCAATACTTGTTAATATAGATATAGACGTGTATACGTTTAAGAAAGGTCCTTTATATCAATATACTAATTTTAGAATGGACAATGAGATTCCCTGATTTCAGTTTGTTATATTTAAATGACCAGTGATAATCCTACATATATTCAGTTCTTCCCTGTAAAAATTTCAGGAATTCAAAGCGTTCTCAGGCGGACTCTTGTGTGAAAAAATATGATGTATGATTTACGTTTATTTACATTGCTACTAAAAATTACAGAGTACTGTTAGGAACATCGTGGTTATACTTTATAATACAGAGGGTGACAATGCGATAGTGCGATGACGACAATACAACAGTGCGATGACGACAATGCTATAACACGATTGCGACTGTACGATTGTGCGACAATGCGATAGTGCGATGGCGATAGTGCGATGGCGTCATCACGATAGTGCGACAGTATATCGCGTTGTCGCCATCGCGGTATCGTACTGTCGCCATCGCGTTATCGCAATGTCGTCATTGCACTGTCGCATTATCGCACTGTCGTCATCGCGTTATTACACTGTCACCATCGCACTATCGCACTGTCGTCATCGCACTGTTGTTTTGTCGTCATCGCACTTTGGCACTGTCGCCCTCTGAATTTATGTGTTTTAAATGATAGAACGTGGGGGAATAGATTTATTTTTGTCAATAGATTTCTTTCTCTTTTTTTTGTTTGTTTCTTTTTGTACTAGTAAAACGTCTAAATAAATTTATAAATTAATAAAAAGTAACATTTTATATTAGGGTACATTATCTGCTCCATGTAACTTTGTGTCTTTGTTCATAACATGGCCCCTTTCCGTCACACTTCGTTTGTGATCGGCCAGGCGTGCTTAATTGATTGGCGCTATGTAACATTTGTAATTCAACACCATGCACACGTTCATAACATCTTTCCTTCAACGCCACAATATTCATAGTTTTTCGGGAGAACTTTGATAAACTCAAATATGTTAATGTAAGAACTGGTTTAAGCCAAACGATATATGAGTCAGTTGATGTCTTCAATAAAGAAATAAGAAAAAAAAATAACTAAACATACATGTTGTTACCTCGATCAAAGCCCCCAAAAGTTTGTTTTTAATACTGTATGTATAGTTTTCTTGACATGTAACGATTTTACGAGTATTCTCAATTTCTCATATTACTTTTTTTCTCAGTTTAAAGTCGACGTGGAAAAAATGTCATCTTCTACACAAGAACTAAGTTACAGTTTCTGCCCATTGAACGACCACTTCATTTATCAGTCACTTCCGGATCGACTGCGCATGCTCGCAAAAGAAGATCCAAACAGGGAGGCATTTGTTTTTTACAGCATGGACCACACAAGAAATGTTCTAACGAGACAGGAAGTTTTGGAGCAGACGACGCATCTGGCAAAACGACTTGTACATCTCGGACTTGAAAAAGGAAATACAGTCGCATTTCTTATGAAAAATTCATTACAAATGTTAATTTGCAACATGGCTGTTGTGATGGCAGGCGGTATCCCATTTTTCTTGTCGTCAACAATAAAAGACGGCAGGGATCTGATAGCTACTCTTAGACATATGGAAGGATCATTTCTGTTTATTGATGCATCAGACGGCGATGAAAACTGGGAACTGGTAAATAGAATATGGCCATCAGGTGAGAATTCGTCAGGAGAAACTCCAAGTTTAAAATCAGTCATTATTAATGGTAGAGCTGATGAATGTTGTAAAAGGAGAATCTCCTTAGAATCATTAATCAAGCTTCAATTGTCAGGCACGAAAGAACTCCCTGTTGTTCTCCCAGAGGACACTTTGGTATATTTCTGTACTTCCGGTTCAACTGGACAGCCAAAGGTGGTTACCATTACACACTATAGTTTGTTTAACTGGACAAAACAGGCAAATAAAGGATTTGGTATAACAAGTCAAAGCCGATTTTTTAATGATAGATCGTTTAGTTGGATATTCGGCTATCCAAGAACATATGTCACTGACGGTGCAACGCGTATCTGTGTTGATCCCCGGATTTCCGTTTCCGGTAACCATGTTGAATTCCTTTGTGATGTCATCGAAAGGGAGAATTGTGATGTCATATTCCTACCTGGGTATTTAACAGCTGACCTTAAATCTAGACTTTATTTGAAACATAAATTCCAATCAGTTACAACACAGATTTGGGGAGGAGAAAGACTTTCCAAACAGAATATTGCAGGACTGAAAAGTTTGTTTAGCATGCGGATTTGTTCATTCTACGGGACGACGGAAGCCGGTGGTGTTTCTCTTTTTGTATCAAACGACATTAACGAATATGAAGATGGCATAATAGGTATAATATTTCACACTTATACCTCGATAAATTCATGTTCAGCATATATTTCAAATTTCTCCTTAATATTTATGTAATATACAAGTATATTTATGACGCTGTCCAGCGAAACGGTAAACATGTGTTGTCATGACTTCGTCCATCTAAGAAACACACATGTTACTGGTAAGAACTGCACATGTTTGTTTTTATTTCTGAATTAGATACATGCCTTTTATCTAAACAATTATTTTTTTCTGATATGACAGTCGTTTATATTTTTTCAGGGAAACCCCTTCATGGAGTTGAAATGAAGATCATTGATTCTTTAGGTAACACGTTACCTGCCGGTCAAAGTGGTGAAATATGTACACGCATTACGTGGCGTTTTGACGGATACCATAAAATGCCGGATATGTTTACGGCAGTGGTTGATAACCAAGGCTGGTTTCACACTTCAGATTTCGGCCACATGCGAAAGGATGGAAATTTCATTGTAGAAGGGCGGTTGAAAGAAGTGATATCGTCAGGCGGCTATGATTTCTTTCCGTGGAGTATCGAAAACGTATTGAAGAACATGCCCAATGCTGCGCATGTCATTGCCGTAGGTGTTCCCGATCAGCGTCTCGGACAAGTAGTGTGCGCATGCGTTGTTCCAAAGGTCGATCACGTGATAATGGATGTCGATATTCAAAAGTTTTGCGATGATGAATTTAGTGAACACGCTTCAGTGATCGGTGTAAGCAACAAGCCTCAGTATCATATGGTGCTCGAAAATTTACCTTTAACATCGACTGGAAAAATAGACAGACGTACAGTCGCAAAACTTGCAATGGCTAAACTAGGCCTTTGATAGATATATGCATTTCTCTACAATATGTTTTGAAATATATTTTTGTGATATATAAAAACGAATAACAGAATGCAAAAATATTACACTGATCTATTGTTTATACAGTTCAAACTTTGACGATTGGTTCATACATACGACCAACATTAAAAACATGATTTAATGAAAAGACAGTGGTATGAGCGATTTATCTGATCATGGCCTTCGATTGTTCTCATTTACTGAAATGACTGCCAATGGAATCCGCCTATAATAAGCGCAAAAAGAACACGCCTTTGTCCGCTGTTTAAGGTATGCAGACAATATAGTGTGATGGAATAAAGGAGTCTATAAAACGCTTTTTAAAGAACAATTTTCATATAATTTTGCTATGGATTTTGTGTCCCTCGGTAGTGTTTTGCCCCAGTTCGTCCGTCCGTAAGCAACATCTGGTCTGGCCCCGTATCTTTTGAATACTTGGCAGAAATGTTTACAATTATGTGTGAGGACGTGCAGAACGCTAGTCTAGGCAGTGAGGACATGCAGAACGCTAGTCTAGGCAGTGAGGACATGCAGAACGCTAGTCTAGGCAGTGAGGACGTGCAGAACGCTAGTCTGGGCAGTGAGGACATGCAGAACGCTAGTCTGGGCAGTGAGGACGTGCAGAACGCTAGTCTGGGCAGTGAGGACGTGCAGAACGCTAGTCTGGGCAGTGACGACGTGCAGAACGCTAGTCTGGGCAGTGAGGACGTGCAGAACGCTAGTCTGGGCAGTGACGACGTGCAGAACGCTAGTCTGGGCAGTGAGGACGTGCAGAACGCTAGTCTGGGCAGTGAGGACGTGCAGAACGCTAGTCTGGGCAGTGAGGACATGCAGAACGCTAGTCTAGGCAGTGAGGACGTGCAGAACGCTAGTCTGGGCAGTGAGGACATGCAGAACGCTAGTCTAGGCAGTGAGGACGTGCAGAACGCTAGTCTGGGCAGTGAGGACGTGCAGAACGCTAGTCTGGGCAGTGAGGACGTGCAGAACGCTAGTCTGGGCAGTGAGGACGTGCAGAACGCTAGTCTGGGCAGTGAGGACGTGCAGAACGCTAGTCTGGGCAGTGAGGACGTGCAGAACGCTAGTCTGGGCAGTGAGGACGTGCAGAACGCTAGTCTGGACAGTGAGGACGTGCAGAACGCTAGTCTGGGCAGTGAGGACGTGCAGAACGCTAGTCTGGGCAGTGAGGACGTGCAGAACGCTAGTCTGGGCAGTGAGGGCGTGCAGAACGCTAGTCTAGGCAGTGAGGACGTGCAGAACGCTAGTCTGGGCAGTGAGGACGTGCAGAACGCTTGTCTGGGCAGTGAGGACGTGCAGAACGCTAGTCTGGGCAGTGAGGACGTGCAGAACGCTAGTCTGGGCAGTGAGGACGTGCAGAACGTTAGTCTGGGCAGTGAGGACGTGCAGAACGCTAGTCTGGCAGTGAGGACATGAAGAACGCTAGTCTAGGCAGTGAGGACGTGCAGAACGCTAGTCTGGGCAGTGAGGACATGAAGAACGCTAGTCTAGGCAGTGAGGACATGAAGAACGCTAGTCTGGGCAGTGAGGACATGAAGAACGCTAGTCTAGGCAGTGAGGACGTGAAGAACGCTAGTCTGGGCAGTGAGGACATGCAGAACGCTAGTCTGGGCAGTGAGGACGTGCAGAACGCTAGTCTGGGCAGTGAGGACGTGCAGAACGCTAGTCTGGGCAGTGAGGACGTGCAGAACGCTAGTCTAGGCAGTGAGGACGTGCAGAACGCTAGTCTGGGCAGTGAGGACGTGCAGAACGCTAGTCTGGGCAGTGAGGACGTGCAGAACGCTAGTCTAGGCAGTGAGGACGTGCAGAACGCTAGTCTGGGCAGTGAGGACGTGAAGAACGCTAGTCTAGGCAGTGAGGACGTGAAGACCGCTAGTCTAGGCAGTGAGGACGTGCAGAACGCTAGTCTAGGCAGTGAGGACGTGCAGAACGCTAGTCTAGGCAGTGAGGACATGAAGAATGTAAAGAACACTATAGTCGTAGAACACAAGTCTTTCCTTTCTTACATCAAGGTCAAGATCTCACCGACCAATTCAAAGACCCTTATTAAAGTAATATAATTATATCAAACGGAGTATACTTAAGTATTTATTAGTATTTATATAAAAGAGAGAATACCTTTCAAGTACATGCATAATACTAATACATTTCTCTACACTTAAAAGAGCAATCTGTTTCTGTAAAATGATCAGCTATCACAGGAGTCGAGCGGGCCAAACACCATAAGGAGTCAGTTTGTTTATATGTTGTGATTTTCTTCACTCTAATTTTTTTGTATATATCATGATTTTTCTTTAAATTCATTGAAAACGTTTCGAGTCAGAAATTCTATGTAAATTCAGTGTTATATGCTTGTGTTTATTGGACAATAGGATGAGCAAGAATCTTTGAATAAAATCTGTGTTTTAAATATTGTTTGTCACTGGTTAATTAAGATAAAGCATGTTTTGGACAATGTCCATGAATAAGCCTCGTTTCTAATTTGAAATATTATTTTTGCATTTCTCAAACAATGAAATTTGCATGCATGCACAAAATGCTGCGCCCATGCAGTGATCTTGTTCCTATATTATAATTATTGTTTAGAAATCAATTTTGCAGTTCTACAGTTAAATGTAAATTGAATTTTTATGACATTTATAATGTGTCGATAGTTTAAGCATGATATATATTTAAACAAAAGAAAAACTGTCCGCTGAAATGATCGAGATTTTAAACTAATGTAAAATCCTAAACAAGTATTGTAATTAGGAAGTAGATTTTAAATTTTAGTACATTGTTGTAAAATATTGCACGGTTTGAGTTCAAATGCTTAGGAATATAATCACGAAGGGCAATAGATTTGTCAGAATGATTAATTACAAAGCATTTAAACGAAAAACCGTGCATTGGTATACTACAATGCAATAAAAATGATATAGATTTCCATTCTAACATGCTAATAAAAAGAAGAATGGATAAAAAATATGTTGAACTACATTGAGCGTAGAAGTAATTTTCCTAACGTCATTTGAGTCGCGTCACGACAAAACCAACATAGTGCGTATGCAACCAGCATGGATCCAACCCAGCCTGCGCATCCGCGCATTCTGATCAGGATCAATGCTGTTCGCTATCAGTTTCTTTACTTGTAATAGGGTTGGAAAGCGAACAGCATGGATCCTGTTCAGACTGCGCAGATGGACTCATTTGGTTAATTGCCGTCATATCTGACGTCATACGACGTGTGGTAGAATAACTACATGTGTACTTGTATTTTTTTCTTAACATTACATAATGAACAATAACTTTATGTTCTGTTTACATCACAGTTTCTTTGAAGCTTTTTTTTATTTTCAAAAATATGTTGTGTCCAAATATAGATGGTATAAGAGTATAAAAAACACAATTTAAGAGTAGAAAACGATGCAGATTTAAGAGTATAAAACAGATAAATTCAAAACAGTCTCACTACAAATACCTATATTAAATATAAACATTCATCTATGAATGCTTTAAAATGTTTGTTTTTTTACATGTTGTGCCTGGAAATATATTCTCGACATTTGATGTAAGTCCTGCCTATAAACTGGTACTCATCATGCTCGTTAAAATGTGAAAATTTCGGGGTGCTTCTTCACAAAAAATGGCATAATCGCTTAATTTGAAATATCGCTAAGTACGTTGAAGGCCAAGGATACGAGAGATCTTAAATTATGATATACAAGATCAACAAGGAAAGACGGCATTCAATGAACGCAACCCGACACGACCCAGCAACAAGAACCAGTGGCAAGGAGCCCAGGAGGACACCAAACAAGAACAGGACAAGGCAAGTCCGATTCATATCCCTGTCATATATTTATATCCCAGATAAAGTTAATATTAAATGTTTTTCTTTGTTGCATTTGATACAAGATAAAATATATATACATGCAAAAAATTACTCATCATCCTTTGTTACTTATATTCAACAATAAGCTGCATGATTCTATCTAATCGGTATGGTTCAACATGGAACGATTATAGTCCAAGTTTTTTTTTCGCCAGTATACCTATTGTTCTTCTATCAATCTTGCCAGAGACTGTCAGAGGTACCTTGTCTAAAATAATCTTGTACACAGGTTTAACAGTTACTCCAAAAGCAGTCGACTTTTCCAGGAATGTTTCATCACAGAATTTCTTAACATCCGACTCCGACAGGGCAGTACCTTGTTTAGGTAACACGCATGCGCAAACAACTTGACCTAGCCTTGTATCCGGTACACCGACCGCAAATGCGTTTTCAGCTCCTGGAATGTTTTTCAAAACCTTTTCAATAGACCAAGGGAAGAACTTATTTGTTCCAATTGAAATCATCTCTTTTTTCCGTCCACCAATCACACAGTTCCCATCCTGGCGAAAGTGAGCCATGTCACCCGTATGGAACCAATCTTGTGCGTCGACTACCTCCCGGAACAATTCTTCCATCCCCCGGTAAGTAACAAATCTAAAAGGACTTCTAACACACAGCTCGCCTTGTGTATCAATCGGAACAACATCTCCGTTTTCATCAACTACTTTAAATTCACATCCTTCTAGAGGTTTTCCTATAAAAGAAATAAAATTGCATCCATCAATATTTTATTATGTATGTTAGTTAAAACAGCAACAAGAATTGTCGCGTAAACATCGTTTTACGCTGAAATCCCTGAAATAATATCAAGTTTATCTCCGGACAAGAGTTTGACGGACTGACAGACAACCGGATGGAAGGAAGAACGGACAATGCGGCGACTATATATATGCTCTTCCTTCGGGTGGGAGCATAAAGATATGCACCAGGGCACTGATTGACAAACTATCTGGAAAAAAGGAACCCAAAAGGAAATATAGAAAAAGTTGCGCACATGAATTATTCTATATCATCTTACACAAGTATAAATAAACATGCCCATCATTACGCTAAAATCATGAATTCTTGGCAATAAACAGCAGGACACTTGCGACAACATTTCACGGAAACTTTCGTTGACAGGAACCTCTTTAGAAATGTAGAAGAAGCACAATCAGAAACGCATTGTTTCTTTATATCGGTATAACTTGATGTAGAAAATAATCACGAGTTTTAGTTGAAATCCCTTATGAAGATTAGGAGTGGTATATTACGTGAAAAATAAAGGGCCATAATTCTGTAAAAAAAATCAGATTGTCGCAGTCAAGTTTTCCACCTGGCTGGATAAAAAGTTGGCTATTCAGTATTGTTTGCAAAAGGGCAAATTTTATAACAACAGGTCGGTGAAAGTTTTGTTAAAATCTGTTATGAAATGTAAGTGTTGCGCTCAAATTTGTAGTTTTGCAAAAGGTATAAAAAATTGAAATAATGTTTACGTTTTTCTAAATAGGCGCCCGTGGCCGAGTGGTTAAGATCATTGACTTCAAACCACTTGCCCTTCACCGCTGTAGGTTCGAATCCCGACAGGGCCTTTGGATTCTATCATTTGAGGAAGCTATCCAGCTAGCTTACGGAACGTCGGTGTTTACTTCAGGTGCCCGTTCATGCCTGAAATAATGCACGCGAAGGCACCTGAGCGTCTTCCTCCAACTGTCGCCATATGACCTATACTGTGTCGGTGTGACGTAAAACACAAACAAACAAAACTTGTTTCTTGTTTCGATTCCGGCAACATATCAGCTATAAATCGACCCGTCAGAGTATTATTAGTATACAACACATTCCGAGTTCAAATCAAATAAGGATGGTTCCTTTTACTATTCACAAGAATAGAACACTAGAGCACAACTGAGTAGCCATCTAGCTTGAAACTGGTGGTTAAAGTTTATCATCGGTCATCGATTCGTGCTTATAAGGTTTTGGATTGTTGACAAAATTTAAGACTGGCTGGATTTCGTAAAGAATGAACAATTGTTTAATATAGAAAACAACAAAATGTTCGACATAATTTTAAAGCATTTTGTATAATTACCGATTATGCCGTCTTCAAAAGCATCCCCACTTGTACTACTGTACTCACTCACTCCCCCACTCTCTGTTGTTCCATAAAACGACTTAACATCGGTGCATAATTGCGCTTTCACAGCTTGGTAGTTAGCATTTTGTATTCTTTCACCGGACAAAAATATGCTTTGCACTTTGTTGAACTTCTCTGAGACGTCTGGATTCTTTAGAATATCAACGACCATATATCCCGGAAGGTACACGACGTCACAACATTCTGCTTTAATGATGTCAGTCAGGAAATCGCTATGTTTCCCAGAAATACTTAATTTTGTGTCAACAAAAACACGGGTGGCGCCCTCTGTTACGTACGTGCGAGGAAACCCAAGGACCCAGCTAAATGTACGGTCACAGAAAAACACGCTTTTCTCTGTAATGTTCAGTTGTTTATTAGAAGACTTTGTCCAGTTCAAAATACCAAAATGTGTGTAAACAACTTCTTTTGGTTTACCCGTTGAACCGGAAGTACAAAAGAATGCTAACGTATCTTCAGGCTGAATATTCGGAAGTTTTATCTTGGTGTCCGAATTCTTCTGTTGAAACGAAGAAAGACTCTTTCTTGTTTCGTTTTCCCTGTCTATATTTCCATTGCAAATCACCATTCCAAGACATGGTGTCACCTTTGAACGACTCTGACCTTCAGGCCAAATATTTTCAAGGACCTTCCAATTTTCATCCCCTTTATTAGTATCTATTATAAGGAGCTTCGCCTCGAGGTTGTTGATAAACTCTGCCAAATCACTTCCGTCCTTGAGATTAGCTGATACATAAAATGGAACGCCTCCCGCCATTATAACGCCTAAGTTTGAAGTTAACATTTCTAAAGAATTAGTCATGCATATCGCAACTGTTGACCCTTTTTCGACACCATACTTTACAAAGTTTTCTGCAGCAATGGTAGTTTGATCTAATAGTTGTTTTCTTGTAAGACTTTTTCTTTGTTTGTTAAAATCGTAGAAAACAAACGCTTCTCTATCAGGGTCTGCAGCCGCTAGGTGGCGTAGTCTGTCAGGAATCGTCTCGTAAATGTAAGGAGTGGTTGAAGGACAGCATGAGTAGCTCAAACGATGATTGTCCGCCATTCTTTAGCACAACTGTCGGGGGGAAAAAGAAGACATATTTAGTAAGATAAAGTTATATTAATTGGTCATCTTTGATATACTGAAGACATAGGCCTGCACAAATCAGAAAATCTAGAAAAGAGTGGATTGTACGCATAAATCAAGAAGCACTAACAGTTGGGGAGGTGCTTCTATAATAATATATCGTCAGTTCAATAAAAACAAACGCGGTGGCTGAACTTTGCTCTGGTAAATTCAATGTGGCTAACTGCCGTGATCTGGAGTGAAGAATGCCAACTACCACCACCACCACCACCACCAACAACAACAACAACAACAAAGACTTATTAGTAATTTTAGTTGGCCTGCCCGGGAATCGAACCCACAGTGTCGAGATTTCAAGTCTCGATTGAGCTATGCGGGCTGGCGTTTCCCCATTAAATCTGTATATTAACTGAGGTTGGAAAAAAAGGCATACGACAAGACGCCAGTGAAAATACCTATAACTTGTATTGATTAACTGCAGTGAAAAATATTTTACAGTGAAAATACGAATATAATACGCCAGTCTGCTATGCAAGAAAATGAAAATATGCATATTATTTTATAAATATTTCTCAATATTTCATTTAAAAGTATATGATAAAAGCTTTATATTTATTTATTTAAATAATGATGACATTCCATTATTACTAATGGAAAGAATTGACTTACTAATCTAGGTGTATATTTCTGTATGTTTAGCTGTGATCAGTACTAAGACCTACTAATGTTTTGACTTAGTCAATAGTTATACTATAATTTAGAAAAATTGTTTTATTTATCCGACACGGTACTAAAATATCTCTAAATATAACTTTGCACGTCAAGATATTTTAACTAGTATCGAGAATTATGTTGGCTGATTTGGAACGCTTTTGTGCGTCGTGTTGTCGCTAGCGAAAACACGACAAAGCGCCAAACGGCGCGTTGTCGGACTTTCGTCGTGTCGTCCACTCGCTAACGATGCACGCCAAACGGCGCGCTTCGTGCGGCGTGTTGTCGCGATGTCACATTGTCGCTCGGCTCAAATCGAAGGATTGGCGACATCGCGACATGGCGCCGCACGACAACGCGCCGTTTGGCGTGCTTCGCTAGAGACAAGACGACAGTGCAACAAGGCGTCATTTCGCGCGTTTCGCTTGCGACAAGACGAAAAGGCGATAACAATATAGGTTGTGTTGTCGCTATCGACAAGACAACGTAACGCGCAAAGTGTACCAAATCAGCCACCATTGAGAATAGTGAAGATCTATTAAACATTAAATGCATCGTCAGATACCCACGGTTGATTAAACGTGTAAAAATGTATATGGTTCGGCTGTGGATATCCGACGATGATTATATGCTCATGGCATATATTTTGGAACAGTGGGTTTAGTGTGACATGAATATACTTATTACACTGTTGTATACATTGTTGTATATGTAACACGTTTTGTTTTGTTTGACACCGGCACTGTAAAAGTTATATGACGAATTTCCGTATTATTTCAGGCACAAAAAGGTCACCTGAGTAGAGCCATCAACCTTCCGCGAGCTGACGGGATTCGAACCACAAACGGTGAGGGGCAAGTGACCTTACCACTCGGTAGCCAATAGATTTTAAGTAAAAGTTAGTGGTGACAGTTATCTATGTCCCTGGTGGTATACTGTAAAATGAGAGGCCTAATTCCATAATGTTATGATAAATGAAGTAAAATTCCTTTATCTTATTAATAATCTCGCCATAGGCCATTGTTATGCCACACCCTATATGAATCAGCTACATGATCCTTTATCTGATATGATCAGATCCGTTCAGACTGCCCGAGGTCAAACAAATGTGTTTATGGCTAGTTCTTATGGGGCAGGGGACATATCCGAATGATGGCCCCCGGTCAAATTTTTTAATAACTCAGACAAGTTTCGTATGAAGGTACTGGAAACTTCTGATATTTCTCTGTCATTGTAATTCTTTCTTGTTTGTCTGTAGAAAATGAGAAGTATTTTTTGGTTGTTACCCGAAACTAAGCATTTTGGTAGCTTTGTATGTATTTGTGACTCTCCGAATGGAAGTGAAAAAGTTAAAAATCAAGCTTGACAGTTGGCGCTAAACAAGTATGAAATTTTGGATAAATATTGTGAAAAATCTAAACGTATGACAGACACTTTAATGGTCATTTTTGAAAATGCCATTGCTAGCACTGTGCGTTAGTGATGTTTTTAAGGAATCGGGTGCATTCTGGAGTATGCTGCACCTTCATGAAGATTGCCTATATTGGTATATTTTAGGTGTGATTTTGGCTGGGTGGGGGCAAATATAAATTGCTGTCGGTCAATTTTTTAAGGAGCAATGCATGCAAACTATTATTTTCTTCAATCTATGTCATTTATCATTGAATAATGTTGTGCATCTGGTTATCTGCTTGTGAAACAGATTTTGAAATATTTGGAATTGTGTTTCTGGCCACACTGAAATAAAAATTGTTCATTTTTAGGTCCCCCAGCTGCCCCCTTACTCCCATGTATTATTTGTCCATCCACTTAATCGTTTCAGTACACGCCCCCCCCCTCCCCCATTTTACTTTAAAAACTGTTGTGTCGAATTGTATACTTATGATTATGATTTTGATCTACATTAGCTTTTGTTACACATAAAATGTTTTTCACAAAGTTTATTTATCTCTCTGTAATCATGCTATTACTGATTTGACTTTTGTATTATATGTATGATATTTATATAGACGAGGAGCGTAGAGAATAAAGATTTTGTTCTTTTCTGTTATGTTCTTTAGGTTTATGCAGGAAGAATGACGTCTTTATTGAAGAAGAATAATTATATTGAACAGTTCAAATACCGATATATGCACAAATGTACATGTATCAACAACGAAAGAAATCTTGAATATTGTCGTAATAAGATAATGAACTTTGGTAACCTAAATAGTTCATTAGCTAGACATTAAACAGGAGAATAAGAAATCTTTAAAAGTCGTAACTCGTCTGTACTTGTAGTTTACGAGAATGTATTTTAATATCGGTGTTAAAATTTGCATTTTTTTACTAGTTTTATGTTAACGCATAGTTTCAATGCGTGTTAAATACCATGATAATATTTCATTACATTTAGCCTCTTAACGTAATCTCCACCATTTGAGCCGCGTCACGACAAAACCAACCAAATGCGTTTGCGACCAGCATGGATCCAGACCAGCCTGCGCTACCGCGCAGTCTGATCAGGATCCATGCTGTTCGCTAAACTATCCTATTACAAGTAGAGAAACTAATAGCGAACAGCATGGATCCTGATCAGACTGCGCGGATGCGCAGGCTGGTCTGGATCCATGCTGGTCGCAAGCCCATTATGTTGGTTTTGTCGTGACGCGGCTCATTTATAGTTTGTTTTATACAGTGTGCAAAATACTTCATTATAATGTCGACCAACACAATTTCTGTAAAACGAATATAATTATAGATCTATCCAGATCCAGTTTATTGCTGAGTCAACAAAAATGCTTTTCTTCCTATGTTATGAATTCTCAAAACTATGTAAATGTATATTAATTACTAAAATAAGTAATATATTACTAGATCTAAATAAGTAAATATTAAACTACTTAAACTTAGTTACTAAAATAAGTGGATTCTAAATATATTAATAAAATCAGAGTGTATTTATATGTCTATGATAAAATATGTAAACTTACTGAATATTATTGCCGCTTAATCCCAGTGAGTTTTAAACAATATTGACACCTAGTGTTTACCAAGTCACAGATAAACATATACATGTATTTAGCTCCATGACTGAGTGTTTAAATCTGCATAGTGTAAGATTATAATACAGCATATGTATGTCGACATATTTAAATGTAGGACTGTAGATCGAAGGGATCATGTTTCTGTGTAGAACCAATCGCAACTACTCGGCCCTTTCCGTCAGTCTTCGGATAAGGATATAATATTATAGATAATAGCCGAGGGTGTTCCGAATGGTGTAGAACACGAGCGATCCGCGGGAAATGGTGGCGAAATTCCACAAATTGAGATGACGGCATTAGAATTATTTTTTCGAGATTAATGTTCCATTTGATGTATATCTGGACCAATAATTTGTGTGCAAAATTTGTGATTATCCACCCACTCCAGAATGTGAAAAATGACTCAAAATTGAAAAGTATTGCATCGATTTCCACTCGAATCGGACTAAGAATAGCACAAAATATATGGTTTTCCAATTTATTTCTGATTGTATTTTCTATTAATCTTTTGCAAATATTTCTATTTTATGTGCCTCAGCTAATCTATGTAAGGAATTCAAATATTATGTTTTTAGGCTTTTGGACCTCAGTGGAGTGGAGTTCCTTTAATCGACTGGTATCTCAGGTGACCCGCATTGTTTTCAAATCAAGTTGAGAAGTGTGAAGTCTTTATACATCTATCATAATTTGATATACGTTCTTTTGTGCTGTGGAAATATAATAACACTCACTGGTATCTTTGGAAGTTTTAAAATTACATGATAGCCAACTACATCATGCAAAGCCATGCCTATGCTACATGTTCCGCATAAATTTGAACAGTAATTGGACAATGTTTTATAAAGTATTTATAATGAGTGAGATGTTTTACTATTATCAGTTAGTGCCATATACTCAGAGTGCCTTTTTTCTGAGATGGGTGAGAAGGAGATGGCCACATTACCTAGACTGTGCCTCTCTACTGCGTGAGAAGGGATCATAATTTTACGCCTAGGGAGTCAATATTCTTGACCGGTGGTCATTTGAAGTTCTACTATTCTTGTATGTAGCGCGGTATGGACAATATTGATATCGCACTAAACGTAATTGTTTAGATCTGAAAGGATTACATTGGTGTCCGCATAGTTGCGTGGAACACGTGCAAAATTATCCCCCTTGGTGCTCTTTATATAAGTACACTTATCATATATATAATCTGATAGATAAATCACGACAAACAAAATAAAATAAGATAAATCGTTAACAAAAGT